TAAATTCTAGTGTGTTGATACAATATGCTACGATACAGTACTGAGGGACTCAAACAAAGGATGCTGCTAAATCCACAGTGGTCGAAACTGAATACTTTCTGTGTTTTATTTTTATTTATTTATTTATTTTTAAAGATTTTATTATTTATTTATTCATGAGACACACACACACAGAGAGGCAGAGACACAGGCAGAGGGAGAAGCAGGCTCCATGCACCGGGAGCCCGACGTGGGATTCGATCCCGGGTCTCCAGGATCACGCCCTGGGCCAAAGGCAGGCGCCAAACTGCTGCGCCACCCAGGGATCCCCTTTCTGTGTTTTATTAAATAAAGGGGGCAGGGTACAAAATAGCATCTTCAGTGTGATCCCACTTTTGTAAAACTGTTCTCACACGTGTGCTTGTGTGCACAAGCAAGCCATGCCTGTGTAAAGGAAGGACACATCAAAACATTGACAAGTAGATGCCCCAGGGAGGTGGAATTGCTGGATTTTTTTTTCATTTAACTTTTTTCTAAATTTTTTAATAGTGAGTTTACTTTTATGATTTTTTAAAAAAAGGTAGTTGTTTAAAACATTATCTGGGGTGCCTGGGTGGCTCACTTGGTTAAGCATCTGCCTTCGGCTCAGGTCATGATCTCAGGGTCCTGGGATGGAGTCCCACATGGGGGCTCCCTGCTCAGTGGGGAGCCTGCCTCTCCCTCTGCCCTTCCCCCCAGCTTGTGGGAATCTCTCTCTCCCTCGCCAATAAATAATCTTTTTAAAAAAAATTATCTGGGCAGGAGCAGTCCGGGTGGCTCAGCAGTTTAGTGCCACCTTCAGCCCAGGGCCTGATCCTGGAGACCCGGGATCGAGTCCCACATGGGGCTCCTTGCATGGAGCCTGCTTCACTCTCTGCCTGTGTCTCTGCCTCTCTCTCTCTCTCTGTGTCTCTCATAAATAAATAAATAAAATCTTTTAAAAAAATTATCTAACGCAAGGGGGTAATAAATACGAAATATAAGAGCATCAGTGACCTTTCTAAAGTCATTCTCTCAGCACATACCTGGGCTAGGTAGCAAATTCCTGCTAAAGGATGTTGGCTGACGTGACTATGCAGTTTGGACACTATGTTACCTCATTTGGGGGCTTTAGATTCTATACTCCTGACCAAAATTAATCTGCCCAGATTTCAGATCACCTCCCTCTCAGGAAGATGTTGCTAGCTGGGCAGGGTAAAGTGCTTGATGTTACCTCCATGTTGCAAGCTCCATAAAGTGCACATGAACTTGGGGTTTCTTCGGATGAGACTCATGACTGGTTGCAATGCACAGGTGACAGCTGCAGTCTCTGATTTTGATCATAAGCTTTAAAGAGACCAAAACTCAGGAGTAATTTCTTGGGGCCCAGCTTCCTTGATGCAGCAAAATTATTCCTTATAAGAAGTAACTAAAAAGGGCAGCCTGGGTGGTTTAGCAGTTTAGCACGGCCTTCAGCCAAGGGTGATCCTGGAGATCGAGTCCCATGTTGGGCTCCCTGCATGGGGCCTGCTACTCCCTCTGCCTGTGTCTCTGCCTCTCCATCTCTGTGTGTCTCTCATGAATAAATAAATAAAATCTTTAAGAAAAAAAAAACAGCTAAAAAATAGTTCTGTAGCTTGTTTGAAGAGGGTAACCGCCAGGAGCACCCCTGCTGGGTAAGCTAGGATTTACAGGCCAGAGGGTGGCCTGCCTAGCTCCCAGGAGGCCCATCCCAGTTTGGCCTTCCCCTCTAGGGACCACAGCTCATCGTGCAGGATCTGGAACTTCATTTTCAAAGCCCCATAAAGCTTGTGCCTTCTTCCAGGCCTCTCTTTTCTGGGTTTCACGGCTCTCAGAGGAAATGAGAATCTCTATAATTGCGGCACTCCAGTGATTGGAGCAGGGAACACGAGACATTAGGATACTCCCACGGGTACAGCTTGGAGCTTTAGAGCAAAACTGTACCCGAGGTGGGCCTTTGGCATCTTGGTTCTCCAGGCCTCATTCTGGCTGGTGGGGCCTCCTCTCCTCTGTCACTGCAGACCAGATGGGGTCCTGGGAAGGCCCCACCTCCCTTGCTGGAGCTGGGGCTCAAAGAGCCTCTTCCCATCACTTCTTCCTTCAAATGTTTGGTCTTAAGGGGCCCCTCTGTGCGTCTCAGCCCAGTGCCTATCTGCCTTGCTGCAGATAACACCACCAGAGCTTGTCATGTGTGGGTTGGAAAGGATTTATTTTTTTTAAGTTGTTGCATCCAATTTGCCTCCATTCTCTTAACCTGCTTTGTGAACAAGCTTTAGGACCTCTGCAGGGTTACTTCACCATGCCAGCCCAAGTCTTTCTCCGCGAAAGGTTTTAGAGAACACTCAACTAGATGAGATCAGTGGAGCCAAGTGCCCAGGCGGTAGGTGCTCTGGAATTATCACTGACAGGTTAAGGGTCTGCCTCTCACCAAACACTTTGCACAAATTATTTATCAATCCTCACAACAAAGAAGCCAAGTATTCTTTTTTTTTTTTAAATATATTTTTTTAATTTTTATTTATTTATGATAGTCACACAGAGAGAGAGAGAGAGAGGCAGAGACACAGGCAGAGGGAGAAGCAGGCTCCATGCACCGGGAGTCGACGTGGGATTCGATCCCGGGTCTCCAGAATCGCGCCCTGGGCCAAAGGCAGGCGCCAAACCGCTGCGCCACCCAGGGATCCCGAAGCCAAGTATTCTTAAGGCAGCCTTTTGTGGTGAGGAAACCCGCGTGTAGAGAGGTGACTTGCCCTCTTGAGACCCTACCTAGTACCAAAGTCTGTGCCTATCTGCCAGGCCTCTGGCCTCTCTTGCCTTGTGCCCTCCTTAGCTTTCCATGGATGAAAACAGTCAATCAGGGATTGACGTTCTTTTGGCTCACAAAACACCTCTGGGCTGATTCCACAGGGTAAGAACTTTATGGGCATTCTGGAAAGTTCAACAGATTATTAGGTTTCTCTTAAGCATTTTCTTAAAACTTTTTATAAATCTTGCGTTGTGCTTGGATTGTTTAGCACTAAAGCGTGTTTTGTTTAAATTCTGTGCTGAGTTTAAGGACATTTCTTAGTTTAATCATTTACAAGGAACTGGAATTGGTTGGTACCAATTACAATATCTGTGGCAATGTGCCCGTTTCTCCTTCCCACACACAGCAGGCTGAGTGTCGAGGGGACACAGCAGTGTTGAGGTGTTGGTAAATAATACTACTACATAGTCATTTAATCTTACAAGATGCTGTTTTGTCAGCAGGTTGAACTGATGAAACTCTGGAAGTAATGAACTGCTAAACTTCAGTCGTCCTGTATGGTCATCCTAGAAACCCCCAGTAGCTTTCTGCTTGCATAACATAGGACTCTTCATAGCCCCAACCCGCTACCACCACACAGGAGCATGTGCATGCATATGCGCGCATGCACACACGTGCACGTGCACACACTGTTAGAGACCTGGGAAGGTGGGAAGGACTTGGCTGGTAAAGGTTTGGGAGAATGAAAAGAGTTGGTGTGTTTTTTGTTTGTTTTTGGTTTGGGGTGTTTTGGTGGCTAAGTCAGAGCATCAAGCGACCTTGAATGTTTAGAGAGGAGGGTGTACAGTTCAGAAACAAGCAGCAGCTCCTTGGGAATGTCTTAGAGAGGAAAGGGGAGGGAATGGAAGCAGTGTGAAGAACCTTGGGTCTGAAAATACCCATGAGAAAGCCAAGGTTCCAAACTTCTAATGGGAACCAGCCCTGTGGGGAGGCAGGAGTCACAAGAGATGAATTTTAGTTGTGGATTAAGTTGGGTTTTGGTAAATTTCAGGGTGAACTAGGGGAAGAGATTTAGGGCCCTTTGGGCTGGGAACTTTAGGGGTCCCAGGTACTTGGAACACACATCCCAGTGGTCCCACAACTCTTTGCCCCGAGAGAAGGAGCATGGCCAGGGTGGGCCCTCTAGAACACAGAATCCAGGGCCGGGGTTGCTCTGCCCCAACCTTCTGGCAGTGAGTGTGCTGTGGTGCAGTAGAAGAGCCTGAAGCTGGGAGGCAAGGAACTGGTCCTAGTCCTTGCTGTGCCCTGATGAGCTGTAGGACCTTGGCCAAGTTAGTTCCCTGTTCTGGACTTCCATTATGATCTTTCCATCCACTCCACCCCCTGCAGTTCCAGGACTTGGAGGCTATTGATTTTGTCATCCCTGAGTGTTCCTGAGGGTACCAACAGTGCCCAGGGCTATGTGCTTTCTGGGGAGAAGGCCCAGAGGCTACCTGTGGTGAGGAAGGAAGGCTGCCTGAGGTGAGAGCAGTTTAGGGTCTGGCCAGACCTCCTGACCTCCTGATTCCATGCGTTGTCATGGGGAGCAGTCCTGGGTTGGCGGTGGCCTCACACCTGAGGCTACTGAGCTTGAAATCCTTAGGACAGAGACTACCCACTTTCTTCCCCAGTGTCCCCAACTGTAAAATGAGACCAACAATAACCTCCAAAAGCAATACTTACCTAGCCCAGGGGTGGCTCTTGTTTGGCCTGATATAATCAGGAAAGTTAGTGGAAAGGGCCTGGAGGTGGGGTGGGGAGAGAGAAGAACATCAGACAGATGAATCCTGACCTGTTGTTCTTCGGTTGGCCACCTTAGCTCAGGAGGCCCTCCTGAGAGGGAGGTGAGGGTCTCCTGACCCATTTCTGCTGTGATCGTGGGAAAGCCTTTAGCTTTGTATGCCTCGGTTTCTTTTCTTTTCTTTTTCTAAGATTTTTTTATTTGTTTGAGAGAGAGCCTGAAAGCAGGAGTGGGGGGAGGGGCGGAGGGAGAAGCAGACTCCCCACGGAGCAGGGAGCAGACTATGGGCTCCACCCCAGGACCAGCCCCCGCCCCACCATCATGACCTGAGCCCAAGGCAGACGCTTAAGCATCTGAGCCACCCAGGCGCCCCCATGCCTCAGTTTCTTAAGCAAATTTGGAAGTTAATAGATATTTTGGATGGCAATAAAATTACTCCTTTTCGTTTCTTTCCAGAGATGCTGCAGTTTGTCAGCAATCAAGTTGGAGAGTTCCCTGACTTGTTCTCCGAGCAGCTGTGTAGCTCCTTCCCCGGCGGCGGCGGCGGCGGCGGCGGCGGCGGCAATGGCAGCGGCAGTGGCGGGGGCGGAGTGGGGGACCCCTCAATGTCGCGGTCCTTCAGCCAGGTCCCGCTACCTGCTTTCTCTCCCGCCGCCACCTCCCAGCAGGCTCCCGCCCTGCAGGTCAAGCCTCCCCCCACCACGGTCCCCACCCCGCCGCGGGCCACGCCTGTTCTTCAGCCCCGCCCCCAGCCCCCGGCCCCGCCCCCGGCCCAGCTGCCGCAGCAGACGGTGATGATCACCCCCACGTTCAGCACCGCTCCGCAAACGAGGATCATCCAGCAGCCTTTGATATACCAGAATGCAGCCACCAGCTTTCAAGGTGATTCAGAAGTCAGAGATGATGGTGATTGGTTGGTTCAAAAGTTTATGTGCCATGTTGCAACCACATCCCTCTCTGGGGATGATGGAATCAGCAATTTGGTCCTCTTCTGATTGAGTTTTGGGTAATCCCAACAAGGACCGTGGTGTGGGGATAGTCCACACTCTGCCTCTTCAGATACCCTGATATCTGTTGTGCCTGCTTCAAGGATATTGGGTCAAAGAATGGAACAAGCAGAGCAGGTGCAGGGCCGTGCTGGTAACTGGAGCTAGAGGCTTGAATAAAGTGAGTCTAGAGACTTACCTGAACAACAGCCAGATCTTGGCACCTCGAAGTTGAGAACTATTCATTCAGCAAACATCTCCTGAGCAGCCACTACAGAGACTATGAATTAGAGCAGGTGCTACATCTCCGTTCAGCAGGCCCTCAGTGTGTGGTGAGCTAGTGAGTGACTTTCTGTTGGGCTGTGCCCAGTGCCTTTGCAGCAGACCTCCCTCCGTTTTCGGACCCTTTGGGGGAGCCCCAGGTGGGATTAGTATTACTCTGAATTTCAAAGGATCTTAAAGTTCTTCAGTGGGCATCTGAGGGTTTAGGGCCTACAGAGAGGCAGCAAAGCAAAAAGCTGAGACTGTCATCCCAAAATGCACTTTCTCTTCCTTCCACGAGGAACAATGGAGCCTTATGGAATTGTTGGTTCTCTGTATCTATCAATTCTCCTACTGGGTGCAGTCTTTTGCTGATTAAGCTCCCCTCACGTCCACCCCTCACCCAGAGTAATAAAATAATCTGTTCTCATTCCCTCAGAAATTGATGCAGCTCCCATGGAATATTCTTGTTATCTAGACCAGCCTGTAAATGACTGTGTACATCTTCTTCAGCAGCAGGTGGGGAGTCGGGCTAGTTCTAAGGCACCCCATCCGAGGTGGCTACTGCAGCTACAGTGACACTGCATTCCTCGTCCGTGTGACTTTTCCCTCCTCTTCTCCCAAGTCCTTCAGCCTCAAGTCCAAAGCCTAGTGACATCCTCCCAGGTGCAGCCAGTCACCATCCAGCAGCAGGTGCAGACGGTACAGGCCCAAAGGGTGCTGACGCAGACAGCCAACGGCACGCTGCAGACCCTCGCCCCGGCCACGGTACAGACAGTTGCTGCACCCCAGGTGCAACAGGTCCCGGTAGGTAGCCGGTGAGGATTCAGGAGGGTGCTGGGTGGGGCTGGGCGCTGGTCTTGAAAATGTGGTTTACATACTAAGAAGGACCAACAGAGTGTAAGGGAGTAGCGTTTGGGCCGTGGTGAGCTGGGCATGGAGACCTAGCTGGGATGGCATCTGTGGAGGTACACTGGCCCTCACACAGTCCCAGTGGAGGTGGATTATTATTTTTTTAATCTTTTTTTTTTTAAAGATTTTTATTTATTTATTCATGAGAGACAGACAGAGAGAGAGAGGCAGAGACACAGGCAGAGAGAGAAGCAGGCTCCATGCAGGGAGCCTGACGTGGGATTGGATCCCGGGTCTCCAGGATCACGCCCTGGACTGAAGGCGGCGCTAAACTGCTGAGCCACCTGGGCTGCCCTGGAGGTGGATTATTTACCCCGGTCATGGGTAACTGGAAAGGGATGTGCCAAAATGTCTTGAATTTATGTATTACGGTGGATTGTAGTTTCTCACTAACAAGGTAATTTATCTATTAAAAAAAAAAAACAAAACGCAGGTTTTTTTTCCCCTATCTGCTTCTCAGCCCTGTTCCTGGCTTTGCTGGGTTTGTCGAAAATCAGCCCTCTGTCCCGTCCTCCATCCCCAGACTCTGCCCCTGCCAGGCCCTGGCATTACTCTCCTTGAAGCCTTCCAGCCTTCCAATCCAAGACCCTCTTTAGCTATATTCTTTCTCCTTGTCATCAAGTTGTGTTCTTGGTTTTAGGGAAATGTTATTTTTTCTTCTTTCGTGGAGGGAAAGAAGCTAAAGCAAAAGAAAAAAAATAACACTGCCTTCCTTTTTCCTTTTCTTTATTCTCCGTCCAGGTCCTGGTACAGCCTCAGATCATCAAGACAGATTCCCTTGTTTTGACCACCTTAAAGACAGATGGCAGCCCTGTCATGGCCGCAGTCCAGAACCCAGCCCTCACCGCCCTCACCACCCCCATCCAGACAGCTGCCCTTCAAGTACCAGTAAGAGCTGCCTTCCTCCCTCCACCCCCTCCTTTCCTAGAGGTGTTAGGCCCCAGAGATGTTAACAAAACCTCTACAGAGTGGGTAGGTGCAGAAGCTCTATGGAATGTGTCAGATTGCAAATATCACCCCCTTTTAGGTTCCCTCCCCACTGTCTTGAGAAGTACCATCAATGCATGTTATATGGGAGTACTAGGGACTGAGGGAGGAGAGAGGACTAGCAGAGGGTCCCCGGTTCCCATGTAGCAGCTCCACACAGGAATGTCTGCCTCTTAGGTCCTGCTGATGGAGGTTTGACTTCTGAGGGACCCTAGACCCATCAGGCAGGGAGGGGCTATAAGGTGAGGGACACGGAAGGCCCCCATCCTTGGGTTGCAGGGTCACAGCCACTTTGGTATGTTTTGGCAAGAGAGTCTGATAGAGTAATAGGTGATCAAAATTTGAAAGTAAGCTTTATTCATAAGAGCCAAGAACTGGAAATAACACATGTACAAAAAGAACTATTGATACATATGACTGCTGAACCTCAAAAATAGTATGTTGGGCAAAAGATGCCTATCACAAAAGAGTTCATGCTGATGATTGCATTTATATGAAGTTTTAAGAGGCCAAACTAAGCTGTGGTGATAGAGGTCAGAGCAGTGATCACAGAGAGGGAAGGGGCAGACTGAACTGGAAAGAGGCACAAGAGAACTTTCTAAGGGGATAGGAATCGTCTGTGTCTTGGTCTGGGTTATCTTGGTTACATACATTATATCCCTATGTAAAAATGTATCAAGCTATATACTTAAAATGTGTATTTTTTTATTATGTGAGAATTATTTCTTAGTGATTAATGAAGTTGGGTGGTTTTTTTATTTGTTGGTTGGCCATTTGGATATTGAAGCCATTTTTTGAAAATAAAGCTAAAATGAGTAAAAAATAGAAACAGAGAGGGGAAAGCAGAGTTGAGGAAAGAGGAGCCTCTACAGTTGGCCTGTTTACTCAGTAGAATGGCTCTATCGGTTCTGCTCTTGTGCTTGTTGATGGCCAAATTATATAAGGAAAGGCAGCAAGTGATTTTACCGTCATGTGAGAGGAAGAGATGTATCCTACACCAGGAGAAACTTTGCCTTGGAGCCAGAATGATATGGTACATTTTATGCGAGCTCAGAGGTAGCTAAATAGTTTGACACCAAAGCAGAAATCATAATCTTTCAAGTACCCTGAGACCAAAGTTTAAAATATATTTACCCACATTAACCCTATTGTGTGATTTGTTGACAGCGGTTCTGAAGGGGGCTTAGTAACTCAGATACTGTGGCTCCTGAGGTTTCTTGGGGCCTGAGTTAATCCAGCCAGGAAGGGCATCAGACTGGGCAAGGCCACATGGCCAAGGCTGCAGGTTTGTGTTCTGGGATTGCTTCATTCAGACTAACCATGGGCTAATTCTGCTCTGTGTCTGTGCCTGTTCTAGACTCTTGTGGGCAGCAATGGGACTATTTTGACCACAATGCCTGTGATGATGGGGCAAGAGAAAGTGCCCATCAAGCAGGTGCCTGGGGGAGTCAAGCAGCTGGAGCCCCCCAAAGAAGGAGAGAGGCGGACGACACACAACATCATTGAGAAGCGGTATCGCTCCTCTATTAATGACAAAATCATTGAGTTGAAGGACCTGGTCATGGGGACAGATGCCAAGGTGGGTGCCAAGCATTACGGTATTTCATGGGCCATCATCTCCTCATCTACCTATCTTTGCTTTAGGAATTTAGGAAAACCCAGGTCCAACTGGGTGAATGTAAGGATGGTTAGAGGTGCTTTCTTTCTGTAGCATCTTGGGGTTTTTTCAAGATTATAAAATATAAGCCAACATAAGGGAACTGTTGGGTTTGGGAAAGTAGCAACCTGGCTGGACCTTTGACTCTGCTCTGTGGTGATGATGGATCCCAGGACCCCAGGTGGAGGGCTGCCTACTGCTCACTGGCAGACAGGTGCAGATTGTATGTACCTTGGAGTCAGCTGGTGGTGTTGCTGGCATATGTTTAATTGTGTTCATGGGTGGTTAGCAATATTTTTACCTTGCAGGGAAGAAAGAAAATGGAGATCAGGTCTTTAACCAACAGCAAATAGAGGGAATAGATTGTTCATTATTTTGAGTTTTTCAGTGAATGTGTCTTCTGTCACATAGTTTTTTTTGTTTGTTTGTTTTTGTGTTTTACCTATTTATCTTCATCATCTCTATTTTATTTTATTTATTTTATTTTATTTTTTTAAAGATTTTATTTATTTATTCATGGCAGAGAGAGAGAGAGAGAGAGAAGTAGGCTCCGTGCAGGGAACCCAACGTGGGACTCGATCCCGGGTCTCCAGGATCACACCCCAAGCTGAAGGTGGCGCTAAACCGCTGAGCCACCGGGGCTGCCCCATCATCTCTATTTTAAAAGAAAATGTGGGGATCCCTAGGTGGCTCAGTGGTTTAGTGCCCGCCTTTGGCCCAGGGTGCGATCCTGGAGTCCCGGGATCAAGTCCCACGTCGGGCTCCCAGCATGGAGCCTGCTTCTCCCTCCTCCTGTGTCTCTGCCTCTCTCTCTCTCTATGTCTATCATAAATAAATAAATAAATCTTAAAAAAAAAAAAAAAGAAAAGAAAATGTGATTTTCTTCATAGCCTATAGATCTGAAATGTGCTAACATAACTTAAGATGGCTATCCAACAGTGCTCCGGTTTTTTGTCAGTTGTTTTCTTTAAAATTTATTTTGGGGGGGATCCCTGGGTGGCGCAGCGGTTTGGCGCCTGCCTTTGGCCCAGGGCACGATCCTGGAGACCTGGGATCGAATCCCACGTCGGGCTTCCGGTGCATGGAGCCTGCTTCTCCCTCTGCCTGTGTCTCTGCCTCTCTCTCTCTCTGTGACTATCATAAATAAATAAAAATTAAAAAAAAATAAAATTTGTTTTGGTTCTAGGATTATTATAAGAAAGAAGAGTACTAGGGACTCCTGGGTGGCTCAGCGGTTGGGCGTCTGTCTTCGGCTCAGGCCGTGATCCTGGGGTCCTGGGATCGAGTCCCACATCGGGCTCCCTGCATGGAGACTGCTTCTCCCTCTGCCTGTGTCTGCCTCTGTGTGTGTGTGTGTGTGTGTGTGTGTGTGTGTATGTCTCTTGAATAAATAAATAAATCTTAAAAAAAAAAAAAAAAAAGAGGGATCCCTGGGTGGTGCAGTGGTTTGGCGCCTGCCTTTGGCCCAGGGCGCGATCCTGGAGACCTGGGATCGAATCCCGTGTCGGGCTCCCGGTGCATGAAGCCTGCTTCTCCCTCTGCCTATGTCTCTGCCTCTCTCTCTCTCTCTCTCTCTCTGTGACTATCATAAATAAAAAATAATAATAATAATGAAAGAAAGAACGAAAGAAAGGAGTGACAATATTTATTTATTGTCACTATGTACCAGATCGGGGGCTACTCTCTGTACATGTATTATCTCATTTTACCCTCACTACAAGTTCGTGATTCATGTATCATCATTATCCCCATTTTAAGGAGGTTCAGAGATGCTGAGTAACTTGTCCTGGGTAGCACAGCTAACCAGTGATTGAGCCCAGCATCTCAGTCCGGAGCCATGCTTTCACCCCATGAGCTCTGGCCTCCCCACTCACATTGTGCCACCTGCAGTGATGCCACTGTGTTTTTACCTGGCTTCCTTCCCAGATGCACAAGTCTGGTGTTCTGAGGAAGGCCATTGACTACATCAAGTACTTGCAGCAAGTCAATCATAAACTACGCCAAGAGAACATGGTGCTGAAGCTGGCAAATCAGAAAAACAGTGAGTGTGTGCTCATTGAGAGAAAGGTTATCAGGCCTTCTGGTTGTAGAAGTCCTATGCTAGGCACTGGGGAGAGCCCATGGATGCTGTGTACAAGGTACCTTTGTGGGTGAAGCAGAAGCAAGGACCATGTGCCCCTTACCCAGCTCAGCCCTGGTCCAGGCACCCAGGCGGGGGCTCTGTACAAACAGCTATTTGCCAGATGCGATTTTCTTTGCAGAGCTCCTGAAGGGCATCGACCTAGGCAGCCTGGTGGACAATGATGTGGAGCTAAAGATTGAAGACTTCAATCAGAATATCCTTCTGATGTCCCCTCCGGCCTCTGACTCAGGGTCCCAGGCTGGTTTCTCCCCCTACTCCATCGACTCCGAGCCAGGAAGCCCTCTGTTGGATGATGCAAAGGTATGAGCTTTTGAAATCCTCTGATCCCTGGAATCTCTCCCATATCTCCTAAGTTAACTGTGGAGAAGCTGCCGATAGGGAGGCAGGCCAGGTGTTGAGAGGACTGGGGCGGGAGAATAGGAATTCTGTGAAATTAGGTCCTACTGCGTCCCCCACAAAATCCACTTAACTGGTTCAGTGTAGTCCAGTTTAACTGGTCCTTGCTGAAAGAGCCCATCTGAGAGGAATAAGGGCCAGATCCAGAATGGGAACACACAGCAGCTGTCATGCGGGTGCTAGGAGTTGCCGGAGGCGCCTCATTACATCCCTCACTCATAATGGGCCTGGCAAGACCATTTTTTGATGTTGCTTGGTTGGTTTAGGGCAAGGCTGCCTCTGGGCCCTCTTCTGGAAATGATTAGTTTCCAGTCTAACAAATAACATTCCAGCCGAGGGCCTTTCATCATCAAAGAAAGCCGCTGGCAATTGTGGTTTAATGGAATTAGCCAATAGAGGCTCAAGCCTAATGATCTAGTAGTCCTGGGAACCCGTGGAGGCCACTGGCAATTTCTAACTTCAAAAGCACAAACTTCCCTTCTAGCCTGAGTTTTTGATCAAACTGTTTATAGTATCATGTTCTTAATCTTGGTGACGAAGCTCTGTTTGTGAAATACTTTGTAAATGTGATTCTGTTTGGTAACAGAAGGCCATATGATGTATACATTGAATTAGCTAGGCATCTGTCATCAGAAGAAATTTTCAGATGGCTTTAAAATACTGAAAAGGAGTGGTATAGTATGTGCACACTGGAAGTTGGGAGAGATCTGGCTCCAGCCTTCCTCCCTGCCCCTCTCTCTGGGCACCCTGGGCAGACAGGGCTCCTTTCTCCAGTCCTCCCTCTGTAGGACGGGGAGGGGGAGAAAAGCAGCCTTCTGGTTTTACCACAGGCAAACTCCTGTAAATAGATCCATACTGAAGTTGTATGGGTTTTTTTGGTTTTGTTTTGTTTCTTTTTTGGTAAAAATTTTGTTTATTTGAGAGAGAGAGAAGAGACCATGAGAGAGAGTAGAGTACACGCAAGTTGCAGGGAGAGGCAGAAGCCAACTCCCCACTGAGCAGGGAGCCTAACATAGGGCTCAGTCCCAGGACCCTGAGATCATGACCTGAGCTGAAGGCAGACGCTCAACTGACTGAGCCACTCAGGCACCCCAGTTGTATGGTCTTTAATCAGGTCTGTTGGTGTTTAATTTGCATGAGATAAAACCCCTATTTTACAGTAGCATGAAGTACTGGCATACAGTGTGAGGAGTTTTGAAAAGCAAGGGTATACACATATATAACTATCACTATAATCAAGATATAGAACACTTCCATCACGCACAGAGCTCCTTCATACACCATGGCGGATAGTTCCCACACCCCTCTCCAGCCTCAGACAGCTATTGCTCTGATTGCCGTCACTTTAGATTAGATTAGCTTGCCTGTTGTGGAATTAAACAGAAACAGAAGAGCAGCCCCGGTGGCTCAGCGGTTTAGCACTACCTTCAGTCCAGGGCGTGATCCTGGAGACCCAGGATCGAGTCCCATGTCGGGCTCCCTGTATGAAGCCTGCTTCTCCCTCTGCCTGTGTCTCTGCCTGTGTGTGTGTGTGTGTGTGTGTGTGTGTGTGTGTGTGTGTGTGATGAATAAATAAGTAAAATCTTTAAAAAAAAGATAAATACATAAATAAATAAACAGAAACAGGGATCCCTGGGTGGCGCAGCTGTTTAGCGCCTGCCTTTGGCCCAGGACGCGATCCTAGAGACCCGGGATCGAATCCCACGTCGGGCTCCCGGTGCATGGAGCCTGCTTCTCCCTCTGCCTATGTCTCTGCCTCTCTCTCTGTGTGTGTGACTATCATAAATACATAAAAATTTAAAAAAAAAAACTTAAAAAAAGATATTGAACATTTATTAAAAAAAAAAAAAACAGAAACAGAATCCTGCAGAATGTTCTCTTTGTGCTCTCCTTTATAAGCAGGACTCCTCTCCCTCTGGTCTTCGGAACATATTCTTGTCCCAGGTGGCAAGAGGATGAGCGCTCCAGTGTCTGAGAAGCAGTCGGAGGGAGAGCTATGGGCTTCTTACCTGTGTCCCATGCTTTTCCTGTCTGACTTTTTTTTTTTTAAAGATTTATTTATTCATGAGAGAGAGAGAGAGAGAGAACGAGGCACAGACACAGGGAGAGGGAGAAGCAGGCTCCATGAAGGAAGCCTGATGTGGGACTTGATCCTCGGTCTCCAGGATCACACCCTGGGCTAAGGCAGTGCTAAACCGCTGAGCCACCCAGGCTGCCCTCCTGTCTGACTTTGTAGTCTTGAGTTTAAATCTCATGATCTGCCTCCAGTTCATATAAAAGCAAAATGCTATAAAAACCCATGCAGTATTTAATTCCAACCTCTTGGCCCTGTTTTGAAGGTCAAAGATGAGCCAGACTCTCCTCCTGTGGCTCTGGGCATGGTGGACCGCTCTCGGATTCTGCTCTGTGTGCTCACCTTCCTCTGCCTCTCCTTTAACCCCCTGACTGCCCTGTTGCAGTGGGGAGGGGCCCACAGCTCTGACCAGCACCCATATTCCGGCTCTGGCCGCAGCATCCTGTCACTTGAGTCAGGTAGGCAGAGGACCCCTTGTACCACCCAAGGGGGGGTGGGCGGCTGTGACAGGAGATGGGCCCTGTGTGTACAAACTGCTCAGCTTGTCCACCAGGTTCCAAAGGGCTTTTGTAGCAGGCCTGATAAGGACTGGCATAAGTCCCTATTTGGAAGTAACAGGGCACACCCAAGCTCCGTCAGTAAGAACAGAAGAAATCAGGAACCTACACTTCTATTATTATAGGGGTTGGGGATAAGGGAAGGGAGGATACCTATTTGAAGGAGATGTGATATTTTTGTCCGAGTCATGAAATCAGTGGTCTAACCAAACCCACCTTGATTGACGGTGATTTTTGCTATCTTTGTTATCTAGCTATGGTACCTAGTTCCATAGTGACAGGGGCTACGGGGCTCCTATTTAGGCTACAGAACTGTTCCAGATTTGCCTATTGTGTGGATTAAGGTTATGTTTTATTCTTATGGAAAGCATTTAGACGTTGTTACTAAATGAAGCAATCTTGTTACCCACACTTCTGAAAATGAGGTAGAAGGCTTCTAACCTGTTAAATGCTGGGGGTTAGTCAGATGCCCTGCAGTCCCCTAGGGCTGCTCTAGGAGGCCGTTCCTCATGGGCTCAGTGGAGACCTTCCTTTTTAGGTTCTGGGGGCTGGTTTGATTGGATGATGCCAACGCTTCTCTTATGGCTGGTAAATGGTGTGATTGTCCTGAGCGTCTTTGTGAAGCTGCTGGTCCATGGAGAGCCAGTGATCCGGCCACATTCACGCTCCTCAGTCACCTTCTGGAGACACCGGAAGCAGGCCGACCTGGACCTCGCCAGGGTAAGTTCTGCAGCTGATAACTCAGCGACTTATATTGAATACCCTGGTATATAAATATGCCCTGTGGTAGGTGCTTGTGGGTGGTAAGAGTAGGAAGGGACCTGGCCCCTGATGGTCATAGGCAGCAGAGGAGAGGACTCCTATGTGTAAATTATTGCATGAACACAAGATAATCAATCTATGGTCTGGGTTATGACAGAGGAAAAGTAAAGTTCTACGGGAGTTCAGACAGAAGGGACGAGTTCTGGTCAAGAGGATCTGGGGCTTGAGCCACACGGTCAGAAGCAGGAAGGACCTTCTAGGTGGAGAAGTCATGAATAGATGGGGTACTTGGGGACCAGCAGGTAGACAGGTATGTCCAGAGTGCAGGATATATCTGGGACAGATGAGGTCTAAGACTGATATTGTATCTCTGGCCCAAATTGGAGTTAGTAGTCGAAGTAACTGGGCTTTTTTCCCAGTTATCTGGAGAAATCCAGGAAGGTTTTTGAGCAGAAAAATTAGCTGAAAGTTTTCTGTTGAAATTAACAAAGAATTTATAGGAAGGATTCTGGGGCAACTCACAGCATTGAAAGAAGAGTTCAACGTCACATCTCAGAGAAACAAGAGCCAGAACAGTCCTCAGTTTCAGTAAACCACAGGCCGGCTCTCGCCTCCTACAGGATGCCATGGCCACCAGAGAGAACTAGACTGACCAGCCTGGAACTGTAAGCCATGCCTAGGGCTGTGGCACCTGGAATACAGATGTCATTGTTAGGGGCCTACCCCTTAAAGTGAGACTATTCCTAGAAAAAAAGCATTCCAAGCTGTATATCCTAGAGGCAGATTCAGGTCCATGTTTCAGGATTGTTACTCTGGCAGCTGCGTGAAGGATGGGGTGCATGAGGGGGCACAGAAGTAAGTTGGGGACTCCTGGGATGGACCAGAGGAGAGGTGGCAAGAACCCAGAATTGAAAGGAAAAACTGATTCCAGAAATATTTGAGATGTAAAGTGGAGAGGAGGTGATGAGACACTGACACCGGGGTGGGGGAGTCTGGAGCTGTGGTGGCCTCTGTCTGAGCCATGTTGCTCACAAGTGGGGTGAGAAGGGACCAGGAGGCAAGGCTGAGGTGGGTCGGGACCAGAGTGTGCTGGAAGCTGCTCATCAGCCAGGAGAGAGGTGCTGTCCCTGCACTGACCACTTCCCGTAGTGATGCCAGAAGGAAGTACAGGTGTGCCCACTGCAGGACAGGGGAAGGGAGAGGACAGTCTCCGTGTTTGCCAGTGATGAGAGAAACAGGTGTTCAGTACAGGGCCATAGACTCTCCACTAGACCCTCTCAGGATGGCCAAGAGTAGTTTATCTAGATCCTTGGTTATAGTAGTCTAGCCAGGTATTTGTGTAAAACAGTGGTTCTCAGACTTTAGCAGGCAACAGAATCTCCTGGAGAGCCCCAACCCCAGAGGTTCTGATTCAGCAGGTGGCGCAGGGTCGGGCTAGAGCACCAGGAATTTGCATTACCTTTTTTTTTTTTTTTAAGATTTTATTTATTTATTCATGAGAGACACAGAGAGAGAAAGGGGGAGGGAGAGGGAGAGAGACACACACACAGGCAGAGGGAGGAAGCAGGCTCCATGCAGGGAGCCCTAGGTGGGACTCAAGTGGGACTCAAAGTAGGACTCGATCCCAGGTCTCCAGGATCACACCCTGGGCTGAAGGTGGCGCTAAACCACTGAGCCACCTGGGCTGCCCAGGAATTTGCATTTCTGACAAGATCCCAGGGGCTGATGCTACTGGTTCCGGGAACCACACTTTGAGAACCTAAAAGCCTAAAAGATCACATTAGCCTGAAAAATGATCATTTATGTCCACTTTATCATCTTATGTGTAAAACTACTGTGGGAAATTGTGAGTAGTATTTGCTCCAACATAGACCAGAGTACAATCCCAATTTAGTAAAAGGCGAGGAGAATATACGTGTAAATGTCAGCTATCATTCTTCCTGGGGTGTAAGGTCACAGGTGATTTCTTTTTACTTTTTCATAGCTTTCTGAATTTTCCTGGACTCTTCAATGAGCATGTATTACTCTGGTAAACTAGGGAGTGAAGGGAGAGTAAAAGTTTTTGCTAAAATAAAAAGAGGTGGGTGCTTGGGTGGTACAGTCTGTCTGACTTCAGCTCAAGTCATGATCCCAGGCTCCTGAGATTGATTCCACAGCAGACTCTCTGCTGAGCGGGGAGTCTGCTTCTCCCTCTGCCCTTTCACCCTGCTCGTGATCTCTCAAATAAATAAATAAAATCTTTTTAAAAATTAAAAATGAAAATAAAATAAAAAGGGGCACCTGAGTGATGCAGTCAATTAGGCGTCCGACTCTTGATTTCAGCTCAGGTCATGATCTCAGGGTCGTGAGATTGAGCTCCGCATCAGGCTCTGAGTTCAGCAGAGAGAGTCTGCTTAAGATTCTGACTCCCTTTGCCTTTCTCTCTAAAATAAATAAATATTTAAAAAATAAAGCAAAATAAAAAGGCCACAGCAAGGCCAGTGAATGTCACACCTCTCGCTGCTCTCTAGGGGGATTTTGCAGCTGCTGCAGCCAACCTGCAAACCTGCCTGTCGGTGTTGGGCCGCACACTGCCCACCTCCCGCCTGGACCTGGCCTGCAGCCTCTCCTGGAACGTGATCCGCTACAGCCTGCAGAAGCTGAGCCTGGTGCGCTGGCTGCTCAAGAAGGTCTTCCAGCACCGGCGGGCTGCCCCGGCCACCGCCGCAGGCTTTGAGGACGAGGCGAAGGCCAGCGCCCGGGACGCGGCCCTGGCTTATCACAGGCTGCACCAGCTGCACATCACAGGTGAGGGGTGGCCACTGCTTCCTGGCTGGCCTCAGGGTGCCCGATGCCGTCTCTCCACCTTGGCTGGGTTTGCTAGTTCTCTGGCCCATCGGAGCCCTCTTCCCACTGCTGCCCTAGAACAGTGGGACGGACCTTCCACCCACAACCATGGCCACAAAGGTGGCTCATTACTGTAGCCCATCAGTTTAAGATGCACATTTTTTCACATTAATGTCTCTACGTTTAGTCTATGTTCTTTATATGGCGGCATGGTATGGTTGAGTTGGCACTGTTTTTTCCTTAGTGGTTCTTAAATTAATAGTAGACTTAAAATTGATGTCATCTTAGATTCAGTGAAATATTTATTTCATTCAGCTGCTGCTCTGCTAATAGGCAGGCAGGTCAGCAAGTGAATTATGATTTAGTGTGGTAGAGGTAGGAGAAGGATTGGACTTCAGTTGCAGGGCGGGGGTATACTGCTGAGGAGGGTTTCAGGAAAGGCTTTCTGGAAAGTCTTAGCTTTGTATGACAGGATGGGTTGAGTTTGCCAGCCATGTGGAAGGGGGTGTGCCTTCCAGGCAGAGGGATGTTCCCAGGGAGGAACCCCACCTGGAGTGGCTCTTGAGAAGAATATTTCAGTTGTCCTGGAGCCAGCTGCCAGGCAAGGGGAGGGTGATGGGAGCCAGGCAGTGAGGGGCATTCGGACAGTGATGACACCATCAGATTCTGACGAGAGTTGATTCACTCTGCTGGCAGGTAGGAGGTGGGTGGAGAGGATTAAGGATTGCGTCAGGGAGTCCAGGGAGGAGCAAATACAGCTGGAGACGAGAGGTGACAGGAGGAGAGAGAGCAGAAGCTGATAGACAGGACTTGGGGAGCCATGGGATGAGAGGGGCAGGAAAGGAGTGGCAAGGTTGGTTCCCTGGTTTCTTGCTTGAGAGTTTGGGGAAATGGTGTTGCTGCCAATAAAGGTGAGGGAAACAGGCCAAAGAGCAGTTTTCCAGGGAGAAGGTGAGCAGTTTAGTGGAGAATGATGAGCGGCGGTGGACGTGCTGGCTCCGCAGCCTAAGAACAGGGCTTCGTCTCTGGCCTACAGTGAGAAAACTGAGGTTGCTGATGAGAGGCTTTTGGTGAAGGGACCTTCAGGGGACCCAGAAAACACCACATACTACGTGCAGGCCAAGGGCAAGTCAGGTAGAGGCTGCCCGAGAGGTTTGGTGTTGGGGAAGCAAAGTCAGAGGGTTTGAGAAGGGAGGTTGCCATGGGGATATCCAGTGAAGGTCAGAAAGCAGCAGTGGGATGTGGTCCTAGGAAGGTGATGGAAGTACCCTGGTGATGAGGGAGCTGCAGCCCAGAAATGGGGCCTTAGCAGGCCCCAGGGGTGACATGAATGGGAGATGGGACCTGTGGGGCCAGCCGTGAGGTTTTCACACCTGGGGTCATGGTGATTTCCAGCAGAGGGCCCTTGTCTGCAGACCATGCTTCACTCTTCTCTGACCTCTCAGTGTGCCCTTGGGGGATGGAACCAGCTCCCTCCCTGTGTTCTCCCAGCTGTCATGTTCTGGAGAGTTCCAGCTGGAGTAGTTCACATCACTCATTCCCTCCACGTTTGCTGAGCACTCTGTGGGCCTGGCTTTATTCAAGGCACTGAGAGGACAGGTGACTAAAACATGATCCCCTTTTTGCCGCCCAGCCTCCCTCTCCTGAAGAGAGAAAGCCAGCTGGCATCTCCTGGAGGAGAGAGATGTCTGTGCAGAACAAAATGTAGGGGCTGATAGAAAGATGAGGGAAGCAGGGTGGCCCCAGGGGGGAAGAACGTGGGGCTGATGAGGTCAGGAGGCCTGGCTTGGCCACTGTCTGGACCTTTGACAAGGGGCTGCCCCCAAAGCGCAGCCTCCCTCAGTAAAGCTCGTGTGCCCTGGTGCCCTCCCAGCCCCGTAGCAAGGACCAAAACGAGCTCAACAGTGTGGAAGCCTCAACGGCTTCGATGGGCCCTCGTACCCATGCAGGGACACTTTGGCCCCTGCCTTCAGGGTCACACCACATGACTGCAGCCCTCACGCGGGAGCATGTAGGAAGCCTTTTCTAGCCGTCCACCTGCTCACCCAAGACGTGTCCACCATCAGCGCCGATTTGTGTTATTTCCCCTGTGGAAAGCAATGTGCTCATTACATACCGTGCATTCTTTTACAGTGAAAAGAAATTCATGTCGGTTTCTCTTGTTTTGTTTTTTAATTTATATTACCTCTTTCCATGTTTGGAGATTCAAGATGTTTCAGCAGAACGTGGAAAGTGTGGAAGTGCCTACCTGAGTCCCATTCATCGACCTGCAGTCATAATTGCTCTCATTTCCACAGCCCTTGTGCCACGTGGCAGGCACTTGACATACATTTTCACTTGTCCCAACAACCTGTGGGGTGGAAAGGAGCACACAGCCACTTGGTCTCAGAGCCTCGCATCCCATCCAAGACCATCTGATGACAGAGTTCAAGCACTTTCTTCAGTCCTTGTGCTCTTGCTGTGATGGCACTACAGAAAACAGGAAAAAAAGCTTGGTTTGGAGGAATCCAGCCACATTAGTGTCTGTTTCTGCCTGCCACAGGGAAGCTTCCTGCGGGATCTGCCTGTTCAGATGTACACATGGCTTTGTGCGCCGTGAACCTGGCAGAATGTGCAGAGGAGAAAATCCCACCGAGCACGTTGGTTGAGATCCATCTGACTGCCGCCATGGGGCTCAAGACCCGGTGTGGAGGCAAGCTTGGCTTCCTGGCGGTGAGTACCCTGCAGCTCCCTTCTGGGGACTTGCATGAAGCCCCCTTCCCTGGCCAGGAGCTAAGATACAAAGATGGGTGTGGGCTCTGCCTTTGGGGGCCGACTACCTAGAGGGTTAGATAGCCAGTCAGTGGGTTGTTTCACAAATATTTAGGCACTGAACAAAAGAGACAAAAAAACAAACAAACAAGCAAAAAAACAACAGAACCCCTCCTGGCCCTTAGAAGCGTAAGCAGACATTTCAACGCCTGAAGAAAGAAGATTGATTTCAGTGATACAGTGACCCATATTCAGGGGGTTAAATATATGATTCTCCTGCTCTTCCAAGTGGTCATAAAAATTTTTGACATTTTCTGGTTATGTCTCCTGGTGTTTTTACTCATACCAAAGGTAGCAGTTGCATTCCTTGTAGTAATCACAGCACTCTGAGTCCTGAAATGAAAAATGGTGCCTGTCTTGGAGGAGCCCAGGTCAGCCCCAGGGCAGGAACGGCTGTTTTCAAGCGCCTCCATTGTGCCTGGCATAGGGCCAGCCTTGGGAATTCACTGTTGGCGAATCCACAGTCCTTGTTATCAGCTAGCTCACAGCATCTGCTGACCTCAGGCTTTCTCTTACTCCAGCGGAAAGAGGCACATTCTGTTCGGTGCCCACTTCGAGGAGGCTGCTGAATGCATCAGCTGTGTTCAGCACAGAAAGATGACATCTCCATTTGTTGCCTTATCTCCAGAATGGCACCGATGAGCTGATGAATAGGAACATGGCCTGTGGTGACACTGATGTTTCCTGAAGTGTGTTACCCTCATCTAGGTGACAGAGGGCATGAGGAAGCCCAGTGTACTCTCTGTGTCTCAGTCCTGTTTCAGGGACCTTAGATAATGATGTTCATTCAGCAAGTGTCACTGAGTCCCTGCTCTGTACCAGGCATTCCCTAGAGTGGAAATGCAGTGGAGAACAGAACATTCACCCTGTCCTCAGGGAGCGCACAGTCTGGCAGGGAATCCAGACTAGGAATGGGGCTTCTTGTTCTGCCCAGAGAACACCCTGTTCTTGACCCAGGCCTAGGGAAGTGAGGGTGACATTTCTGGGCAAGGTTAGTCTAGGCTGAGAGCAGGAGGTGTGGGCTAGGCTGCTTCCCTATCCTGTTTGTTTGTCCTAGTGCTCTGGGTCAATGTCATCCCACTTGTAACTTTTCTACCCCCAGAAAGCATTTCGAAGACATTAGTTGTATCAAAATACAATGCACATATAGAAAAATGTGAGCATTTTAATTTACAGTTTGTTGAATTTTCGCAAAGTGAACTCACCCATGTAACAGCAGTTGTCCAAATCAAGAAGTAGGACTTCTGGGGCGCCTGGCCAGTTCAGTGAGTGGAACACGTGACTCTTGATCTCAGGTTGTGAGTTCGAGCCCCACATTAGGTATGGAGATTACTTAAAAATAAAATCTTTGAAAGAAGAAGTAGAACTTCCCATCACCCCAAGAAGCTTTTGCGGGCTTTTGTTCACACTGCCCCCTACAAAGATAACTGTTATTCTGAATTCTGGCGCCATAATTTAATCTGCCTCTTATTTGTTATTTCTGTAAACGTTTTACTGAAGTATAATATCCATGTAGAAAAGTACACAAATCCTAAATACACAGTTCAGTGACTTCACAAAGTGAATATACTCATACAGCCAGCAGACAGATCAAGAACAGAACAGAACCAGGACCCCAGAAGCATCCTTTGGGCCCCCTGCAGTCAGCACACTCCCCCTACTGCCAAGGCCTCCCACCAGGGTAACCACCATCCGGATCACTTAGGTGTTTTGCCTGTGTTGGAATGTTATAGGAGAGTCACACAGCATGTAGTATATGTGTCCAGCTGCTTTCACTCAGTGTCGTGTGTAAGATTCATTGCTCTACAGTATTCCATTCTGTGCCTAGACTTAGAGATGGACTTTTTGAGTTGTTTCCTATTCTTGGTTACTATGAACAGCACTGCTGTGAACATCCCTGTTCGTTCTCTGGTGAGCGTGTGATTGCACTTCTAGGGATGGTATTGCTAGGTCAGTGGTTACACGTATGTTCAGCTTCAGTAGACAACGCCTAACAGTTTTGTTTTGTTTTGTTTTGTTTTAAGATTTTATTTATTAATGAGAGACGGGGGGTGGGGTGCAGGCAGAGGGAGAAGCAGGCTCCATGCAAGGAGCCCGACGTGGGACTCGATCCTGGGTCTCCAGGATCAGGCCCTGGGCTGAAGTTGGTGCTAAACCGCCAAGCCACTTGGGCTGCCCCCTAACAGTTTTCCAGAGCAGGTGTACCAATTGCCACTCCTCCCGCGGTGTATGAAAGAAAGTTCCAGTTCTATATCCTCTCCAAACACATGATAGTATCATTTCTGGCCTTTCTGGTTTTCATTGGTAATTTCCAGGGCATTAATAATGTTGAGCACCGTTTCATTGGCCATTTGGATAATTTCTTTTGTGAAAATCATGTTAAAGTGTTATTACCTGTTTATTTGACATGTCTGTCTATTGATTCAAGGTTATTTATTTTGGCTTTGATCCTTTGTTGGATATGTGCTTTGTGTGTATCTCCCTCTTGTGCTTGCCTAGTTTCTCTCTTTTTTTTTTAAGATTGATTTATTTGAGAGAGAGCACGAGCAGGGAGAGGGAAGAGGGAGAGAGAGAATCTCAAGCAGACTCCTCACTGAGATAATGACCTGAGCCAAAACCAAGAGTCGAATGCTTAGCCAGCCGAGCCACCCAGGTGCCCCTATTTATATTAGAGAGAGAGAGCGGGGGTGGGGGAAAGGGGGGAGGGGCAGAGAATCTCAAGCAGACTCCACCCTGAGCACAGAGCCCGACTTGGGGCTCGATCTCACGACCCTGATATCATGAGCAGAGACGAAACCAAGAGTCAGACCTTCAAGGAACTGAGCCACCCAGGGGTCCCGCCTAATCTCTCTCTTAATGGTGTCCGTTGATGAGCACAAGTTGTTAATGTTCGTGAAATCAGACGTTTAGTCTTTCCTATCACAGATACTTTCTGTCCTGTTCAGTGCATTTTTGTCCTCCGTTACAGACACTCTACTGGGTTTTTCGCCAGTCGCTGTACTTTCTATTTCCACACCCAAACCCATATCCACCTGGAATTGACTTTTGTGTGAGGTGAAGGTAGAGATGCAAGATCTACTTTTTTTCCTATATGGATATCTCCCTGCCCCAGGCTCTATTATTAAAATGCTTGTCATTGCCTCACTGGACCAACTGGCACTTTTGTCATAAATCAAGTGCCCATGTGTAACGAGTCTGCTTCTGGATGCACCACCACCACACACCCTAATGGTTGAGTCTTCTAATGTGTCTGATATCTGGAAGTGTCAGCCCTCTAGCTTTAGTGACTAGTTTGTGCCCTTTACCTTCCCCTATAAATGTTGAGATCATCCTATCATACTGAAAGCCCCCCCTGGGGTTTTGACTGTCCTTACTGCCAAGACGCAGCTACGCTTCAGAGGGACTCAGCCTGCTTGAGGAGGGTATATGTGTGGCAGCCGAGGATCAGGAAGATGGTGCCCTTGAAACTGTCCCTGCCCATGAGCCCCTCTCCCCAAAAACATCTGATGTGTCTAACAAAGGGTAAGCAGTCACTGTGTATTTCCTCGGAGTTTCCTCCTTGCATGTACTAACATACACGCATTATCTATTTAATGTGATCCTACCAGGGGATCCCTGGGTGGTTCAACGGTTTGGTGCTTGCCTTTGGCCCAGGGCGCGATCCTGGGGTCCTGGGATCGAGTTCCACGTCGGGCTCCCGGCATGGAGCCTGCTTCTCCCTCTGCCTGTGTCTCTGCCTCTCTCTCTCTATGTCTATCATAAATAAATAAATAAATCTTTAAAAGAAAAAAAAAATGTGATCCTACCAGAAACCCTGTTCTGCCACTTGCTTTGTCAACCAAACAATGAGCCATGGGCCTCTTTCTTTGCTACCTCCTTACTCCACAGAGAGGTTCCTGGTACTCTAGCACGTTTGCCGGGGCATGTTCAGTTGCCTCTAATATATGCAGTTACGGTGCTGCCGGCAGTGTCGCCACACACTCTCCTCACCCACTTGTATGAGTCTCCCCTGAGGTGAAATCTCTCAAAGTGGTGAGCTCACTCAGAGGGCATAAGTATCTGGAACACCGATGGTATTGCCAGATTTGCATTTCAGTAAGGTGGACAAAGAAGAGGAACTGATTTCTAGGAAAGTAACCACCCCTTTCATCTGTTGGCTTCTCTTGAGAGGTGCCAGACTAGCAGACCCAGACAGTACTTAAAGAGGAAGAAGCTTTGAATTCAGTCAAATGCAGCTGAATTCAGTCAGCTAGCAAATGAGTTGGGCTTTGAGGGCAAGCAGAAGGCTGGCCTCTCTGAAAATGGTTTAAACCAGAGGTTCCCAGTCTTTCTCCGTTCATGGCACCCTTTGTGTCCTCAGTAATTTTTACATGGTTGCCCTGGGCTAAAAGAAATACCTAACTGTTCTGTTTATTTATTAGTTCTGTACAGACATCTTAATACACATTTAGGTCTTAACAATTTAGTAGCCAATAAAGAAATAGACACAAAATTGAAATAAATAGTATTTTTATTTTTTAAAATATATTTATTTATTTATTTATGAGAAACACAGAGAGAGGTAGAGACATAGACAGAGGGAGAAGCAGGCTCTCTGTGGAAAGTCTGATGTGGGACTCGATCCCAGGACCCTGGGATCACGACCTGAGCCAAAGGCAGATGCTAAACCACTGAGCCACCCAGGCATCCTGTATTTTTATTCTTGATAACTGTAAATAATTGACTGCTGGGATACATACATGTGCCTGTTCGGTGTTGCAAACCTTCTCAAGCCTTGAAATCAGAGTAGCATCACCAACTTCTGGTAACACCACCAACGCTTGCTTTTTACTACAACAGCCTCTAAAAACTCAGCTTCGTGAAGCTATGACATCATCCAAAGAAAGGTTGTGCAGTCTCACATCGAGACTTCAAACTACCACCACTTAGTAGTTTAAGTGGTGTTTGACTCAGTTGGGCACGGCTATATTTACCTCAGAAATGTGAAATATCCAGTGGTGCACCTGCAGGCTCCCTGTGGTGCTTGGGGGTACCTTGGCACACAGTTTGAGAACCATAGGGTAAGCCTGGTATGGAAAGACAATGTGGAATTGGAACTTCGGGGTGGCTCTCAGGATCTAAGCAGTTCTGAGTCTCCTGACATGGCTGCTCAGTTTGGCAGTTAGCAGATGAGTTAGAGGAAGGGGGGCTCATAGGCCATGGCTTGGGTGGATTCTGGTGTCTGTAGAATTTAGAGAAATTAGGGCATCCCAGGTAGCTCAGCAGTTAAGTGCTGCCTTCAGCCCAAGGTGTGATCCTGGAGACCCGGGGTTGAGTCCCACATCAGGCTCCCTGCATGAAGCCTGCTTCTCCCTCTGCCTGTGTCTGTGCCTCTGTGTGTGTGTGTGTGTGTGTGTGTGTGTGTCTCATGAATAAATAAATATAATCTTAAAAAAAAAAGAATTTAGGGAAATTATCATAGAGTGATAATGCCAAGAAAATTAAAAGAGCAACAGAAGTTATTCTTTCAGTTTGCCTTCTAGAAATTATACTGTAGATGATTATATCCCAGGATTTATATGTCTTATTAATTCAAACCACTAAACTCCAGCTCTCTCTCTCTCACATACACACACACACACACACACACACACACACGCATGCATGGGCGCTGAGATAGATGTCTTAAAACTAAGGTTTTTCTTAAGAATTAAGCTTTAAAATGTACTCTAACTTAATGATTTCCTTAATCATTCCTTGGGTTCCTCTTGTAAAACCACCTAACCAGGCTTTTTTGCTGCTTCATTTGGTGACATTTGGGCCCTTCTGAGGAACCAGTGGTTTTCAGTTTCCCCTGAAGCAGCGCCCTGCTCCCTTGCTTATCAGGCAAGTGGTAGAAGGTTCTCTGACTTCAGAGGCCCCGGGATTGCCACCACCCCACCCCTAACCTCTGTTCAGTTCAGGCTCCTCCACTGCAGTTACCGGCTCAGATTCAGCAAGCACTCTGTTGACAGTCAGGAGGTGGTCATGGATTTCCTCCGCACTTGTTCTCCAGTGTCCCATCTCAAATACAGCGGTCTGCAAAGAGTAGGGGAGTCCATTAGTGCTGCTGGCCCCTTGATGAGAGACTTCGGGGAAGATTCGTGATTGTACTAGAGTTTCTCCATAGAGCAGTCTGGCCAGGTCATTTTCTCTCAGATTCAGGCAGCACTCTCCAGATCTCCCGCCCCCACCCCAGGAGAGTCCATCATCTCTGTCTGTTCCCTGAGTGGCACTCTGGCTGGTGGTGCTATTTCTGACCCTGGCATTCAAGTCTTCTAAAGCCGTTATATTAGCTGATGGCTACTTAGAGCCCAGTAAAGGTCAGACCCATCACGCTGAACCAGACACGGAGGCGCTGCCCTCATCGTGGGCGCCAGGGAGGAAGTGCAAAGGCTGAAGGCCGAGAGCATGTCCCAGTGGCCCCTCTGGGCTTCCTGAGCCCTGGGGGTTGTACTTCTGCCTCCCTTCCATCCTTCTCTGCTCAGCTCATTCAGATGAGCCTGCATTGAGCAGTTTTATGGGTTCATTCAGATGAACCTACATTGAGCAGTTTTATGGGTTGGAAATCATGGGTTTTAGAGTAACAATATCCTCACTCGGTAATTGACAGGATTTCTGAAAACATGGAGAGACAGCGTGTCTGCAGTTCTTCCTGGGAGCCTGTTACCTGCAGGTAGAGGAGGGTCCTGGAAGATGAGGGCACTGGCTTCGAGCTGCCCAGCGAAGAGGCTCTCAAAGTCTTTCCTGGCCTTCCCTCTCAGGCTGGTGTTCACATCCGGGAATTGTCTAGGGATGATGTGGTAGTCCCTTTAGGGGGTTAAATAAAGCCCTTCAGGGGCAATTCTGGGGGGGAGACATCATCATATGCACACATGCCTGCATGGGTCCTTAGACGAGCCTCGGGGCTGCTACCCTTCACTTCGGTGCCTTCCAGTGTGACTGTGACGTAAATAACACTAGCCACTTGCTGTGTGCCTTTTCTATACTCTTCATACTCAGAAGTAAAAGAGATGAAAAATCAGTCAAAGCTGATCAGAACACAGTTTTGCCTAAAAATATCCTAAGAGATAAGTAATAGAAAGGACAGAGAAGGAAAAGCCCCAGGATCCAAGGGGCCACCTGGCTGGGACACAGGCCCTCACAGGGCTGCAGGTGGAAATGCAGCTGGGGGGCCCCTGTGACCTCTCCCCCACGATCCACCCCCTCCCGATCCCTGCAGGTTGAATGCCAGCAGGGCCAGAGGGAGATTCCAGGAGGGGTGAGGCAGACGGAGCAGGGCAGGGTGCCACGGGTCCCCACAGGTACCCTGAAACCCTGTCCATCCCTCCTGCTGCAGGCTGTGCCTGGTCACCATGCCCGGCAGGCTCTACTAGAGCCACTTGCTCTAGTTTCACTGGTGGCGTTTACTCCTAGGGATGGGGGGGGCTCCCGGCCCTCCTGCTGATCTTTCCCCAGCCTATTTCCACCGTCGTCGTGCTTTCTGATGACCCCAGGGTGGCTGCAGCCAGCATTCTCCCGCCCTAATCACCCCTGGTCCTTGTCTGTCCACAGAGCTACTTCCTCAGTAGAGCCCAGAGCCTGTGTGGCCCAGAGCGCAGCGCCGTCCCTGACTCACTGCGCTGGCTGTGCCACCCCCTGGGCCAGAAGTTTTTCATGGAGCGGAGCTGGTCAGTGAAGTCGGCTGCCAAGGAGAGTCTGTACTGTGCTCAGAGGAACCCAGGTGAGAATTCTGCAGCCACTGAGGATTGGCAGCAGCCACGAGAGCCACCAGTACTTCAGGGGGACTGTGCTTCAAACACATGGGGACACAGGTGGTCTCAGTCTTGTTTTCCCCAAAGCTCGGGGACGCCACAAGCCTGGTTAGCTAGGCTCAGTATGCAGCTCGCCTGTCTCTGACATTCAAAGCCTGTGGTCCATACCTCCCCACCCTGTTCTTGCCCTCGTTCTGGCTGCTTTGGAGACACACAGGATGTGTGGAGTTACTATTCGCTGGCTCCCGCCTTCTGGGCCCCCTGGAAAGCAGATGTGTATAAGGAGCAGTTAGAGAGCAGTAGATGACAGGCGGTCATCAAGTGCTCAGAGTGGTGGTGGCGACAGGGCTCCAGGCAGCAGAGGAGACAATGGCTTGCAGTCCCTGGCGTTTGACAGTGATTGGAGGCGACTTGTCCCACTCTCAGACTTGAGCGGCCAGTGGCTTTCTGCTCCCCGCGTGCGTTCCCCTCTAAAGTGGGAGCCTGGGGAGAGTGAGGCATGTTCTGCAGGTATGGTCTGTGTGTGAGCTTCCGCTACCCCCCCTTTTTTTAATGATAACTTTTTGCTCAATATAAGAATGGTGCATGACATAAAAAGAAAGGATAAAAGTGAAAGCAATCCTTAGTCTCAACTCCATCCCCACAGTCTGCTTTGTCTACACTGCAGACTTCACTGGCCTTCTCGCCTCGCACAGGCTCTTTCTAGGCCTCATTGCCCAGAATGTGCCCTGCCTCCCCATCCTTGTCAGATGGAGGCCCCCACATCTACACGTGTGAGGGGAAGGAAGGGGCCGCTGCCACCCTGCTTCAGGCCTGCCATTGGGGACTTGGTAATGACAGCTGTTGCAAGCACTGCAGACCATTGCTGGCCACAGGAATGGAAAACAGGTCTTCTGTGTCATGTCAAGGCAGTGGCCACCTCCTTGTTCTCCTTGGCTGACTGTCCCTCCCATTTTCTGTTTACTGATGAGGCTTGCAGCCCCAACCTTGAAGTACTAAGTACTGTGCCAGGAGACAGCACCACACACCTCCCCACCACCTTCCGGCCACCTAACAGGGTGGTTCCAGGCTTTGGTTGAGAAGGGGCTTTGATCCTCATTCAGAGAGGAGAGCTGTTCCTCAGGTCCCTCTCCCCACCCTTTATTTTCTCTGCAAAGACAAAATGGGCTCACGATAAGACCAGCTGACCCTTTTGGCTTTTCCCCTCTTCTTCAGCTGACCCCATCGCACAGGTCCACCAGGCCTTCTGCAAGAACCTGCTGGAGCGAGCAGTTGAATCACTGGTGAAGCCTCAGGCCAAGAAGAAGGCTGGAGACCAGGAAGAAGAGAGCTGGTAACGTTTCCCGGATGCGCCCCTGCCTCGGTCATCTGCGAGGCTCACGCACCTGGCAGGAAACAAGCCTTTGTGCAGGGTCTGCAGGGAAATGGAATGATTCCTTGGTCTTTTTTTCTCAAACCTGGGAGCCCTATGAGAGTCCCGAGTGAGCTTGACCTGACCTCTTTGCCCTCTCACACCAAGTGTGCTGCTTTTCCCCTCGTCCTTTCCCCATACCTCCACCAAGCAGAGGCAGTTCTTGGAGCAGATCAGAGATGTGGCTAGGTTGCGCTGCTTTTTGGGGTGGTGAGGGGTGGCCTGTAGGGGGCATAGGAGTAGAATGTGGAAGGCTGAGCAAAAGGCAGCCGTCTGGGGGACGCAGTGTGCCAAGCAGTTTCTTTCTCTTACACAGCAATTGAGCACGGTCTTTCCTTCTCAGAGTAACAAGACCTGTAGGGCAGACAGGTGCTGGGGTCACTGCCCTACAAAGCCCAGGTCCTGCCCAGAGTGCACGTGAGCAGAGCAGGGAGGGCAGTTCTGTCCTGTGACATCAGCAGCTTTGTGGGAGGAGATGACGTTTGAATTAGGCCTTGAGGGGAAGAGTCAGAAAGAGAAAGGCTGGAGCATCAGGAGCGGCCCAGGGACAGGCAAAGAAGGCCTGTGGAGACTGACTGGCATTGGGGGCAGGGCTCAGGGTGTGCTTGGTGAGGGGGGGGTAAGGGGCCACAATGGCCACTGGCTTTCAGAACTGGGGCACAGGTGCCAGCCACAAGGGTGGGCCTTCTGTACATCCCAATATACAGTAAAGCCGTTTCTTTTCTCTCTAGCGAATTCTCTAATGCTCTGGAGTACCTGAAATTACTGAATTCTTTTGTGGACTCTGTGGGGATTGTGACCCCGCCCTTCTCCAGCAGCTCCGTGCTCAAGTCGGCCCTTGGTAAGCACCCTACAGGGTGGCTCTGCGGGCCTCATGTTGCTTAATTCACTCCTCACAGCCCCTTTGTCCCAGGGGCTCCAGGGCAGTGATGAGTGTGCACCGGAGACTCTTCCCTGGACCTGAAGCATGGGTCTGTGGCCCACACGTAGCCCCCACCCATAGTTACCCTGCTGGGTGGGATTCTGGAGATAGGAAATAATGATTCTCCTCAAAGTATGATGGTGAACAGTGAATATATTTCTTGGGCCCTAGCCGAGTGGGGCAGACATCTTACCAAACACCCAGACTGGGCAGCAAGTGGTCCAAGTAGTGGCGGCTCACTGTCTGATGCACAGTGGTCCCAGGGCTGCTTTTGGGTCTGATGCTGTCTGCTGAAGAGACTTTTTGATCCGGGTATCTGTACTGCTCTGCAGCTACCCATTGGTTGAGCTGGTGCAAGCCACTGACTGAATTGGCACCAGGACATTCTTTGTTTCCATCCCTCGACTGCCATCAGGATGATGGCCTAGCAGCTGTTTCAAGGCTGCTGGGAGAAGGAGGCTGTCAAGCTCTCTCCTGGCCATTCTCCCCAGGGAGGAAAGGATTCCAGAAAAAAGGAGCTGCCCCATCATGATCCCTGACCGGGTGGCCTAGCTTTAAAGAAGCAAGGCTCTTCCACCTTTTATCTTACTTAACACTTCCGCCCCCCCCACCCACCACCCACCCCTGGCTTTATGAGACCACTAGCACCGTCATCCTGCAGCTGAGAAAACTGAGCCTCTGATAGAGAAACACTAAAGATCCTCACAAGAGCTTCTTACTGCAAACACTTGAGAAGCCCCGTTTTTCATGACTCTTAGAGATTCAGGTTGTTTCTAGCATTTTACTGAAAAAGTACACTACAGGGGCACCTGGGTGGCTCAGTTGGTTGAGCATCTGACTCTTGATTTTGACTCAGGTCATGAACTCAGGGTGGTGAGATTGCTGGGAGGGGAATCTGCTTGAGATTCTCTCTCTCCCTCTGCCCCTCCTCCCTGTTCGTGCGCATATGTGCTTTCTCTCTCTCTCTCTCTCCAATCTTTTTTAAAAATTATACTACAGGGATGCCTGGGTGGCTCGGTAGTTGGGCGTCATCTGCCTTTGGCTCAGGGCATGGTCGCATGGTCCCGTGGTCGAGTCGCACATCGGGCTCCCTGCATGGAGCCTGCTTCTCCCTCTGCGTCTGTCTCTGCCCCTCTCTCTCTGTGTCTCTCATGAATAAATAAAATCTTTTAAAAAAAATTATACTATAGTAAACATCTTTGTTCTACTTTTTTTCTCTGTTTAGGCCAATTTTTTGTGATAGCTTGCCCAAAATGGGATTACTAGATTAATAGGAGTGAGCATCTTTAAGGCTCTCCATACAGATTGCCAAACACTTTCCAAAAGATGGTACTGGCTCGTGTCCCACCAGAATTGCATGAGAGGGCAACCCAAAGGTCCCCAGCCCATTACCAGATGGTAGTGATGGCTCGTGCACACGGGGACACTAGGCGCAGGCAGCCAGGCTGAGTGCGGGAGGTCTATGGTGCTAGAGTAATATTTGGTACTATTCCCTCCTAGGTCCAGATGTCATCTGTCGGTGGTGGACATCCGCCATCACTGTGGCCATCAGCTGGCTCCAGGGAGACGACGCAGCTGTACGCACTCATTTTACCGAAGTAGAGCGTGTCCCCAAAGCCCTGGAAGTAACAGAGTACGTAAGCCTCCTTGACGACTTACTTGCTTCTTTCCAGGGGATTCCCTAAAGCCAGGGGTGCCAGGCCCACTGTTCTGTGTTAGCAGGAACAGGCAAGTCTGAGTGGTCGTTGGAGTGAAAGGTCAGGCAGCCCAGGGACTACATGATAGATGGAAGGAGAGAGCCAGCGGGAGGAAGAGGGCGGCATGGAGACACCGAGCTTGGCAAGCACCCTGTCCGTGCCTGTGCTGTCCTTGCAGCTATCTGCTGATTCCGGGGCCACCTCCCCCATTGTCCGTGGAGCCACAAGCTAGAGGGAGGGCAGTGTGGCTCCTGGCATCCTTGGAAGCTCATGGAAGGTGGCTCCCAGCCAGCACGGGCTGTGAGGGGCCCCAAGGATCCCTCTCTTGTGGGCCAGCACTGGACCCATTTTCCTTCTAGCCACCTCAGCCATATCACTCAAAGGGCCTTGGGCCCGTAGCACAAGGCACAACTGGAGAGCTTTTGACCTTCCTCCTGGGAGACTCACGCCTGCCTCTTGGATGCCTTTGGCACTGCCTGCTGACACTGGCTGTTTCTGACTGAGTGTCCCTAACATCTTCTGCAACCCCAGAGTAGTAGTAAAATGCTCCAGCAGGTCCTGTCCTCAGAGCCAAGGCTGGAACATTTCCTGTCAAGCAGACTATTAACCAGGAGAGCAGGAAAGAGCTGAGAAAAGAATGTCTAGGCAGATTCTCTAAGGTAGGGCAGCCCTGGTGGCGCAGCGGTTTAGCGCCACCTGCAGCCCGGGGTGTGATCCTGGAGACCTGTTATCGAGTCCCACGTTGGGCTCCCTGCATGGAGCCTGCTTCTCTCTCTGCCTGTGTCTGCCTCTTTCTCTCTCTCTGTGTCTCTATGAATAAATAAATAAAATCTTAAAAAAAAAATTCTCTAAGGTAGGTCTGACACCCCCATTTCACTTAAGTAACCTGTTGTCGACACCCCGATTCGTCAGCACCTACCTTGCACCCTACCCTGTGTGTGTTGTCTCCCAGCTAGTGTGCCTGAGGACATGACAGGAAATTGTCCAAAGTCCCCTCATGTGAGCAGCAGAGCCCTGGCATCAGGCTAAGACCCTCAGCAGACATGCCTCACCCAGAATTCAGTCGCCCTGGGGTCCTTAGGGATAATGATGCTGTGGGACCCCACCCTCACCCTCCCCAGCCTCTCCCCAGTCTGCTCTATGAAAAGACACTAGTTTCTCTACAGAGTTGAACACCCAGCTTCTGAGGGGATGGCCCCTCAGCAGGTGTAAATCATGGAGTAAATACTTTATGCCCCCATAGGTGGCGGCAAGTGGGACTGTGGCCACTTTATAGATTGTTTGTCGGTTAGATGGCTCCTTAGTGACAGTCCTGGTGGTTGAGCCCAAGTCTCTGATCCTTTCCTCTTGGCCACATGCCCTGTTTCCGGGCCTCCTGGACCTCTTCCATGATTCCATCATTTATTTGGTGGATGCTTAACTGAGGGCCCTCTGAGTGCCAGCTGGGTTCTAGGCTCTGAGAGGCAGCAGGGAACACGAGCAAATTACAGCCAGGAGCGGGTAGATAGTGGCCAGACCTGCACAGGCTCTTCTCCTGTGGGCACCTGGTGCGATTGCCTTTGCCAGGCCAGCCGTGACTTCCGTGAGGCAGCCAGTGCCTCTCTTCCCCGGGAGGTGTCTGGGCCAGAGGGAGGGAGGCCCATCAACCACAAGTTGGTGTCAGGGGAACCGGAGGTGGGTACAAAGGGCCTGACTCAGTGGGCAGCCAGAGGAGGCTAATAGGGGGCAGGACAGGAGAAGGCAGCCCAGGGGCGCAGCAGGAGGACTAAGTCTCAGGGGACAGGCTGGTGAGAGCGGGCTCGCCCCTGCGTCCACGCCAACAGAGGCACAGGAATGTGAAGGGGAAGGAGGTGAGCTCCGCATGCCCACATCCTGTAGCAGGCAGAGGCAGGGGTGGGGTGAGGGTGGGGGTGGGGAACAGGGCCATGGCTAGGCTGAGAAGGGCCTGCCCTCCCTCTGCTCTCCTTGTTTCCTCCCCTCCAGCCACGCTGGCCCCCGGATATTCTCCGGTGTGTCAGAGACTCAGGACTTTTGCACCTGTTGCTCCTCTGCCCGGAATCTTCCCTAGAAAGCCACACAGCTCACTCCTCTGTTTGTTAAGGTCTCCGCTAAAATCACTTTTCCAGAGAGGACATCCTTGACCACCATCCTTTATAAGATGCCTCCTCCTTCCTCTGCCTGACTTTCCTTCCTGGCGCTTACACTGCCTGGCGTCACATCTTCAGTGTCCAGTGCATTTATTACCTGACTCCTGTGCTAGAGAGTGCGTGCCTGCAGGCAGGGACTTGGGTTGTTCACCGCTGCATCGCCAGGCCTGGGCTCTGCCAGCATTCCTTGAATGAAGGCCTGGTATTTCGGATCTGGGGTCATCATGGCAGTATTGGAGTGGACAGGCCCACGTGTCACCAGCTCAGGCTCCTCCTCGTGCTACCCTGGTGATGCTCACTGACCTCTTGCCTCTTGCCTCCCTCTCACTGCCCAGGAGCCCCCTGGTGAAGGCCGTCTTCCACACCTGCAGAGCCATGCACACCTCACTCTTGGGGAAGGCGGATGGGCAGCAGAGTTCCTTCTGCCACTGTGAGAGGGCCAGCGGCCACCTGTGGAGCAGCCTCAACGTTAGCGGGGCCACCTGCGACCTCACCCTCAACCACGTGAGTGGGGCTTGTCTGGTGCCTCAGGGAGGTGCTTAGCTGTGGTGGGTAAGAGCACTCGGACCCAGTGTGTGGGGCTACGTAGGAGACAAACCAGGCCAGCTGTCCCTTTCCCCCAAACATAGCCTCTTGGCTCAGTCGGGCTCCCTTTGAGTCCTTCAGGCAAGCATGTTTTCACCTGCACTTTTGCTGAGTTTGCCGGGTCCCAGATCTTGCTGGCCAGGGCTCTGCGTTTACTCCAGGCCACTTGCACAACTCCCCCAGGCTGCTGAGGGCCAGCCTGCGAATGGGCGCCTACCTGCCACACACGCAGCCTGAGCTGACCTACCACCCCGGACACTCCGTGGCCAGACGGGCACCTCCTAGCGGGCAGCTGTGGTGCATTGTAGTTGCATTGCATGTTCTGGCGGTACCCGTGCAATGTTTCCACAGTGCATCATGGAGGCCTGCCTGGCCCTCGAGAGACTTCTCCCTATGCCTTGTTAGAGGGCACTGCTGTCAGTGTTGGACCCTGAGACATGGCCAACCCGGGAGAGGGGAGGGAAGGAATGCACACAACTAAAAGCAAAGCGTCACCTGCTCCCTCAGGAGGGCATGGTTTTACTCCACAGAGGGAGGGGCGAGCTATGGTCAGACTCTTGAGACTCACCGAGGTTTGGTCCCGAGTGGCCAGCCTGGCATTTATGGCTAGAGGTGGTCAGTGGTCTCGGATACTGGGGTGAACCCAGGAAGCGGGCCCGCCCTGTAGGACAGGCAACGTGCAGAGAGGGCCCAAGAGCACAGGCCCGTGGAAGAGCCACATCTCACTATGCACCTGTCCTCTGCTGGTCTCCTGTAGAGTTTGTCTTCATGAGGGAACCGGGTAGTCTCAGCTGAGTTTGGGAAACGTGAGAGAGGCCGTAGCACCCTCAGGTGGCGGTTCTTTATGGGAGAATGGGCCGGGAAGAAAGAAACCCCCTGGATCGTGACATCTCTCAAAGGACAGAATCCAACCCAGGCTGCCACCCCTGCCCAGAGGTGCTCCCCCAACACTCACCTCTTAGAAATGTCAGGTTTTGTTTGAAGAGGAAAGCTTTACGTGTGTCCCCTTAAGGCTGTCATCAGCCAGAAAACAGTGTGGCAAAGGGTCAGGGGCACTGAGCGGACATGAAGCAGGGTCCAGGGTGGGTCCAGTGCCCTGGTGAAGGGGCAAGAAGAGGAAGGTCCTTAAAAAAAAAAAAAAAAAAAAAAAAAAAAAAAGAAGAGGAAGGTCCTGGGGGAGTCCACGTGTGACCCCTCTCCAAAAGGACTGGGCTGTCTCCTCACCCTGGTGCTGGTGGGAGCCAGGCAGGCAGGCAGCCCAGCCTCGTGGGTGTCGTGCAGACAAGAGGATCTCTCTACCGTGCCCCCACACCTGTGGCATCCATGCCCAATAGCAGCTGGCATTTACAGTACTTCCCAAGGCTGGGCATGGTACCCACAACAGTGCTCTCATGTAACACAACAGCCTTGTGGTGCCATGTTGTGGATGAGGAAACTGAGAGCTTCAGTCGTGTGCTGGTCAGTGGCAAAACCACAATTGATTTAGGTCAGTGGGTCCAAACCCAAGCATTCCATGGCTCCGTGGTTCTGCCTTCTTGGGCTCCTGTTTCCCCAGCTGCAGGGACCACCTGGGCTGAGCCTTGCTGCCTTCTGTTGGAGTGAGCCGCTCCTCCTCCCCCTCCTCCATCCCCTGGCTGTGCTGCCATTTCAGGCCCTTTGATCCTACTTGACGTACTGGCAGGGCCGTGGCACCTTTTGTGTATCTCAGCCACCAGGCCAGCCATGGGGTGCTCCTGTGAGGTGAGAGGAACCCCAGCCTTCCTGTCAGATCCACGAGGGTTTATTTCCTCGCCTTGACCCGTGTGTCTCCCACACAGAAGCTACTGCCCCTCTCTGGGCCTCACTTCCTCATCCACAGAATGGGAAGAACAGATCTCCCACCCGGGGCCACGAGAAGGACTAGGTGCCGTGACTCGAGTTCGCCCATCAGCTGTTCTCTTGCTCCCTGCAGAGCGTCTTCCAGGCTGCTACTCCCCGGGGACACTCCACTTCCTCCCAGAGCTGCTGAGTGTCGGGCTGGGCGGGGCCTGTCCCAGCAACGGGCCGGTCACCCTTCTCCTCCCTTGTGGCTCATCACACAGGTGGTCCAGCTCCTGACCTGTGACCTGCTACTGTCACTGAGGACAGCACTTTGGCAAAAGCAGGCAGGCGCCAGCCAGGCTCTGGGCGAGACGTACCACGCATCAGGTGCTGAACTGGCTGGCTTCCAGCGGGACCTGGGCAGCCTACGCAGGCTGGCTCACGGCTTCCGCCCAGCATACCGCAAGGTGAGGCGCACCGGCCGCCAGGGGAAGGCAAGCAGCGGCCCTGGAACCCGGGGGGCCCAGTGTGGGGCTGCAGCCTTGGCCCTCCGAGGTCAAACACTGGGATGGGTGGGAAGGGCACGGACGAGGCTCTACTCTGGTTTTTCTAACTGGTATCAGAGTGAGAAAATCACCCTACAACTTCATCTAATTCTTTTCTGAGCCACTGGGGGCTTTGGTTCTGCCTCCTGGCTGCACGCAGCACCCCCTTGGTGGTGGCCACGGGATCTGAGAAGTCTCCGAGGGTAGCTGTATAATTGGGTTTATTGGACCCAAATACTTTTTTTGTGTGTTTTATTTTTATTGCTAATTAGAGTAATGTACTAAACATATTCTTGCCTGAATTATTTTCTAAAAATTCAAGTGAAAAGGCCAAAAGCATCTGTGAGATGGAAAGGGACTGAGAAAGCAAGGCTGCTCATCAGGCCCACTCAGGGTCACACTGGCCACTGTGTGGGGTGAGCCAGGGCAGACAGTGGGCAGACATCCATAGTCAGCACTGACCCAACCCCCGCTGGGGAGAAGAAGTGCGCCCCAAGTTTCAGGGGCCTCTGATCTGCTCAGGGGCCATCAAAGGCCTTCTCCTCGTGAAGCACCATTGCCTTCCTACCTCCCCCACTGCTGATCTCTTTAGCGGCTTCCCCCCTCTCCTCTCCCCCGTGGCCTTCCTGGGTGGCACCCCAGACCCTCCCCACAGATGGAGACATGAAGGTAGGGAGGAGCCTTGAGATGTTAGAGAATTACAGATCTAGGCCTTGCCTCCCGTTCCCCAATGACTTGTGTTCACAGAAGAGCGGCACTTTCACCTGGAAGCCTTCTTCAGGCCTCGCTTTCTGAAGGAAACTCCCTGGTGCCAGCCCAGTTCTCCCTCTCCTCCGGCCGCCCCCCCCCCCCGCCCCCTCCAGGACTTGAGGCTGCACCCAGGTCTCTGGTCCTCCGACCCCGGGGGGCATGTCAGTGCTCTGTCTCCAGGAGAGGGGAGCAATCCTTTGCTTCTTTTTTGACTCAGTCTCCCTGCTGCTCCTCCAGGGGTCTGGCTTGGATCGGAGGGCAGAGTGAGGACAGTGGTTACTTCCCAGGGGAGAGCCGGGCAGGGGGTGTGGAGGGAAGGGCCATTGGGGGGGGGGGTGGCAGACAAGATGCTGAGAGAGGCACCTACGGGGGAACAAACAGGCGGCCCCCTCTGCACCCCCCAGGTGTTCCTGCATGAAGCCACTGTGCGCCTGATGGCAGGAGCCAGCCCCACCCGCACCCACCAGCTACTGGAGCATAGTCTGCGCCGGCGGACTGCTCAGAGCACCAAGCACGGTGAGTGTGCCTGCGCCCCAGCTCTAGGCCTGGTGGGGGAGGGAGGAAGGGGAGGGAGGAAGCGGGGCCCCAGCCCAGCACTTACCTTGGCAGAGCCCCAGGGAACGTCCTCACCTGCAGAGTCTCAGAGGTGGTGTGAGAATGGAAGCAGCTGAGGCCTGGTTCCATGGGCTGCTGGGAAGGATCCCGAACCTGTGGGGCCGGGGTTTGGTCGGGTTGTGGCTCCAGCCTCAAGAGTGGGGACAGGAGGGCTGGAGACACTGTCCTGGTGCGGGGCCCTGGAGCCACACCATGTGGGGTGCTAGCCACGCACACATCCTGTCGTCCGGGAGCCAGGGGAGCACCAGAGCCTACCATCCTGAGTGGGCCAAGGTTAAATAAGCGAGCCCACAGCAAGCCCTTGCAGCAGCGCCTGCGTCACGGAGGGCTCTGGGTGAGTGGTTCCTGTCCGTCTCTGCTCACTCCCACAGGAGAGGTAGACGCCTGGCCCGGACAGCGAGAGCGGGCCACCGCCATCCTGCTGGCCTGCCGCCACCTTCCCCTGTCCTTCCTGTCCTCCCCCGGCCAGCGGGCGGTGCTGCTGGCTGAGGCGGCCCGCACCCTGGAGAAGGCGGGTGACCGACGCTCCTGCAACGACTGCCAGCAGATGATTGTCAAGTTGGGGGGCGGCACGGCCATCGCCGCCTCCTGACCCCCGGGCGCTGTCCCCTCAGCGCCCCGCCTCCCTCTCCCTCCTCCCTCTGAGTCTCTCCCTCCTTCCTGTCCAGCGGTCTCTCTCCCTGCTTGCTCTGGGAGGGGTGGGCTGAGCCTTGTCTTCGGAGCTGTCACCTGCCGAGGCCCTTGGACCACCGGAGCCTGGCAGGCCCCTGGGCAGAGCCCCAAACGCTGCTGCGGGAAGGTGCCCGTGGTCCAGGGCCCCATGGGTCTGGGAGAGGAGAGCCAGGGTGGGGGCAGGAGCTGAGTTCCCTGATGGGAGAGCAGCCGGGCTCCCAAGCTGCTTGGCCCCCTGCCCCCAGCCCGCCACCCTCCCCAGCTTCTCTCTCTCTGAACACCTCCTCTCCTGCTTCCTTGTTTTTTATCAGGCTTTCCCTGTGGGGGACGGAGGCCCCTGGGCACCAGAGTGCTTCACCCATGGCTCAGTGCCCCCTCGCCCCTTCCCCCTTTTTATACAGATGTTTTTATATCCGTGTGCTTGGGTTTGCCGTGATGCAGGGCTGAGCTGCTGTGGCATCTTTATTTCTCTCCTTGGGTCTGTGTCCCCTCCCCTGTGCCTGACAAAGCCAGTTCATTGTTTTCTCCTCATTACACAGGACAGCGGGGGAAGGAGGGGAACCCAGCCCTGGGGAGGCAAGTGAGCGGCGGGAGGGGGCAGGCCTGGGCTTGGATGAAATAATGTTGGCATTATTTTTTAATTTTTTTAAAAAATAAATGGTATCGTATTTAATTGTCCTGTTCCTTCCCACTGCCCGCCCCCTGGGATGGCAGCCCAAGCTCAGGGTAGGCCCCGGGGGGCTGGGAGAGACGGAGCCACCCATCAGGACTGAAGACCAGAGGCCCTCCCACCCCAATTCCTACCTCCACGGCCGATTTTTATCCCTAATTCATGACCTGAAAATAAGCGGGGGTGGCCGGGACCAACCCCCAGTCCCTCCCCAGGGACAGGCCCCTCCGCGAGGTGAACGCTAGTGATGAGGCTCTCTACCTTCCTAGGGGTCATGGGAGGAAGAGTGCGTCCCCTTTTCTGGATCCCTGGCTTGGTGCCTCCCCCGAGGCTCTTTCTACCAGGACCCAAGGACTGCCTGAGACCCCAGAGCCTGCTGGGAGGCCGAGAGGGGCCGCCTGTGCGCCTCCGCCTCAGGCTGGGTGGGGTAGAGAGTGGGCAGGGCCTCAACCCCCCCACCCCCCGCATGGACTGGGGGTTGCACATGGCAGGGGCTGCCCTGACGCCAAGTGCGGGCTGAGGTGGCTCAGCTTGTACCAAACCCGTCTTTCCCTGCTGCCCGTCCCCCCACACACTGTAATTTGTGGCCTGTGCCCGCCGGGTGAGCCAGCCCTTGTGTCATGTGTATATACCGTGCCTTTTCTCATTAGTGTTTAGGGGCGGGAGGGGGTGGTTTTTCACTGACGGGGATACACCTATGGCTTCCTTGATATGGAATCATTCACTGTGTCCTGGATGTAGGTGATTCAATAAACACAGATTGGTACCACCCAGCATGAGGCGTGTGAGGGTCTGTAGCGTGACTGCTGTCATGACCAGCCAGGTGGCTGCGTGGCTGGGCTCCTGGTGGGTCCGGGACGGAGGATGCCCTCCCTCTGCTGAGAGGCCCCTGGAAGGCTTCACGAGGCCCCTTCCCAACAGTGCAGGGCTGGGATGGGGTCTGGGATAAAAGTGCAGCCGGAGGAGCTGCTGGGGTCAGAGGTCACTGTCCAGGACACAGCTGGCTGCTCATGGCTGGTTTCAGACTGGGTGCTAAGCCCCTGCGTGTTTACCACCTCCAGGATAAATCCCTCCCCTCCTGGGTGGGCTGCCCCCTAGTGTTCCCTCCCGGGCCTGCAAGTCACATCCTAGCTGGGTCACCCAGAGAAAGACATCATCTCCGCCTCTTGCCATGTGTGCACAACAGGGATGACAGTCCCTGCCTTTGAGTCCCTACATGCCTGTTGGCCAGGGTCAGTGGTACGACACACAAAGTACCGGTTTACAGCTCCGTACCTTGTGAGTGACGAGGGGTAAGACCACGAGGAGCAGCGGGCTGGAAGAGGAGACAAGTGACTGGGGATGGGCCAGGGGAAAGGAGGGCAAAGTCTGCCACCTGACCTGGCTGAGAAATGAGCCGCCCCCGTCACAGGAGGGCGGTCCCAGCAGCTCTGCTGCCCCAAGGGCCAGAGCAGCCAGGAGGCCCAGCTGCAGCAGGTCCAGCCCTGGCCCTACCCATAGCCTCAGCCTTGTGCCCCCTGGGATGGAGACCTAGGGTCCTTGGGACTGAAAATGAGCAGGGGTTGCACCCATCTCCCAGCAAAGCCCAGTCCAGGCCTTTGTCACCAGGGTGGGTAGCTGTGGGTGGCCCATGTGATGTGCCCAGGAACCTGATCCTTTTAGGAGTCTGCAGGCTCCGTGACTCAGCACCCACCCTCCTCCCCCCCACTCTCTACACAGCTGCAGGATAGGCCCTGGGGGCACCTCACACCCAGTTGAGGGTGCGAGGACTGTCTCCCCTACAAGCCCTAGGAGCCCTCGCTGCAGGTGGGACTGTGGACTCTTGGCTCTTTCCTGTCCTGAGGCTTCTGAGCCTTGGATTCCTCAAAAGCCAGAAGAGATAGTGAGGTGGGCCCTCCTCCAGGTGAAGAGCTGGGGGTGGGGGGGGCCTCAGGGCAGCCCTGCGGGCAGGAGGAGGGTCTGAGACTGCATGTGCCTCAGGAGCACCACCACCCCGCCCCCCTGGCACATGCCTTCATACCTTTCCTGTCCCCAGAGTCCCCAGACCGCCCTGCCTGCCATGCATCGATTCAGTCACAGAAGACAGAAGAGTCCTAAGCTAATCACCTGGGTGACCTTGGTAAGTTACTTAGGTCTCTAAGCCTCAATTTCCTCATCTGTAAAGGCACACACCCACCGGGCTTTTGTGAGAATTAAATGAAAGCAGCAACAGATGGTGGCCGCGGTTAGTAAAACAGTATATACCATGCCCAGGGTACACGGGAGGGAAACTGAGGGCCAACTGGGCAGCTTCGTTGATGCCACACAGTGAAGGGCATAACCCAGACCTCAACCTCCCCAACTGTCCCTGGCATAAAGAAACTCGATACACCCAGGCTGCTGGCAATGCCCTGAGACACAGCTAGGTACCCGGAGCCGGCCTGGCAGGAAGGGGGAGCGCTGGCAGTGCCGAGCATGTGCGAGCACCCCCAGTGGGGCACTGCCAAGGCTCCATGTCCAGCATCCCCATTCTCTTTGCTCCCAGAGCAGCTACTGGGAGGAGGCTCCCCCATCCTGAGCACCAGCTGTCCACTTGGCCCACTGCCCACACCCATTAGGGGGGCGGCCCTGGACCAAGCTGGCCAAGTGGCCTGCAAGCCAGGTGCCGGCTCAGGGCCAGATTATGTCAATGAGGATGAGCCGGGCTCAACCAACTCAAGATGTAGAGTGACTGGCTGGAGGGGGCTCATCTCCGGTAAGGGACACGGACCCTCCCAGGGGGCCTCCCAACTGCCCCCTCTCCCATGGCTCCCACTGGTGTGGACATTAAGCTTGGCAATCGACCCTAACTACCCTCTCCAGCCACTTCTCCCTGGCTCCCAGGACACCTGCCTGGCAGCTCTCAGGAGCAGTCCTTTGCTCTTGCACATGCTGTGCCCTCTGCCCGTACTGCCGTCTGTCCAGTCAATGACCAACGCCTCCACCATCGGTGCTTCTCAGGGCCAAGCCAGGGCTCCTTTATTCTCAGGGATGGGAGCCACACAAAAGGCTTTATTTACATGAGGAACCCGGGCGAGGGCCGGAAATCGGAACCCCTGGCCTTCCCCAGTGGGCCCCTTAGCTCTGCAGGCTCCCAGGCTCAGTCCACTGGGGCAGGCATAAGGGCGGGCTGGCCTTCCACAGCCCGTGCCCCCCAGGCAGGCGAGGGCCCCCAGAAGCACCGGCGCCCTGTCTTCACACGGTGACCTCGGCTTTGCTGTTAGTGCTCAGGTGCCGGGGCCCGCGGCCGGCGCTACCATAAAGGGCAGGGGGCTGCGGGCTGAAGGCCTCAGGCAGCTTCTCCACGCTGAACTGGCGCCGGGGCGCATGGCCGGGCCTCCGGGGCGCCGGGGAGGCCTGGGAGGCCTGAGCAGCCGGGTGGCCACGGGGGGTGGACCGGAACTGGCGGCCGGCGATCCAGGCCTTGTAGTGGCCCGATGGGGCAAGGCCAGCGGGGGGCGCGTAGCCCGGCGGGGCCCAGGGGCAGGCGTCGAGCAGCGCAGGCAAGTCCTCGTGGGGCCGCGGGGCCCGCGCAGGGAGGGTCAACGGGGCAGCTTCCGCTGCGGGGAAACGCTGGTAGAAGTCCTGTGGGGTGGCTTCTGCAGGGACAGTGAGGGGGCGGGGAGCGAGGTCAGGCCCGGGGGCAGGGCCAGGACCGGTGGCCCGGGGAGGGGACTAGAGGCCACTGGCTGCATAGGCACGACACAGAAGTTGGCCGAAGTTGGCCGCAGCGCTGCCCCGCAAGGGTGGGAGCTGTGGAACTGGAATCGGGACCCCAGCCCTGTAACCTAGGAGCTTGGATATTCCAGGTGCAGCGCTCCCCCCTCCCCTTGGGGAACGGGGCTCTCCAGCCACTCACCTGCGACCTTGAGCGCTGCGGCCTTGAGGGTGGCGTACTTGGCATAGGGCTGCAGCGTCATGCTGCCCCTGCCCTGCAGCCTGGGGCCACGCTGGGGGCCGGGGGTCGCTGACCCCAGGGGCACGTTGTTGGGGCGCTTCCTGTCTGGAGCAGGGGAAGGGGAAATGAGACCCGGCCTGCTGACCTGAGGACACTCTCCACCTGCGGCCTGCTGACCCGAGGACACTCTCCACCTGCGCCACCACCTCTTCACTGTCCTCTCCCCACCGGCACTTCAAGGAGAGCCTGTGGGAGGGCTGCTTGGAAGAGACGGAGCCCAAACCACCTTCTTGATAGACTCCAGGGCCTGGGGCAGGGCCTGCCTGGCTCAGAATAACCTGAATAATAGCAGCCAGCCCTGAGTGGCTGCTAGCCTAAGGGATGGCTCCCAGCCTGTCCAGCTTGGGCCAGGCACGGAGTCCCAGGACCTGCTTCTCAGGAGACAGTTAAGGTTTGAAAATTCCAACCCACAGAGGGGAGAGGAGGGGAAGTTGCTGTGAAGCCTGCCTCACCAGTAAGAGGCCAAGAGGGAGGCTCCAGCCTGGAGTTTAAAAAGACCCCCTGGAATCCACAGGCTGTGCCAGGCAGTCCCCAGGGCACTGCTGAGCCAAGGCCTAGAACCACAGCCTGAGCCAAGGATCCCTGAACCTGGAACCTTCCTTCCTCACCGCATCCCTGTGCCTGGAAGTTGCAGGACACCTTGGAGGGTCCCTCTTTACCACGGGGAGCTGGCCAGCTTGCCCCACCCACACTCACACACCTGCAGAGGCAGGCAGCTCCTTAAAATTTCGAAACAGCCAAGAGCCTCTTGCCCCTCAGCGCCCCACTTCCCCTGGTCTCGGGCCCACAGCAGACAAGGGAGGCCCGTGCTGTAGATCGACATAGGCTGCTGTGCCCGCTTACACACCTGTGTGGTTGGGGGAGCCCCGGGGGGGGGCATCACTCATCTGCACCTGGACACAGCTACCCAGAGGTGGGCCCAGAGGTGGAGGCAGTGGCTCCTGGGAGTCCGGCTGCTTCAGAAGTTCTGTGAGTGTCCTGTGGGGAAAGAGTGATGAGAGACAGTCCTCCCAACCTCCGGCTTCCCCACTGGCCCGCCCTCGGCCTAGCTAATGCCGGCCACCACCGCTCCGTCACTCTTTCAAACTCCCTGGGCCTCCTCTCTGCCCTGCAGTTGATCTTACACATCAGGTTTCCACTTCTCATTTCCCCAACATGGCCACTTCCAGAGCAGGTCAGGAAATGCTATGGGTCCCCTGACATCTGGGCTACCTTGTTTTTCAAAGACTCTTCAGAATCCCTAAGACCTTCTGAGTTGAGCCTCCTCTCCCAGTGAGAGCTCTGCAAGCCTCTCAGGCTCCTTGCTTCTGCTGTTTTCTGTGCCGACGACCTTCCTCCATCTCCCTCCACAAAATTCCTACTCATTCACACCCCACCAGAGTCCCTCTCTTCCAGGAAGCCTTCTTTACCTGCCTACCTAACTCCCTTCCTGCAGCAGAGGCTTCCGCTGGCACAGAGCTGCCACATGGACGCAGAGGGGAGGACAGACACACAAGAAAGGAGGGAGGAGCCAGGAGATCCCACCTTGGCAGCCCAGCACCAAAGACTACATGACCTTGGGCAGCCGCCTCCTGGGTACTGGGACACCCAGCCCCACCCAGGTGTGACAGCGTCTGACTGAGCCTTCCCTGCCGACAGCCAGTCCCAGCCTTTCCGCCCAGCTGCCTTTGGTGCCCAGAATCTCTGATTTTCTTCTGGGGCAGTTTGATCCTCCCTCCTTCCGGGGGCTGGGGCCTCAGTGGCTGAAGCAGGAGGAAGCACGGAGACCCTCTGGGGTAGGTGCAGTTTGGCTGCAATGTGGCAGGGTCAGGAAGTCGTGTCCTCCCCACACACACACACCTGCCCGAGCTGCACCTCTGGTCCCCAGCCCTCCGCTGCCCGCCCCTGTGTTCTCAGCTCTGCGCTCCTCTGCCAGCGATCCCGAACACCTGAGTAATTTTCATGCCTCTGGGCCTCTGCACAAACTTCTCAAGGGACAGATCCAGCTCCCCTCCAAGCCCTGTGAGCTTGGGGAGCTGACCATCAATCTCAACAGAGTGAGAACAGGGGTTCAGCACACACCCACACATGAGCCTAAGTGGGGCTTCAGATCTCCCCAGAGAAGAAAAAAAAGAGGGCATGTGGGAGCTGAAGCCCAGACAGAGGAAGGGACTGGCCTAGGCCACAGAGCACATCATGGGTGGGCCAGCTCTTCCAGAAGCATCGCCAGACCTGCTTCCCCGTCCCTTGCAGATGAAGAGGGACCTAGGTGAATGTATCAGCTAGGCTGCCCCGGCCGCCCCCTCTACACCATCACGGCCCTCAGCTCCTGCTGCCCTCACTCTAGTCAAGGACATGTCCTGTCTTCTCTTTGCCCGACATGAAGGACTCAAGCTCAGGACCTGCCCCCACAGCACCCAGGGCTCAGGACCAGAGCCTCCACATCGCCAAGGCAGCAGCACAGTGGATGAGGTCAGGGGTCCAATCCCAGTTCCACCTTGCGGCTGCCGGGACACAGTAAGTTAAGTGGTCTGGGAGACAGGGGTGCTGCGCGGAGCCAAGGAAACCCTCATCCTGTGCCCCTGAAGACTAGGAGGCGGAAGCATCCATACCTGGCCTACGCAGGCCCACCCAGGCATGGGGGCTTCTCTCTATCATTGTCACCTCTAAAACCCAGCCTGTCGCACACCCCAGGGAGCCCAGACCTGGGTAAGTGAGGAAGGCACAGGCCCCAAAGCACTTGGGCATGAGTGTGGGGGTGTGGGTGAGAGTTCCAGGGTGAGGACACAGGATCCCAGAGTCGTCATTCTAGCTAAGACCCCACTTAACACAAAGCTCAGGCTCAGCTAGCACCTGGCCTCGGCAACAACGAATCTGTGTCCCCCACATTTCCAGTGCCTTCCTACACAGAGAGAGACCCTGTCCCTTGCCTGGAATGGGGGGGGTGTATTGAATGGGGCGTGTGGGGGAGGCCTTATCCCCAGGGAAAGAAGGTCAGGCCTGAGTCACAGCTATGGGGGGTGGGGTGGAAGGGAAGTGGGGAAAGAAGCAGGAGGGGAGCTACAGAAAAAGCCCCTTCCCTTCCCTTCCCTACCCTACTCTGGGGCCCAAGACGCCCAACACTACACCAGCGCACGCCCGCACGCCCCCACCCCCCGCTAGTGGGGCTCCGACCTTTCCTGGGTGCGGCCTCTGTGCCCTCCCGCCCACTCCGGAGGAGGAGGGAGCCGCGGGGGAGGGCGGCTCAGCACCCAGCTCCCTCCGGAAGGTCAAGGGAGACGGTATCAGCTGTCTCCCTCCACGAAGTGGGGGTGGGGGGAGTAACAGGCTTGGAGACAGAGATGGGAAGGAAAAACCAGGAGGGGGCTGCGGACGCGACCAGAGTTCGCAGACGCGGCGGGGCGGGGCGGGGCGGGGGAGGATGAAGGATGGCGAGGGGGGCGCCCACGGGCCGGGGAGGGCTGTCCAGGCGGCGGGTGCGGGGATCCCGGCCCGGCCGGCGCGCTCACCTGGTCACCGTGCGCCGCGCGCGCGGGCTGTGCGCCCTCTCCAGGCCCAGGCGCGCCCCGATGCCGGCCAGCACGAGCAGCGCAGCGACGCCGCACACCGCGTAGACGGCCGTGTGGCTGCGCTCGCGGCCCGGGTCCCGGGGCGCGGTGGCGTCGCGGGCGCGCGCGGGTGGCCGGCCCGTCTGCACCCAGGCCGGCGTGTCGTAGTTGGAGCAGCGGCTCTGGTCGAGGCGCCGCGGCCCGTCGTGGCAGCAGAAGCGGTAGCCGCACGTGCCGCAGCAGAAGCTGTAGGCGCCCGAGCTGCAGTTGAAGGGCGGGTCCCACTGGCCCATCACGTCGTAGTAGCCGCGGCAGCGGTCGCCCCCGGCCGGGGCCGCAGTGGCGGGCGCCGCGGGCTCCTGCGCCTCGGGGGCCCCCGCGCGGCCCGACGGCGGCCGCGCCAGCAGCAGCGCCAGCCCGAGCGCGAGCCGGAGCCCCGGCGGGCCGCCCCCGCCCCCGCCCCCGCCGCCGCCGCCCCCGCCGCCGCCGCCGCCGCGCAGCCCCGGCGCCCCGGCCCGCTCCATCGGGCCCGCGCCTTCGGCTACAGCGCCCCGCGCATGGCTGCGCGCCGCGGCTCCCCGCCGCCCGGCCTCCGCGCCGGCCCCGCCAGCCCTCACCGACCGCGCCGGCCCCGCCGCACGCCTCCTCGGCCGTCGCCCTCCTCCCGGGCCGCGGGGCCGGCGGTGGGGAGCCCGGCCCGAGGCTCGCGGGGCCGCACCTCCGGGGGGCGCGTCCTCCGCCGGCGCTGCCTCGGACGCCAGCGGCCGTCCTCACCCGGGACGCCCCCGGGCCGGGCGGCCAGTCCTCGCCCGCGCGCCCCCCGGCCTCTCCCCGGCCGGCGGGTGTGCGTGGCCCGGGCTAGCGGGGGCGGCGGGCCGCCCGACACCGCTGCCTTCCCGCCGCCCGCTCGGCGCTGCCCGCGCTCTGCCTGCGGCTGGGGCTCCGCGCGGCTCGGGCGGGCGGGGGAGGGAGGGAGCGAGCGGGGGGAGGAGGGCGGGCGGGCGGGAGGCAGGGCCGGGGGAGGAGCGCGGCCGCCGCCAGGGGAGGGAGGGGGCGCCCCGCCGGGGACCCTCTCCGAAGGCCTCCCCAAGCCACCCCTCAAGCGGGGAGCCCCAGGGCCTTCGGGTCACGGCTCTCAGGGCTGTGACTTCGGACACAGGCGGGCGCGAGTGCGCCTCTGCTTTACAGGTGCGGGGGCTCCGGGCCCCGAGAGGCCCCGGAGGGTCGCGGCCGCCCCCCCGCCCTGCCCCCTCCCCGTCCTCCCCGTCAGTTCCGGCCGACACAGAAGCGGGACAGGTGGCAGGCCCTTCGGCCTCTCTGCGCCTCGATTTTCCCGCCTCTCAAATGGGAAGGAGACCCGCGCGCGGAGCCGCTGCCGGAGGCCAAGCGCCGGCCGTCTCCGCGCCGCCCCGAGCGCTGCGTTAGCCCCGGGGCGCGCGCCCGGGTCCCAGAAGCCCGTGGACCCCGGCCTGGGGCCCTGAGGTGTCCCCACTTCTGCGGCGATGGGCATGGCCTGGGCCGCGTCCTCCCGGGGTGTCCTCGCTACCCCAGGTGTAGGGGGAGGAGATCCGGCTGGACCCGGACTGGGGCGAGGGGGCGGGGCCGGGCCAGGGGGCGGGGCCATCCGCCGGCCCTCGCCCCGCCCCCCAGGACGCCAGGGTCCCCTGTCGGCCCCGGGAGAAGGGGCGGAAGGTGGTACGGACCGTGCACCCAGTGCGGAGCCGTTCTCTGGGGTTTTCGAAGCTAGATTTAACTGGAAGATGTGACCGAACCGGGCACCTTGCTTCCCTCTGCCTGTTTCTCTTCTTAACATCAAAAACTCTCGAGGGGGAGGGGCGGGCGGATTCATAATCCCTTTCAGGAGGCAGAGGCCAGTATGATGCCCCCCACCGTCCGGATGGGAGCACCAGGGGAGCCAGGGTAGTGTCCTCTTCTCCCCAGTGCTCCCACACAGCGTCCTATCTGCTGAATGAACAAATGAAGTGACTTTAGTCTCTAGTTTTTGTAAAATAAAGAATTTGGGCTCCTTCCTGCTCCCCTTTGCGTCGGGTCTTCCCTCAGAGACTGGGATCAGCTTATTAAAATGGAGGAAGTGGAGGGAGCAAGAGGGAGGATTTACATGTAAAGGAGGATCAAGTCCCTGTGTTGCCGAGTTGAGGGGCTGACGGGCCCCTTTCAGGTCTCAGTGCTGAGAGGCCCTCCCCCTCAGGGTCATTCCTCCGGAGGTAGCCTCCCCCCTCCTCCTCCACCGGCAGCTCTTCGGATCCAGTCCCAAGACCCTACCCCATTAGAAGACTTTATTGCAATTTTAGAGACAAAGAAAATAGATGAGCAAAGCAATGAGATGAAATTGCCTTAATCCCATCACCAGGGACAACAGGCTAAAATATGCCCCACTTTACATACTGTTTCTTAGTGCCTGGTTTACTTTTTGCCATCAGACTTTCCATTTATTATTCGGTTTAGAATTTAGTCGCTCTATTTTCTGGAGCACTCATTCCTGCTTCCTCGGGGTGGGGTGGGGTAGTCCCAGAAAGGACTCCATGGCACGAGCTGTCTGATTTGTATCAGCGCCCCCACCACGCCCTGCTAAACTGCCCTCCTGGTTACTGGGGCCCTGAGGGTGACTGCTTCTTCCGCCTTCCTCCCCTATTGCTGCGCACTAGGCTTAAGCAGGCTTGTCTCTGCCCCGCATCCTCCCAGGACTGTGGCCCCTTCTCAGGTAGGGTGACCCTACCGGGCCCTGAGCTCCCAATGTTCTTCCCTGAGTTATGTCCCTTCCCTGGACCCTTCTCTCATCCCACTGTCCTGGCGTCATTGGGTGCTCCACTGAGCTTCCACCCCCTGTCGCTGCCATCGGGCCCATATATATTTGCCCAGTGCAGGAGCTGGGGGCTGGATTCCAGCCCCCCACCCCCAGGACTGATGTCCAGCCTCCAGCTCCTCCACACACCCATGGCTTCCTCTCTATCTCAGTCTGGTTCGGTGGTCAGCCAGCAACCACAGATGCCCACATCTGGCAGGCCTATCCCAGGCACTTACCGCCCTCTCAATATTAACACACAGCCTGGGGCTGGGGAGGGGGGTTCAAATGCAGAGACAGGCCACTGCTGGCTGACTCAGCCCTGGGATTTGGCTACTCATTCAGCTGGCACTGCCCTTCAGGTGTCTGGCCATTTGCTGGGCAAGGTGATCTAGAAATGGAGCAGTGCAGCTGAGGAGTGACCCTTTTGCCCAGCTGCCCTCCTCGGACCCTGGGGTCTCTCTCCACAGCAAGGCACCAGAGCACCTGCCTCTTGTCTCCTCTGCCTGCCACCCCCCCACACACCCTGTGTCACCAAAAATCGCCCATTGATCCAAGCTTAAAATAACCCCTGGCATCTGCAGCAAGCCCCACGGGGAGGGCAGAGGAGCGGCATTTATGTGCCTGAAGGGCACCCGCCCCGCCCCCAGCTCTGAGTGCTGGCAGCTTGAGTGCGAGGCTGTCTAAGTGTGCTCACGACTGTGAGCTGGAGTGCATGTCTGGGGCTTGCATGATCATGAGAGTCTTCCTTCCACCATGGACATGTGTGCGCACATGTGTGTCGGTGTGGATGCACCTGTGCACACATGTTCTCCCCTCACAGCTGAGCCCTCGCCTGGTGCCCAGCTCTGGCTGTGCAAGGCTCCGGGTCCTGAGAGGTCATGGACATTCAGGAAAGCTCGAGGCGGGTCTCAATGTTCCCATTTTAGACTGTGGGCCAGTGACCAGTCTGCCCAGCCCTGGGCCAGGGAACTTGGGATTTCCTAGAGACAAACCCAGGCCCCAGTGAGCAGAAATGACTTGCTGTAACTGGCACACAGGAAGGACCAAGGTCTGGCTTGGAACCTGTGGGGAGTCCCAAACCTCCTTCCGGCCAGTTTAGTATAAAGAGAGAGAGCAGCTGGAGGATCCCAGCCCAGGGCCCAGGGAAGTGTTCCTAGGCTCCGATAGACAACGAATGCGCCCTGCCTCCTCCCTGAGCTCCCAGGCCTTGCGCAGGCTCTCCGCTTCTGGAACGCCCTTCCAGCCCCTCACACTGACCGCACCTACTTATCCTTCCCTTTGGAGCCAGACTAAGGTGGGTTGGAATTCCTGCTCTAATAGGACCCACAACCTTTCTTGGCCTCTTTTCTCATTTGCAAGATGAGCTGCTTGCACCTTTTTGACGGGGCTGCTGAGATGGTGATTGCCACCATGGGTACCATCCGAACGCCTCCAAGGTCACATTCCCAGGCCCATTTTGCTTCCATTTCTTCCATGATGGAGGGTTACCCAAAAAGCAGAGATTCTAGAGAGCTCTGGACTCCCTGCTAGCACAGATAGCACAGATGCCTATGCCAGTACCGGGAGGGAGCGGGTCGGGAGGGGAGGGCCCATGGCTCCTTTGTCTTCCTGAGAGCAGCTTGTGACTCAGGCTCCAGCTGCCTGTGGGAGGGAGGGGGCGCCCAGGCTGAGGTCGAGGGGGAGCAGGATGGGGGGAAAGAGGTGCAGGGGAGCTGGGGCTCAGCCTCCAGTCCGAGGTCCTTGCTCACCCTCTCCCCTGCGAGCCCTTCCGCGGCCTCAAGGAGTCACCCAGCCAACATCACCCCTGGAAATCGCTGGTTACCCCCCAGAGTCTCTCCCTTCTGGACCCTGCAGAGGCCCCGGTGAACATGCAAATCTGGAGCTGGCCACTGAGTCCCAACTACAGGAATAGATTCAGAGAGGACAGGGCTCAGCGGAGGCCACACAGCGCGTCCACCCACCGGAACAAGTCCTCCCTGTCCCGCAGCCTGCCAGCCCCTGGACACAATTCTGAGGTCGGCTCCGAGCCCACAGCCAGGAGAGGGGCCGGGAGTGTTGCACCCCTCGACACAGACACTTCGATCCAAAGCCGGGGCCATACATCCAGGGTTTCGAGAGGGTCCTGGTGATCTTGGCCCCGCCGCTCGCCAGGTGCAGCCCTTTCTCCTCGCCCTTCGGCCTTGAACCCGCGCCTCTGCTCGCTGCGGCCCCGCCCCTCTCCCACTGCCCCGAGGCTAGGGGCCCTCCGGCGCCCCCGTCCCTGGCCCCGCCCCCCACTCTGCCCCCCCCCCCGCCCCCTCCGTCCCGCAGCCCCTGTCCCCGGCGCTCGGTGGCCGCAGGTCTAGGTGCCACCAGCTGGGCTGACCGCAGAAGCTGCGGAGATAGACTTTCTCCTGCCCCGGAGTCATCTTCTGGGTCCCAGATTCTCTGCAGCCCAGGGGAGGGAGGAGAGGTTCAGAGGCCCTCTGGCCCCGGGACCCCTGCAGCGTTGTCTGCGCTCTACAGACCCCTACAGACCCCAGGGACAGGGGCACCCGCGTCTTCCCGGCTCCTCCCCAACCCGCCCTCTGCGGGACCCTGGGCAGTCGTTCCTCCCCCACCCCCAACCTCCACCGACGGGGTCACCCCAGGCAGCTGGGGGGCAGGCACAAATTGGAGAGGTCAGATTTCTTTTTTTTTTTCTTTTTTTTTTTTTAAGATTTTATTTATTTATTCATGATAGAGAGAGAGAGGCAGAGACACAGGCAGAGGGAGAAGCAGGCTCCATGCAGGGAGCCTGACGTGGGACTTGGGACTCGATCCCAGGACTCCAGGATCATGCCCTGGGCCAAAGGCAGGCGCCAAACCACTGAGCCACCCAGGGATCCCGAGAGGTCAGTGAGGAGGAATGTGGCCTGAGCCACCCAGAAGAGAGCAAATGGACTGAATTCCCACCCTGCGACCAGAGGGTGGCCAGAGGGGCTGGAGAAGCACCCGGGGTTCCCTGAGGACAGTGCCCCCATGTGCCAAGGGGCAGGCATGAGCACAGGCCAGGTTCTGATGCAGCCTCACCTGGCACTCCCAGGCCAAGGTATCTGACTCTCCAGCTCCCCACCTGAGCTCTGCTTCTTGACCCTTCTGCAGCCTCTTCTCTGCACCTTTACACGCAGTGCCCTGGACCAGGAATGGCTGTTTTCTGCTCCATTCCAGTAGGGAAACTGGGCAGGACTCAGGGCATATACTTCCTACTATCCAAAGCACTCCCTAGATGCTGGATCAGTCAACCTGCTTGGAGCATCCCCTGGCCCTGGCAGGGATCATCACCCTGTCCGGTCATCGTGTCCTGCTCCATCTCTCCCACAGGACTAGACCTAATGGCAGGGCCTGAGACTGACCTCCAAGCATTGCCCAGAATGGCCCTGGCACAGAGCAGGTGTGTTCGACTCTGGTGTGATCATTGGGATGATGAGTGGTAGGAATGGGATGGATGAGTGGTAGGAATGGGAAGTACTGAGTCCAGAGCCTCAGACCAGCTCTGGGAAACTCACTTTCCAGAGGAATTTCTCATGGTTAGTGACTCCAGGCAGGAAGTGTCTGCATCCCAGGGAAAGGAGGTGGGGGCCCTCCAGGGTGAAGACCCTACTTGCCACATGACCTCTTTAGTCTCAGAAAGCTCGTTGGCCCTTGGGCTCCATTTTGAAGATGAGGAGACAGGCTCACGGAGAGATGCCATCAGCTCCTGAAGGGAAGGGCTGAGACAGCCAGAGGTGAGGGGTCAGGTCTTTCCTCCCTGGCCTCCCCAGCTGGGCCTCCCCACCCCCACCCTGAGCCCAGAGCCCAGGGCTGCTGGGCAGGAAGTGAAAGGTGCCTGCAGGAAGCCCCAGGAGGAACTGAGACTTGAGCCAGCTCCGCCTCCACCTGCCCGGGCCCTGGGGACCTCAGGGAAACCAGACCCTCCTTCAGGAAAAAACGGGCCAGAAACACAGATGTGGGTGAGGGGGAGCTGCTTCTCTTAGCTCCCACCCCAACAGGCAGCTCTTCCAAAGTCTATCTTGGGTCCTTTTTACAGCAAAAGGAGACTGGTTGGGCAGAGAAATCTTTGAGTAGTGATGAAAACAAGGAGTAAAGCCTGGAGTCAATCCCTGGAGTCGCTCCCAAGGAGGGCACCTGGGCCACTGGCCTTCTGCACAGGCACTCAGGGCAGGGGCACGAGCCTCTGTCTGGCTCAGCTCCACTGCGGCATATCATAGTTTGGGCCAGATTCTTTCACCTTCTAGGCCTCTCTGTTCCTATCTGCAAAATGGGACATCTAATCCCTGTTCATGGACTTGAACTAGTCTAGATTTTCAGGACATCAATTCAACCGACAGGGGCCATATAAAAAAAAAATTCCAAGGCAAAGATTTATGTCAAGGAGATGCTGCTGCTCAACTACGACAGCAAACACCAAAACAACCAAATGCTCAAGGGGAAAGCTTTGCAAATGTTGAAAACCTTGTTGGCAAAGGGTTTATAGACAAGAGAGGGGACGCCCAGGTGGCTCAGTGGTTGAGCGGCTGCCTTTCACTCAGGGGGTGATCCCCATCCAGGGATTGAGTCCCACATCGAGCTCCCCGCAGGGAGCCTGTTTCTCCCTCTGCCTGTGTCTCTGCCTCTCTTTCTGTGTCTCTTATGAATAAATAAATAAGATCTAAAAAAAAATTAATAAATAAAGACAAGAGAAAACTCACCAGATATGACAGCCAAGATATGAATTTATATGTGTGGGATGGTTACAATTACATGGAACCCATGTCTCAGGGGCCTGATGTCACTGCGTCATTTCTACATGGGCTCCACCCTAGGTTACTGTCCTGAACTTTCCAAAGTGCCTATAAAATATATGTCTCGATTTTTTTTTGTAATAAAAGAAAACTTTTTTTAAAAGCAAACAAGGGACGCCTGGGTGGCTCTGGTGGTAAAGCGTCTGATTTAGGCTCAGGTCAGGATCTCGGGCTCCTGGGATGGAGCCCCACCCCACCCAGAGGTCCTCAGGCTCCCTGCTCAGCAGAATGGGCTTCCCCTCACCTCTTCCTCTGTCCCTCCCCCTGCTCGTCCTCTCTGAAATGGGTCTGAAATGGGTAAATAAATGGGTAAATAAAATCTTTAAAAAAAAAAAAAAAACAAAAACAAATGCCCATGCCCCTCCTCCAGGTGCTGTCACTAAGATCAAATGCAGTAACCTCATGAAGTCTCCTTAGAAAGCTAATTAAGACAGAGAACCAGGGACTGGAGGCCCCTGAGTGGTAGGGTCCTTTCCCGGGACCCTCTTGCCCACATCTTCCCCCACTCTGCTCCTGGTTCTTCCCCAAGGAAGAACCCTTCTGTTATTTGCTAGACAGCAATGATGCCGAGCCTTCTCCCTTCCTGGGGCTCAGTCTCCTCGTCCTCCTCTCACTCCTCCCCATGGGGGAGTGGAGACAAGGCTTCTTCAAGGTTCTTTCAAGTCCTTCTCCTCGAGGGCCACAGGCCTGGAGGAGCACTTTGCATCCAACCTCCCCCCCCCCAACAACTTTTCAGAAATGGAAACTGAGACCAGAGGGGAAGCTGGGGTTTGGCTGGGACATAGTGGGGCCAGAGGTTTGCATGTCTGGACCCCAGAGGGGTTTTACCCACTTGTTGTACCTCCAGGGCCCAGCCTGCTTCTGTGGTGGAAAAGGTGAGTTGGAGATCTAGGGGCCAGGAACAGCCCAGACTCCCCAATCCTGAGACAAAGGGGAGTGGATGTCTGGCCCATCATGGGCCTGCTTCCCACCCTCCTGCATAGGGGCCTGGCCACCTGACCTTGCCCCAGCCACCTGGCAGCTCGGGGGGAGGGGCACCTGGGATGCATTCAGGGACAGGGTGGCTGGAGAGACTTAAAAGTGGGTGTCAGGATTTGGGGCCTCAGACCATTTTCTAGGCTGAGAAGGGGGGGCGGGAAGCTCAGGTCAGGGACGGGTGGGCAGAAGGCAGCTGACGCATGGAACAGCACATGGCCAAGGCCCTAATGGTACCCCAAACTCCATCTTCTGACTACTAGTCCGTGCTTCTCCTGAGAGTGCTAAACTACAACACGTTCCAAGGAGTGTCCTGGACAGAGTCTGGGTCAGGAGGTTCTAACTCCGTGTAGGAGGGCCAGCAGGAGAGGCAGCGCCTGACCGAGTACGGCGTGGCCCACTGGAGGAGATGGTCTCGCCCGAATTCTGAGAGAAAGGGGTGCTGTTGTCAGAGGACCAAATCCACCAGGATGATGGGTGACCCCAGGGGCTGGCAGAGAATGGCCAAGTGACCACGGCACTTGGGACCTAGTGCTTGAGGAGTGCAGGCCATACAGAGAGGGAGCTCAAGGGACGTCAGGTCAGGCTGGTTCAAGGCCACAGGCCTGCTCTGGCCTCTGAATAAAGGAGCCTCTTGAGGATCCTGGGCCTTTCCCTGAGTACAGCTGAGTGTGCCTTGAAGGCAGCAGGGACTCCAGGTGGCCTCTGACAGAGATGCCTGGCAGTGTGCCTCCAGCGTGAGTGCACAGTTCAGCCCCAGAGGAGCTCCAGATTTCCTCCCAAGTGCAAGCCTGGGGCTCTGGGAGCTGCTACGAGGGTGAAAATGGCATCGCAGGTCCTAGAAGATTGGGCCAAGCTCAGGGTTGACCCTCGGGTACAGATACCTGAGAATTAGCACAACCCAGGCTATTTGTTAAAATCAAATCATCTTGTATTAGATCCTGAAGCAAACCAGTCAGTTGGTTACTTGTGGTTGCCATTAGCCTCAGTTAAAAGCGGGACAACTCTGAGAGCAAGTATTAAAGAAATACAACACCCAGCTATAAATTAAGCATCCTCGCACTTGATCCTCTTCCTAGATTCATTCTGGTTTACGGTGGCTTTCTGGCACTGAAAGAAGAACCTCCTACGCGACGCGCCCCCACCACTCAAAAGCAGAGGAGCTCAGCCACAACCTTCCAGGGCTGCCAGAGATGGTCTGGTTTGAAGCCAAAGGCTCTGTGCCGCCCGAGCCCTGTGGCCTGTAGTCTGTGGTTCTGCAGGGTTAGCTGAGGAGCAGCCTGGTTCCCAGAAGAGGGGCAGGTGGCCCCTGTGATGAAGACCTGAGTCCACCCTCCAGGTCACTGGCTGACAGCCCACAGGGAGGACAGGGGCCACCTCCTGGCCCCTCCGGTGCTACTGTTGCTCAGGCCCAGCTGTCTTGGTGGTCACCAGCTCGGTGGAGCCCAGCTCTGTGGCTGGCACAGGGACGCTGTGGGCAGGTGGGGTGTTGGCTGGGTCGTCTCCGGCTGGAGGCCACACGGGAGCTGTCGCGTCAAGGGGTCCCGGGGGGACGATGATGACATTGTCCAGGGTCTCTAGTTGGGGGAGGGGGGGCAGGGAAGGCAAGGTCAGGAAGGCGCACAGCTTTTCCCCACCCCTGTCCTGGAAGCCTCAGTGGAGGGACAGCCCCGGACTGAGAAAAATCCCGAAGCCCCGGCGGGGATGGGGAAGGGTGGCATGTGTTGGGCCCTCGGGACAGGAAGTGCAGATGGGAAGTGCCGGCGGAAGGGAGAAGCGGGGGCCTCCCGTGTGGGGCTCCGGCGGCTCCGGCGGCTCCGGGGCCAGGGCTGCGTCCCTCCCGCGGGGAACCGGCCCGATCCGCTGCACACCTCCCGAGCGCCCCGGCCCCGCCTCCCTGCCCCCCGCCTCCCTGCCCCCCGCCCCGCAGAACTTACCGCGCGGGTGCGGGTGCGGGCGCGGGTCCGGGGCCCCCGGGGGAGCCGCCGCGCGCAGCCGCCGCCGCCACCTCCAGCCCAGCAGCCCCAGCAGCACGAGGGCCAGCGCCAGGCCCAGCAGCGCGGGGGCGCCGAAGAGCAGCGCGGGCAGCGGCAGCGCGGCCTCGGCCTCCGCGGCGGCCCCCGGGCCCACCGACTCCTGCGGCTGCAGCGCCGTCCCGGGCGCCAGGCTGCTGGGCCCGGCTGCTGGCGGGGCGGACGGGGAGGGGGCGCAGGGGGCGGAGGGGAGGGGCGGCCGGGGAGGGGGAGGGGCGGAGGGAGGCGAGGCTGGGCCCGGGGAGGGGGGGCGGGGGGAGGGGGAGGGAGGGCCGGCGGGGGGGGCGGGGGAAGGGCAAGAGAGGGAGAGGTGAGGGCCACATGGTGACCGCCGGTCCCCACGAGGCCCCGCTTGCAGCCCCCCATCAAACCAGTCACCGCCCCCCGCCCCCGTCCCGGCTGGCCTGCGGCTCCGCAGGTTGCGCGGTGGGGGGCCCCTCCCCCTCCTTCCCAGGGCTGCACCCCTGCTGACCAGCTGGCTGAGTGGGTCGGCTCTTACCCGGTCTGGGTTCTGGCGTCCGGAGCAGCTTGCAGGCCACGCAGTTTCGGACCAGAGGGTCAAAGCACTCGGCCTGGACGCAGCGCGTGGGGGCCGGCCCGTCCCTGCCCCGCGGGCTCCTGCCCCGCGGGCCCCGCACGCCTCTCCTGTCGCTGCCCATGCTGCTGTGCCCAGCGCTCGCTCGCGGGGGACTGAGCCTGGCTTAGGCTCCCAGAGGAGGAAACCGGGAGGGGCCGCCACCCACTGGGCCCCGCCCCACCCTCCTGCCTGCTGGGGTGGGACCACTCGCAAGGCCCTGCACCCCACACCTTCTCTTTCTACCTGTGGTTCCTCCATTCAATCACTCAACCATCACCCCCAAACGACTGCTGGGCGGGCCCTGTGCTGGGGCACAGACCCCGCGCTCCTGGGCAGTAGAGGATGGGCCCCTGCAGTCAGGACCTCTGGGTGGCCTCCTCTGTCCTGCTCCTCAAGGCCAGCCCACAGCCCCAGACAACCCCCACCAGCCGTGTCCTCCTCACCTCACCTGGTCCCCCTCTGGGGCTCCTTCCAGCCCTTCCCAGGCAGAGCAGGTTCGGTTCACAAGGCTTCCGGAGTGCCCAGGGTGCTGGGGAGACAGCGCCTCAGGGCAGCAGTCACGGAGGGGGCGGGAAGGCTTCAGAAAGGACGTGATGGTGGGAAGGTGTCTGCTGAGAGAGGTCTAGGGGAGCATGCCTGACGGAAGATGACAGAGATGGGGCCCAGAGACTGCTGGGCCTGGGGGCTGGGCTGGACTCGTGGCTGAGGGTTAAGGAGCCAGGGAACCACGCAGGGCTTTCAGCAGCCGGCACCATAGTCAGACTTGGGTGACAGTGGGGAAGCTCTGGCTGGAGTAGAGGACACAGCGGGGGCGGGGGGGGGGGACGGTGGCTGAGGGCCCGAGGACAGACAGCTCAGTCCCCAGATCCGAGGTAGGAGGGAGAGACTCTGATCAATAGATGAGCAGACAGACCAAGACCCATGGGTCCCAGGGCTGTGTGTGTCCTGGCCTGCCTGCCTCTGAGTCTCACTGGGGTCCCTTCTGTCTCTACTCTCTGGTGTTTGGCCTGTCACCTGTGTCTCTCAGATTGAGCCTCAGACACACACACAGGCCCCTCCTTCCTCCCTTGCCGTCTGCAGGGGCTGGCAGAGAGCTTTGGCGGGGATGGGGTTGGCCATCCCAGCTCAGGGCTGGGGAGCGCAGAGGCAGGGGCTGCCTGGACAGGGCAGGAGCAGATTCAGGCAGCTGCGAGGGGGAGAGAACGCTTCCAGCAGAGACGCTGGCGAGGGCAAAGGTGAAGAGGGGGAAGAGGGGGAAGCTGAGTCTGGAGACAGGCAAGGGGATGCTGCAGAGGAGGGGAGGCAGGGATGCTCTGGGCCTCTGCCTCAGGCTCCTGGGCCTTGGGGAGCCCCTACCAGAGCGCAGGGAGAGATGCTCTGAGCTGTGCTGCAGAAGCCACCCTGTCTCTGGCTGCTGTGGAGTTGGAGACAGGACTCCACAGTCCAGGGCAGGGGAACCATCTAGAAGCTGTTTAGGAGCAAAGAGTGATGCTGTGGCGTGAGAGGAGCAAGGCTGGCCCCGGGTTTCTGGCTCGAGGGACTCCGGCAGCCCCCTGGGTGGGCTGGCATCCAGGAGCCCTGGCCCACTGCCTCTCCATCCTCTGCCCACGGCCCAACAACTCCAGGGCAGGAAGGTGTAGGCGTCAGGGCAGCTGCAAAGGAGAAGTGGGTCTGGGGTGGTGGGTGTGGGTGTGAGTGTGGGTGTGTGGTGAGGGGGTGGGGGGGCCGGGAGCCCAGAGAGGAGGGGGGGCCGAATCACCACCCCCATCACTGATGGTGCCAGTATTGCCTGGGAGCCCTTACACGGGGCCAGGCACCTCGTTAACCCTCACGCCATCATTGGGTAGAGCAGACTGAGTCTTGTGGGAACCTGGAGCGAGGATGGTGTCCCTGGGAGAGGATGGCCCGTGGGGCTGGTCTGGGGTCATTTACAGGAGCCACTTCTATGTGGCAGCTGCACCTGCTCCGGCCAAAGCGGGGGAGGCGGCCTTCAGGGGCCCAAGCCAGAGGGGCAGAGTGGTGATCTACCCGTGGCCTCCTAGGGCCCAGGAGGGCACGTGTCGGGGACAGGCCGTGGCGAAAGGCGTGTGCGATTAGCTTCGGTGGTGTGTGCAGGTGCCTGACCCCGGACAAACCTTGTCACTTGAGACTCCTGAATGAGAAGCAGAGGGAGGCCTTGAATCCCGACTTCACAGTTAAGAGAAATTTCCCCAACAGACCAAGGTGATAAATGTTAGGTTAAATCCTCAGCAGATTCCTTATTTGGGGTTACATCTCTGAAATCAAGATTATTATTTTTTTAAAATTTTATTTTAATATATATTTTATTTATTTATTCATGAGAGACACAGAGAGAGAGAGGCAGAGACACGGGCAGAGGGGGAGAAGCAGGTTCCCTGTGGGGACCCCGATGTGAGACTCGATCCCAGGACTCCGGGATCATGAGTCTCATGCTCGCTCACTCAGGCACCCTATGATTTTACTTTTTTAAATAATCCCTACACCCTACGTGGGGCTTGAACTCACAACCCCGAGATCAAGAGTCTCACGCTCCACCGACTGAGCCAGGCCGGAACCTGATAGTTTTAAACACTTTGTTATCATCACCTCAAAGGTACTGAGTAGGAAAGAAGGGACTTTGCTGCTGAAACCCCATCTCACGGAGTGTCACTCGGTGTTCTCATGTTCTCGTTCACTGATGAAGTGTTTTACAAAGATAACTAATTTGGGGTCTTTCGGGGGAAAAGGAGTCTCTGATGATCTTTGTCCCTCAAATTCCCCCCAAAACACCCTCCCAATGGTCCGGACACGGGCGGTGCTGTGATGTCGGGTTTCCAGATGGTGAGGCAGGGGCTCTGAGGGGCCAGGGATGACCCAGCGTCGGGGGAGCCAGGACAGGGCCTGTGCCCTTCATGTCTGGGGCTGGGGCCGGGGGCAAGGAGGAAGCTGCCGGTGGGACACGCTGGGTGCTAAGCGGGGGTGGGTAGGGTGGGGGGGACATTCCCGGGGGAGACCGAGGCCCCGCTCCCCAGACCTAGATGTGAAAGTGCTCAGAGCGCCAGGACGCACTCCTTACGTGAACATCATTTTTAATTGTAATTCTGTAATACCTGCACACACTCTCATGAAAAAACCCTCAAACAATACAGAAGTCTATGAGTAAGGAGGGGCATTTCCCTGCTGTCCCCAGAGGGAGCCTGTTCTGGTTTTTTACTTTTTCATCCCATCCTGTTTCATGCCTTTAAATTGTCAGGCAAGTACCTGCGGGGAAACAGGTTCTGTGATTCATCAAAGGGGCCACACAGTGGGAGCTGCTCTGGGGACTTCCCTGCCCTCCTCTGCCCCGTGGGCTCTCTTGTTCGTATTTGGTTGTATTTTGTCTCAGGAGTGGTCAGGGGCCCCAGGGCAGGGACCCCTTTTTCATGTACTTGGCGCTGGCAAATAGGACACTGCGAGGAAGCCCCTCTCACTGGGGGACAGCGGGAAGAATGTGGGGACAGGACCAGGGGCAGGAGAGGCAGAGGATCCACACGAAGTCCTGGTGAGGCTGGAGCGCCCCCAGCCCCTCTCCCCTTGACCCCCTTCCATGAAGTGGTTATAAAACCCCTGTCCAGGTTTTCACAGGCCCAAGCTCCCTCATCGCCCCCACCACGTGCCCATACACACACATGCACACACACGTACACACATGCATGTGTGCACAGTCCAGCACGCCTCAGGGCAGGGCTCCCCAGCAGGTCTGAACACGGTCCCGGGTTGGGGGACACAGGCCGTCTATGTGAGATCAGAATAGAGACCCCAGCCCCCAGCTCCTCAGCGTCTCAGCCATAGGGAGCAGTCTGCGCCTCCTGGGGGCTAGGCCGAAGGCTGGGGTGGGGGGCGGAAGAGCAGGGAGCCTCCCCAGGGGCTGCACCTCCCTCAGGCCCCATTCAAGGCACCCCACAGCAGCGGGGACAAGGGCCGGGCTCTGGGTCTCCCTGCAGGCTGCTGACGCACAGGCGGACCCACGAGCAGACTCCTCCATTCAGTCACCACTCACTCACTGAGACTTGCTGTGCACCAGGCACTGTTCTAGATTCTGGGGAGACGGCAGGGAAGCACAGAGACAAAATCCAAATGGGGAAACCATATAGTAGGTGAGGGGCTGAGAAGTGCTGGGGAGAAAAATTCAGGAGGGAAGGGTGTCAGGGAAGGCCTGGTAAGATCTTGGCACAGAGGGATGGAGGCGAGAGTGACCCCCTAGGACCAAGGCCCAGGGAATGGCACAGTCACCCAGGAAACGGCAGTGCCCAGCACGGGATGACCGCCTGCCTGGCCCTGTGCCCTGCAGGAGCCCACACCCCTCGCCTCAACCTGTGGGGAAATGGCACCGTGATTGCCTCTTCACAGAGAGGAAAGCAGGCTCAGAAGGATCGGGGACAAGCCAGGCAGCCCCTCAGTCCCTGAGCTCTCCCCCCACTGCTACCACCACACACACATCTCTGGAGTAACCCCCCTGGTCAGCAGGCGGGGAGGCAGATCCAGGCCTCAAGGAGCCTGCGGCCTAACACAGCAGAGGATGACCAGGTGCCAGGAGCCCTGGGCCTGGCCTTGCAGGGCTATTATGTAGCCAAGCAGTAGCCCCCGGTCCCCCCCCCGAATGCCCTTGGCATTCCTCCTGACGGAAGAGGGTGGCCCCAAGGGAGGCTACCTCCTGCCCAGGTTAGGGGCGCTGGGACTCCGCGCCCTCTCTCCCTCCCAGAGTTGGGCCCCAGGGTCTGTCCACAGGGTCACACTCAGGTGGGACTCCGATTTGGGCAGGTCCTGACAACCCACTACATCGTCCCCGCCCTCCACCCCTTGAGCCTCCAGGTGTGTACGAGAAGCCTTTCCATCCGGATTCTCTGCCACTCGACTGTGGCCCAGGGGAGGCCCAGGGAAAGAGGTTAAGCCAGCAGGTGCCTGGTGGAAAGGGGACCTTTCTGCTGGAGTCCCGTCAGGCAGGCCTGGCCCAGCACCAGGTGTGGGAGGTGAGGGCCAGGCTGGGGCAGGGCCTTTATCTCAGGAGCTCCCCAGCACTCACCCTGCCCGCCACGCCCCTGCGCAGCGGCAGCCAACCCCAGGACAGTCTGTGCGGGGCACACACGGGCGGGCACAACAGGCACGTCAGGCTCTTTGGTTTCTCTGAGCCTTACGAGAACCTCGAGAGACTGTGGGGACAGGAAGACAGGAAGTGAGCTGCCCCGGGTCACACTGCAGGTTGGCCACAGACCCCAAGTCAGTGAGACTCACAGGCTGGGTCCTTTCCCACTGCATCACTTCCCCTCTGTGACCAGGCTGCCCTGTCGGAGCCGCAGCCCGAGGCCGCCCCAGCCTCTGCTCAGCGAGGGGTGAAGGAGACACAGGTGCCAGGCTGCAGAGCCCCCTCCTCACTGGGGCGGGAAACAGCGTTAGATCGGGGCCAGGACACACAGGCCCGGCCATCTCCTACGAAGTGAGTTCCCTGGGGTCGCCCAAGGAACAAAACAGGCTGTGACCTTGAGCAAGCCCGGCCCCTCCCCACAGGCAGGGCCCACCCCAGTACCCAGCCAGTAGGGGCCCAGCAGCTCCCAGATCCAGCAGAAAGGCATCTTCTCCTGGAGCCTCAGGCTGCCCACCCATCTACACAGCTAGCCCACCCCCAAAACTGCCCCCAATGTGACCATTTTGTGACCAAGGCCAGCCTGAGAGTCTGACATCTGTTTAAACTAATGGCTTATGCTCGGACCTGAGACCAGCTGAGGAGAAAGGCATTAAAAACTAGCCCGACCTGCTCCTACAGACAAGGAAACTGAGGCTGGTGGAGGACAGCTGACGGGCCTAAGGTCATGAGGCCAAGTGCAGCGTCCCCCAGCTCCCTCCCAGCCACCACAGCACCAGGCACCAACCAGGCAGCACTGGGCATAAAGAGGTCCCTGGTCACTGGCCCCGCAGGTACAGAGTGGCCGCGCTCCCTGGTGGGGGTGGCAGGCCTGGAGACCTGCTCACTGCCGGGCAGGGGCTGCTCAGCTCTGCGCGGGGCCGAGGCGGCCTCTGGGTTCCTGGGCCCCAGCCAAGCTCCCTGCGGCTGGCACAGGAGCAGCATCACGTTCCCCTGGCACTTGGAAGGCTCTCAGATCCTCAGCTGGAGTGTGATGCCACTTCTCTTGTTAAATGGCACCAGGTGGCACAGAAAACATGGCACAGGGACCAGAGAGACGTGTGCCCCATGCTGGCTGGGGGGAGGCTCGGGGGTATGGGGAGGACCTTCCCCTATCAACGTGACGTGCCCGGCAGAGGCAGGCAGGCTGCAGTCCACACCCCACCTCTCCGCCTGGATCCTGTGCTCCATCAGCTCCCCAGAACCACCCTCCTTCTGCTCGCCCCCCACTCTGCCCTGCAAAGCCCCACCCTTTATGGCCCAGGCCACTGAGGGGCTGAAGACAAGGCTGGTTCCCAGGAGGCACCTCTGCCGATCAGATCCTGCCCATCCTCTCAGAGACCAACACGCACTTCTACTTCTCACCTCGGCCTCTTCCTTCGGCCCTGGACACGGCAGCCTCACCACAGAAGCTGGCCTCCCTTCCTCAGGGCCGAGGAGCCCCAGGCTTACAGTCGTGCTCTTCCTGGCTCGAGCAGTGTTCCTATCCTGCTCCTCGCCCGCTCCTCCACCAGGCCTGCCCCTGTGCTAACGGGCACCTTGCAGGCCCGTCCTGAAGTGTGGACCCCAGCATGTGGGAGTGGCTCCTTGAGACTGCCCTTCCTGACAGCTGCTTTCTCAGGCACAAGGCTTGCGTGTCTACCCTCGTGACGCCTGCCATGAGTTCCAAGCCGGCCCCCCTTCTCATAGAGCATGGGCTCTGGCCGTGATCCGTGACAGCATGTCAGAGCAGAGATGCTCTGGGGCTGGCCCCACCCAGGGCACCAGGCAGGGCTCCTGACGCCCGAAGACGCAGGCAGCTCCTGGCCCAAGCCGGGTGTGGGTAGAGGGCACATCATGGTCCAAGGGAGTCCCAACCTGGCTCTCCTCCCATTGTCTCACCCCCCAGACCCCATGTACCCAGCGCTGCCCACAGGGGAGTGACAGTGGCCTCAACCTGGCTGACCCGATTTTTGGATTCCAACCCTGGCACTTCTGCAAATTCTCATTAGACCCAAAGGGGAAGGGGAGCCATAGTCATGGCACAACCTCTGGCCACCAAGGTGGGAGCCAGCCCTCTAGACAGCCTTTCTCACGATTTCCACAAACTTACCAATTCATAAAGAGTGTAATTTCTGGGTTCACACCAGCTTTTGAACCTAGCTCTGTGATTTCAAACAATAGTTACTGTTCACTGAGTGCTTAGCTGGGACGGTGCAAGGCCCTAATACAACGGATTATGGGCTACAAGCGGACAGAGGAATACAACAGCAGGCTTGTCACCTGTCATTTCATTCAGGTCTCACACCGCAACAAGGTCAACAGAACGATCTCCATTACACGCCTGGGGAAACCGAGGCTCTATGAGGCCACAGCAGGCTCTGTAGGAACGGCAAGGCTAGGATGTGGGGTCAGACTGGGTCACAGAGTCCAAGCTCCCGCTGCCCGACCCTCCTAACTGTCCAGAGTCGGTGTCCTCATCTGCAAAATCAAGGTGGTGGAGACCAGGGGTTTTCAAACTTTTTTTGAGCCACAGACACTTTGTTCAAATGAAGCCTGAAGTGGAGATGCAGCCCGGCAGATGGATGAAGACACGGGGCTCTGCTGTGGTGAGCATGGGAGGGGGGGTGCTGCAGCCCACCCGCTGGGCTCCCTGCTGCAGTGCAGAGGAGTCTGGGCTGTGCAGGGAACAACTGCAGACCCTGAGCCTGTCAGGCCCTGACCCGGTCTTTGACAACAGTGGAAGTTGACTGCACAGGGCACCAGGCTGCGGGGAGGGCCAGCTTGGGGGCCAGCGGCTCTCACAGGTCCTCCGGGGCGGGGTTCTCAGAGCTCCTCAACAGGGACAGCAGGTTCAGGGCTGAGACGCCGGGCACGTGGCCAGCGCAGATCTGCAGCATGCGTACCAGGCGCTGCGCCACGGTGGCTCGAAAGCCTTCCCTCTGCAGGGGGAGAGCAGAGGACAGTGGTGAGGCTGATCTGGGGCAGCATGCCCCACTCCCCTTACTCAGAGTAGCCGCACAGGCTGCCAGAGGCGAGCGGAAGCTGAGCTGTGGGACCACTGCCCGTCATGGCCATGCCCCTGTCCACAGCATGCCTCACCGAGCAGCTTCCAACTGCTCCAGCTTCCAGAACCTCTAGACACCCTCCAGGATGCCTCAGACGATGACCCCTCCTCCAGAGGAAACAAAGCTTAGCAAGCAGGGCTGGCGAAGGAGGGTGTAGTGGCCGCTGAGCTGGGATGTGAAGCAGAGCTAGTTCCAACCACCGCCCAGGAAGCAGAGGCCCCGAAGGCTCCTTACCTGGGAGCTGAGAAAGACAGTCCCAAGCATGGAAAAGAGGGCAGAGAGAGGCCCTCATGGGGATGGGGGGTGCGCCAACATAGAGTTCCCTCATCAGGGCTTTGGAAGGCAGGGGCCCAGAGGCACCGGTGGGGTCGGGTCAGGTAGGGTGAGCAACTCTGTCCCCGGGCCTGGTGCCAGCAAGCGCAGCAAAGGAGGCGCCATGTCAGTGCCTGGTGAAGGACAAACCATGCTCAGCAGCCCTCCCTTGTCAACGGGCGCGGCGGGAGCATCTCGTCCTCCCCCTGTGCCTCCTTTCCCTGGGGAAGTGGGCATCACCGTCCGACCAGTCGCCCAAACTAGAGACCAGGCACCCTCAGTCCCCCAGCTCTTGCTCCCTGCCATTGTCACTTGTGACTTCTCGGTCCAAATCCAGAGGCAGCTGTCATTTCCACTAAGTCTCTTTTCCCTGGAATGCTTTCTACCTGCCCCCAGGACACCACACTCACCTGGTCCTTCCTCCCGCCTCATAGGCTGCTCCTTCCTGTCACACATCCAAGTGCTGCCCCGGCCTTGGCCTTGCCTGTGCAAGGTTTCTCCCCCCCACACTCCCTGGTGACCTCATCCAGTTCCGGGATCTAAAACCATCTCACTGCCCACGATACCCAAATTATATCTCCAGACCCTTCCTCTGAACATCAGACACACATATGTGGTTGCCTACTCGATTTCTGGGTAGACATCTGACAGACATCCTGATCTTATTAGCATGTCCCCAGGGGAGTCCCTGAGGGTTCTCCCAACCTGTCCCCGCCATAGTCGCCCCATCTCAGCCAAAGGCACCTCTATCCTACATTCTAACAGTTGCTCAACTGAAAACTCCAGGGCCATCCTGAGTCTCCTTTATCCCATGTCTCACCCCCAGGTCATGGGCACATCTGTTAGTTCCACCCTGGAAATACCCAGTATTGCAGACTGTCCTGTCTTCCTCTTCCCCAGACACCACTGAGCCCAGGCCACTCCTAACTCTTCCAGAAACAGCCTCCGGGACATTTCCTCATTTCTGCCCTTGCTTCTCTTCCACACACTCTTCTCCCAACAGCTGGAGGGATCCACGTAGACCCCCATCACATAAACAAAAAAATAAAAATAAGGCCCATGTCAGGCCACATCCCTCCCTGCCCCTGCACCCTCCCTGCAGCTCCAGGTTTACTCAGTGAAAGCCACTGCCCTTACTAAGACCAACCAGGCCCTCCTGCTCAGCCAAGTCACTCTGATGCACCAACTACTACTGTGCCCTCTCTTTGCTGTGCTCCTGCCCTAAGCCTCCCTGGGGCGGGGGGGGGGGGGGGCGGCGGCTGGACACACCAGGCAAATCCCACACTCCAGGCCTTTGCACTTGCTGTCCCTCTGGCCTCTGTGCTCCTCCACGGCCTGCCTACCTTCCTACCTTCTTCAAGCCCATAAAGTCCTTTTTAACAGTCATTCCTGTCAATCCCAATAAACCTGACTGCTTTTACCACCTGATGCACCACATCCCCATTTTCTAACACTTTGCGGCCTCCACCCCAAGACTCGTCTCCGGCCAGGCCTTCTCCACATGCCACACTCCAGAGATGTGGCCCCCCAAACCCAAGTCTGACCACATGAGATGCTCCCATCACCTGCAGGAAGGACCTCATCCTACTGCCAGGCTCCCAGGTCTGTACATGTCCGACTGCTGCTGCACACCATGCCTGGTGGTCTAGCTTACCCGATTCTGCGGGGGCAGGCGTGATGCCTGGCTCATCTGTGTGTGTCAGGGAACAGCACAGGCCCCATCAGCGGTGCTCGGAAATACATTCACTGGGCAAATCCCCCAACTTCTCAAATTGTGTTTCTTCATGTGTTAAACCAGGCAAGGCCTTGAAATATGGTAAGGCTCAAATTTAAATATGCAGAGTGTGCCCTGCAAAGGCCTGCACAGACACGAGGAGTGATGACTGTCCAAACACGCAGTGCTTGGTCTGAGCGAGTGCCAGGTTTAGTTGTGGGCAGGCCCGCTGCTGCTGGAAACAGATAGCAGCTGCGGGCCTTTTCCTGGAGGGCTCCGGCTCCCGGAGCCCCCAGGAGCTGGTGTGGCCTGCCACCTCCTGGCCACAAGGAGAACTGCACCTACTGCACAAGGAGAAGCGCCAGGTAGGGGGCACCACAGCCCGGGCTGCCTAAGGTTGCCGAGCTGTGGAGCAAAGATTATGATTCTCCTTTAGCCATAAGGAGATGAAGGCTGCATGTGGGCGAAGTGACTTGTTCAAAGCCACTGAGAGCAGGCTAAGAAGGGAAGGAGACAGCAGCCTGCAAACCCGCCGGCTCTACCACTAACATACTAACTAGATGACTGAGCAAGTTCCCTCTCTTCTCTGGGTCTTGGGTTTCTGGGCTATGCTGTGAGGAAAGACTAGAAGGGCAGGCACTTTGGGTGTATCCTAGGCCTCAGCGTCCTATCGGAGTGCATCGGAGTGCTGACTAAAATAGTCCTCAAATATGAAAAATGAATTAGTGACAGAGTGGTACGTGCATCTTTATCGATGCACTGAATAAGGGGATCTGTCCATCTGCATATGAGATGGAAACATCTGTCATTTCTGTTGGTGACAGCCCAGCCCCTGCTATACTACTGACATCTCTTGCCTATATTCATAATGCTAAATTTCACATAGAGTTTAGTGGGAGAGAAAGAAGTATTTTTTTCTCATACAAGTTCACAGATCACCTGAATTCTACTCATAGGTTCCCTGAATTCTACCCTCAGAGGGGTCCACAAACCTGTGAATAAGAACCCCAGGTCTGGGTGGTGGTAAGGGACAGGATGCTGACTCAGTTCTCTCTGCATTACATCACTTTGCCTTGGGAACAGGTGCAAGACCCAGGACAGAGCAGAAATGAACCTCAAAACCAATAAACAGACCCCAAAATTAACCAAGCAGGTTGGGTACACAGGTGGAGCAGCCCAGGCCCCGGGAGCCCTCTGTAGACCTCCTAGAGAGAGCAGCTGCTGAGCACTTTTAGCAAAAAGTCTGGATTCATACTGCAGAAAGAGAAGCTGAAGAGGAAAATTTACCAGCAAAATAGAAATCTTCTCTGCTATGCTCATAATTAGGATCACTTATGAGAAACCTATGACAAACACCAACGGAAGTGAGTTGGGGTAGGGGCCTCTGGGTGGCTCAGTGGTTGAGCATCTGCCCTTGGCTCAGGGCATGATCCCAGGGTTCCGGGATCGAGTCCTACATCAGGGTCCCTCAGGGAGCCTGCTTTTCCCTCTGCCTGTGTCTCCCATGAATAAATACATAAAATCTTAAAAAAAAAAAAGTGGGTTGGGGTAGAACCGACACCATAGATATCCCTCCAACCCTCTACCTACCCACCCACTCCCCCACCATTCTGGCTGCCTGCTGGATGCCCTGCCCCAGGCTGGGACTGGACCAGTTCTGCAGTCCACGGGCATAAGGGGGACAGTGGACATTCTGACTGTGGGAGGACATGAGGCAGCACTGGTTAATATAACAGACAAGATGCCTGGCGTCACAGCACTTACAACCAGCAGGAGAGTGAGAGATTAATGAGCATCCCCATATATATACACAAGACTGAGTTATGAGCGAAAACAAAGCAAACGAAAAAGCAAAGTAACAAGCCATAGCACCTGGCATCTGAGAGGCACTCAGGCTGAAAGCATATCATCGCCCTACTTTACTTGTGTGTACCCCAACTCTTTGGGTGACTGATCCACCCAAGATACAGCCAATGAGCAGAGAAGCCAGGATTCAAATCAGAATCTTGTGGTCTTCACGTCAGGACCCCCTCGCTTGGGCACACCCTACCGCTTCTCGCTTCTCGACACACCCTACCATGTGCTGACCACCCTTTCCCTGCACCCATGCGATCAGCGTGCTCACCTCCAGGTCACAGAAGAACAGAGGGCTTCTGTAGGTGTTGGCCAGCTTCGTGATAGTGTTCCGATGGATGCTACAGTGGCTCTCCTGCCCAGCTGCAAAGAAGCCGTGAGTGCTGCAGGCTGAAATGTCTACCCTCGTGGCTGCAAGCCAGGAAGCACTGGGCAAACTCACTCGCTACCCTTCTTTGGGCCTCAGGTGCTTACTGGTCAGTGGGGTGACCATCCTGTTTGAATTTCTTTTCATCAAATTAGAAAATAAAGCTGGAAGGCCTTGGAGAGAGTGCTCTGTAAACACATGAGTTTCCTCATCTATAAGATGAGGATGGGAACAGACCCCAACCCACTGAGGTACTATAGAGATTCAATGAATTAATATGTAGGAATGACCTGGCATTCCTTTACTCATCAATGTTTATTTTTATTTATTTATTATTATTATTTTTTAAAAGATTTTATTTATTTATTCATCAGGAACAGAGAGAGAGAGAGAGAGAGAGGCAGAGACACAGGCAGAAGGAGAAGCAGGCTCCATGCCCGAAGTGGGACTCGATCCCAGGTCTCCAGGATCACGCCCTGGGTCAAAGGCAGGTGCTAAACTGCTGAGCCACCCAGGAATCCCACTTATCGATGCTTATTGAGAAGAATCTGTGCCAGGCCCTCCTTGTCAGTTTAGCTGGGTGGAGGTGGACAGCTCAGATACCCCACTGGTATAGGAGGAAAGGTGGCAGGTCTACGGGATGGACACCCCGGGGCCCAGAGTGCAGGGCCAGTTAGGGAGGTGTCCCCCAGGAGATGGGATTTAAGGGTTAGCTAGACAAATAGGAAAAGAGCATTCAAGAGAAGCTGTGTGATATATAATCATTAAGGGTGTGGGCTCCGGGACAGGACTCTCTAGGTACGAACATTGGCTCTACCACTTTTTAGCGATGGGCCTTGTAAGGTTACTTAACCAGGTGAAGAGTTTCCTCAGCTAGAGAACAACAATATGTGCCTCAAAGGGTTGTGTGTAATAAAGATTAAGTGATACAGAAACGAAGCACTTTTAGAACAACATCTGGTAACAGTGAGTGCTCCGGAAAGGTTAGCTGCTGCTATTTCTGCTGTTAATATTACAAAGTCTCTGGAACAGCAGAACTTGTTCAGAGAACAATAAGCTGAACCAAAGAACAGGAGGGTGACAGGAGACGAGACCAGACAGGAAGGTGGAAGGCCAAACCTGGGACTTTATGGGAGATGGGGATTTTACTCTGAAAGCCACAGGGAGCCACCAGGTGACTCTCAGCAATTATCTCAGCAGAATGCTCTGCTCAGATTTGCTTTCAGAGAGACCGCCAACAGGTCATTTTCTGAAGCTCATGTTCTTTTAGGCCTCCGGGGCAGCCTCGTTGAGGAGTCTACCATGGTGCCAGCCACACAGCGGGGGCGTGGGCAGGATGCACTTACCACCCATGGCGAGGAAGCCCACCTTCCCCAGGAAGAAGGTGGCGTCCACGTGGCGCAGGGACTCCTCCACGTTCTGGAGGCTGGCGTGAGAAAACAAATCAGAGGACAGACCTTACCCCAGAGAAGACAGAAGGCTGTGCTCCTCATCCCTCAGAGACCGAAGAAGGTGCATGAGGGTAAGAGGAAACACCCTAGAGTAATATTTTGTCTTTTGTTTTGTTTAAGTACTTTTAAAATTACAAAGTGACTCAAGCCTGTATAACAATCCAATATGGATGTATTCAGTAAACGGCGCAAGTCTCCCTCTCCAGCACCACCCTTCTGTCTCAACATCCCAGAGGTTATTGCTGCTCACAGTCTGGGATATAATTCCATTTGCAGGGACGCCTGGGTGGCTCAGTGGCTGAGGGTCTGCCTTCAGCTCAGGTAGTGACCCCAGGGTCCTGGGATTGAGTCCCACATTAGGTTCCCTGCAGGGACCAAGCTTCTCCCTCTGGCTAGGTCTCTGCCTCTCTGTGTGTCTCTCATGAATAAATAAATTTTTTAAAAAATTCCATTTGCATATGAATTTCTCATATGTAAATAGAGGCAGTGATATGTATAAGCACGTAGTTGGATTTAACCTGTTAAATTCTTTGGGATGGGGACGCCCAGCAGTTAAATGTCTGCCTTCGGCTTAGGGTGTGATCCTGGGATCCTGGGATCAAGTCCCACATCAAGCTCCTGGCATGGAGCCTGCTTCTCCCTCTGCCTCTCTGTGTGTGTCTCTCATGAATAAATAAATAAAATCTTTAAAAGAAAAATTATTCGAAATCACCACCCAGTATCACAATCTATTTTCTAGGTGATGGACACTTGTGTGGTCTCCAATTTTTCACCATTACAAAAAATGCTGCATGGGAGCACCTGGGTGACTCAGTGGTTGAGTGTCTGCCTTTGGCTCAGGGCGTGATCCTGGGATCTGGGATCGAGTCCCTCATCTGGTTTCCTGCTTGGAGCCTGCTTCTCCCTCTGCCTATGTCTCTGCCTCTCTCTGTGTGTCTCTCATGAATGAGTAAATAAAATCTTTAAAAAAAAAAAAAAGAATGCCACATGAGCATTCTTTTACACATATTCTCACACATGCAGACAAATGTTTTTGTAGGATCGATGCTAGATGTAGAACAGAGCTGGGCCACATTATGTGTCTTTAAAATGTACTTAGATAAAGGGATGCCTGGGTGGCGCAGCGGTTTAGCGCCTGCCTTTGGCCCAGGGCGCGATCCTGGAGACCCGGGATCGAATCCCACATCGGGCTCCCGGTGCATGGAGCCTGCTTCTCTCTCTGCCTGTGTCTCTGCCTCTCTCTCTCTATCTGTGTGACTGTCATAAATAAATAAAAATTAAAAAAAATGTACCTAAATAGGGATGCCTGGGTGGCTCAGACGGTTAAGTGTCTGACTCTCCACCTCAGTTCAGCTCATGATCCCAGGGTCCTGAGATAGAGCCCCATGTTGTGTTCCGCATTGAGCTAGGACCCTGCTTGAGATTTACACTCTCCTTCTCCCTCTGCCCACCCTGCACCCCCCCCCGCCTGCTGACCCCACTTGTGCAAATATACCCACGCTCTCTCTTTTAAAAAAAAAAATTACCTAGGTATTGCCAAATTGCTTCCCAATTGGGTGACAATATTTATAGTTATATCACATGTATGAAAACACTCTTTTCCTCTAGGACCTTTGGGCCTTTGACCTTCTGGGCCAAGGGTTTCATTCATTGGTGTCCAAGGAGTGATGAAGAAATGTGTCCTGGCCAAAAAGCCATCTTGGTCAGGTGAACCAAGCCAAGGTTTCAGCCTGAATGAGCAAGGTCTGAGGCAAACAGTAAGAATGGCTCTCTGCGCCTAAGTGTGACTATAGAGCAGAATCTCCACAAAGTGTCCCTTTTGGTGAACAGGGTGGTCATACCCAAAGAACAACAGATCTGCTGAGTTAGGACCTCTGGCAATCATGGCAGATCTCAGCCCTTTCTCTGTCCCACCATAAGCTCAAGTCACTGCTCACCTGTTCCAGCTGGCCAGGCAGTATGTCTGGACTTGATCCTGCTGCTGGGTGTGTCTAGTAGCTCTATGTCCCTAGTTCCAGGTGTTTCCACCACAGCCTTCCCTTAACCCCCACCACTTGACTTGGTTTCTTTTTTTATATATAATTTTTTTAAAATTTTTATTTATTTATGATAGAGAGAGAGAGAGAGAGAGAGAGAGAGAGGCAGAGACATAGGCAGAAGGAGAAGCAGGCTCCATGCACCGGGAGCCCGACGTGGGATTCGATCCCGGGTCTCCAGGATCATGCCCCAGGCCAAAGGCAGGCGCTAAACCATTGCGCCACCCAGGGATCCCTTGACTTGGTTTCTATGCTGGATGCTGCACCAAACCTCTCAGTCAGCCATCCCCCAACAGGGAGAGAACAGATCTTCTTCTGTACTCCCCAGGGTGGCTGCTGTCCTGTCTCCAGGGTTGCCAGTGCTAAGGGAAGCCAGGCTGGGCCCCAAGCATCATCACCAATCATTCATGTTCCCCTAGCTATGGCGCCACACCACTCTGGGATCCTGACCCTGGACTGGCCTTAACAGTCCTGCACACGTTATGCTCTTCTTTCCCTTCACATTAACCTTTCTTCACGTGGAACTTTCTGCTTACTCCCATCTTTACCTGGCTACCTCACCTCCAGTAGAAAGCCTACCTTGCCCTAAGTCCTGAGAGTCAGAGGTCTTACTGGGGCTCTCATAGCCCAACACATTCTTCTTCTTCTTTTTTTTTTAAGATTTATTTATTTATTCATGAGAGACACAGAGACAGAGAGGCAGAGACACAGGCAGAGGGAGAAGCAGGCTCCCTGTGGGGAGCCCGATGTGGGACTCAATCCCGGAACCTGGGATCATGCCCTGAGCAAAAGGCAGACACTCAACCACTGAGCCACCCAGGCATTCCCCCAATGCATTCTTCTTTTACGGTAACCTATGCCAGATACTGTAATCACCTCTTCGGAAGTCTAGCTTCCTCTCCCAAGTGGGCTAGGAACACCTTGGGGACAGGGGTCTGCTTCATCCATGTCTGTGCCTGCCCTCAGGGATACAGAGAAGGCTGCAGAAAGCATTAGCTAAATGGCCAATGACACTGTTGGGGTTTATCAGTGTCTTTTTTACTTTAAAATTAAAATTTAGGGGATGCCTGGGTGGCACAGCGGTTTGGCGCCTGCCTTTGGCCCGGGGCGCGATCCTGGAGACCCGGGATCTAATCCCACGTCGGGCTCCCGGTGCATGGAGCCTGCTTCTCCCTCTGCCTGTGTCTCTGCCTCTCTCTCTCTCTGTGTGACTATCATAAATAAATAAAAAATATATTTAAAAAAATAAAATTAAAATTTATTTATTCATTTCAGAGAGAGAACGTGCCCAAGTACATGGGGCAGGGCAGGGGAGGTGCAGAGGGAGAGGGAGAGAGAGAGAATCTCAAGAAGACTCCCTGATGAATATGGAGTGCACACGGGGCTCAATTCCAGGACCCTGAGATCATGATCTGAGCCAAAATCAAGAGTCAGATGCTCAACTGATTGAGCCATCCAGGTGCCCTTTTAGCAGTGTCTTTAAAATATCATTCACTTGCCACTGGCTCCCCATCCTCACCTTCTGGGCTAACCCCAGGCAGCCTCTCCCTGTGTCCCCTCTTTCCCATCACAAGTGAGGTCATCATCCCAGCACACCCCTATGCCAAGTCTACCTGAGCCCCGTCAGCCCCTATTCTCTGGCTCTCACCTGTATTTGCTGTGAAGGTTGACCACAAACATGATCAGGTCAATTCGAGGCCGATTCACATCGGAGGGCAGAGGGAGGGATCTGGTCAGGTGGCTGAAAAATGAGAAACTGCAGGATAAAGATATATATATACCCACATCACAGGGACTATTCACATGCTGCCCTCCATGGGGTAAGAGGCTGTCAAGGGCTCCTCACCTATTCCCCAGATGCCCTTGAGGGCTAGACTTCTCAGGTGAGCACAGGGGCAGAGCAGAACTGGTCCTATCTAGACTTAATCCTTCTGCCAGAAAGGAGCTCCATTTGGTAACCACCTCGGAAAGAGGGAGTTTGGGATAGAAGATGGCAATGGGGCTAGCCAGCCACACTGCATGCCGGGAGGGAGATCAAACTCAGAAGTGGGGTGTTAGACTATGAAGATTAGGGGTTAAAGGCTGAACCCCTGGGGCACCTGGGTGGCTCAGTCAGTAAGCATCTCCCTTCAGCTCAGGTCATGATCTCAGGGTCCTGGGACAGAGCCCTGCATGGGGTTCCCTGCTCAGTAGGGAGCCTGCTTCTCCCTCTCCCCCCTCCCTCTGCTTGTGCTCTCTATCAAATAAATAAATAAAATCTTTTTTTTAAAGATTTATTTGTTCATGATGAGAGAGAGAGAGAGAGAGAGAGAGAGAGAGGCAGAGACACAGGTAGAGGGAGAAGCAGGTTCCATGCAGGAAGCCTGATGTGGGACTTGATCCCGGGACTCCAGGATCGCGCCCTGGGCCAAAGGCAGGCGCTAAACTGCTGAGCCACCCAGGGATCCCCCAAAAAAGATTTTTTTAAGTTTATTATTTTTTTAAGGTTTTATTTATTTATTCATGAGAGACAGAGAGAGAGAGGCAGAGACATAGGCAGAGGGAGAAGCAGGCTCTATGCAGGGAGCCTGACATGGGACTCGATCCAGGGTCTCCAGGATCAGGCCCTGGGTTGAAGGTGGCGCTAAACCGCTGAGCCATCAGAGCTGCCCGAAAAAGGTTTTTTTTTAAAGTAGAAAATCATGCATAATATTTGACAGTGCACACTTAATTTTAAAGAGCACTTAAAAAAAAGATTTTATTTATTTACTCGTGAGAGACACACAGAGAGAGGGGCAGAGACACAGGCAGAGGGAGAAGCAGGCTCCATGCAGGGAGCCTGCCCAATGTGGGACTCGATCCCAGGACCCCAGGATCACACCCCAAGCCCAAGCAGACGGGCTCTACCGCTGAGCCACCCAGGTGTCCCCAAATAAATAAAATCTTAAAAAAAAAAAGCCTGAACCCCTTTGGAGGGTGATGGAAGTGGGCTCAAATCTCAAGTATGCCAATTATGAGCTATGTGACCTCAGGTATGTCACCCTCATCATCACTGTGGTCTAAACTTGTCCCCTCGTAGGATTCTTTAAATGCTATAATGGGGTTTATTCTCCTAGTAATGGGTGTTTCTGATTCCCACGAAGGTACACCCTCTAGATTGGGATCCTTCCCCTTCAACATGAGCCCCTGGAGCTTATCTATCAGGGAGAATGACACCCACATATAACCAGTCACTTGATTCCCACCAGCAGCTGTTTTTTTCTCTCCATCAGTTAGAAAAAGAAAAACAAAATTACTACTTTAGTCAACTTTTCTCCAAATCTGGGGGCAGCGCGGGGCGGGGGGCAGAATCTGAACACTACTCTGTGCTAAGTACTGTTCAAAGCACTGGGCATTCAGTAGTGAACAAAAGTCAAAGTCCCTGACCTGGGGGTGGGGAGCTGACCTCGGGGTTCATGGAGGTGGCCGACTGAAAACAAGCAAACTAACACGTGAACAAGGACATTTCCTGCGGTGACAAGCGCTGGAGGAAAACTGAAGTATGTGACCGAGCGAGGGAGGATCCGTCAGCTGGGGGCAGATCACGCCTGGGCGGGGGGTGGGGGTGGTGCCGGCCCCACCTGCCCCCGCCTCCCTGGCAGCGGGGCACAGTCAGGCCGTGGCGGAGCCATCGGACACCCCCGCCCTCAGCTACGTACATCTTCAGCTCCGAGGCGCAGTCCTCCTGGAGCATCGCGTCGGCCAGCTGCTGCAGAAGTGCATCTTCCGTGCCCACCAGCTGCCCAGGGAGAGAAGGCGGCCTACTGACGCCTGGGGCTCGGGCCACCGACCCGGCACCGCGCGACTCCCGGGTTCCCGCTCCCGCGCGCACGGCGCGGTTTACCGAGCCAGGGCCCCGCCAGGCGCTCGGGTCCTGTCCGCACAGCACTTCTCACCTGGGCCCTCCCTCCGGCGGCCAGACCATCGCCCCCGCCCCCGCAGCCGCCCCCCGCAGCCGCCCAGCCTGGAACTCAGGCTCCCGGACTTGGCCAGTCTCCGCGCCCGGCCACTCCACCAATCAGAAACCGGGAAAGAGCCCGCCGCGCGCCTATTGGTGGATACGCCCTCCAGCCTCAGAAGGCGGCTGTTCCGATTGGTTCAGAGTGTGGCTCTCCCGCCCACCACGCCCCAGGCCAAAAAGCGCGCGCCAGAACCTCAGAGAGCCCAGAAGAGCGAGCAGCGGAGGCGCCGCCGACAGGGAAAGGCAAGTGGAGGAAGCGGAACCCGGCTGACGCCTACCAGGATGGTGGCCGTGTTCAGGCCAGGCTGCTTGTCCAGCGGCCGCAACACCGACATCCCAGGGCCGGGAAGAAGCGCGACTGTGGGGCGCGCGCGGATCCTTCAAACCACTCGGCGGCACGCCCAGAGGTGTGCGGCCGATAGGCACGTGACTCCCGCTTGGGCGGGGCTTTGGGGAACGGGGCGGGGTCCTCTTAAAGGAACCCTGACCTCCCTTTTTAAGCCTGTGGGACAGGCCCTTTATTTCACGCCTCAGAGAAAGAAGGTAATACAGTGATTCAGTCGTTCATTTTCGTTCATTCATGCATATTCATCATACTCTTGATTCCTTCCAAACTCGCCCCTCCCTTGTCATCCCCAGCTCAGTTGACTCCATCCTTGCAACTGCTCAGAACAAAACATTGAGGTCATTCTTGGCCCCTCTTCTTCACACCCTCATCCAATCCATAAGCAAGCCTGTGGGTTCTAGTGTTAAAATGCATCCAGAAGCTGACTACTTCTTGCCGCGTCCACTACCACCACCAGGACAAGCCACTGTCATCTCTCACGCGGACTTGTCACTGGCTCCCTGCTTCCAGCGTAGTCCCCAGGGTGGCTGTTCCCCACACAGCAATCAGAGTTATCCTTTTTTAAAACAGAATCTGTTCAAAATCCACCCAAAGTTCCCATTTCATTCAGAGTACATTGCAAATGCCTTCCGTGGACTTTGAGGCTCCGTGTGTTGTGATCCCTGACAGTCTCCCTGACCTCATCTTCTGCTCTTCTCTCTCTTACACTCTCCTTGTCACAAGGGCCACTAGGGTGTTCTTCAAATATTCCAAGTATCCTTCTACCTCCTGCCTTGTCCTTGTTGGTACCCTGTGGCTGAAAAGAAAGCTCTTCTCCCAAATACTCACTTGGCTTGCTTTCTCATTTTGTCCATGTTTCTGCTCCAGTGCCACTTTATCAGAGGAGCCTTTCTTTTTCATTAAAATTTTTTCTTAAAGTTTAAACATTTATTTATTTATTTAAATTTTAAATATTTTTTATTAATTTCTATTTTTTTTAATTAAAAATTTTGGAGAGGCCTTTAAGAACCTACCTAAACAACCCTACCTAAAATAGCAAGTCTTGGGGAGCCTGGTTGGCTCAGTTGGTAAAGCGTGCCACTCTTGGGACGCCTTTGGCCCAGGGCCTGATCCTGGAGACCCGGAATCAAGTCCTGTGTCGGGCTCCCTGCATGGAGCCTGCTTCTCCCTCTGCCTGTGTCTCTGCCTCTCTCTCTTTCTCTCTCTCTCTGTGTCTCTCATGAATAAATAAATCTTTAAAAAGAAAAAAAAAAGTGTGCCACTCTTGATCTTGGGGTTGTGAGTTCAAGCCGCATCCTGGGGGTAGAGTGTATTTAAAAATAATAAAAAAAATTTACAAATTTTTAAAGATTTTATTTATCCTTTTGACAGAGAGAGCACAACAGGGGGAGCAGCAGGCAAAGGGAAAGGGAGAAGCTGGCTCCCCGCTGAGTGGGGTGGAGTCCCATCCTGGGCTCCATCCCAAGACCCCAAGATCAGGACCTGAGCAGAAAGCTGATGCTTATCTGACTGAGCCACCCAGGTGCCCTAATAAAAAGTTATTTTTAAAAACCCCATTATCTTGGGGCACCTGAGTGAATCAGTGGTTGGGCATCTGCTCCCTCTGCCTGTGTCTGTGCCTCTCTCTGTGTGTCTCTCATGAATACATAAAATCTTTAAAAAAATTATCTTTTAAAAAATAGCAAGTTGTTCATACTCCTTGTCTTTCTTTTTCTGCTCTATTTTCTCAATGGCACTAATCTCCACTTCACATATAGTCAAGAACTGTACAGAGTCTGAGATTGTACCATATTTACAAACTAATAAACTGTTTATTATTGTTTAGTAATAGTGTGTTGCTGTTGCATGGATGAAACTCCTGGGTAAGAGACAAAAGATTTTGTCTAATTTGTTTCCTGTTACTCATGGTAAAAACAGTAGCAGAGGCTCCATGTCTGTCTGCATCAATGCTCCATGTCTCCCAAGCCCTGCAAAGGACCCACCACGGAGCCCTATACACCTCAAGGATGGCAATATAGAAGAGGAACACAGGGATTAGAGATTCACTGCTTTTATAGCAAGTGGTAGGCATGTTTGTTCTTTGCTGGGGGTGGGGGGAGACGTCACCTTCTCCCTCAAGGTTGCTTGCTGCAAACGCAACCCTGAGAGATAGTCTGGGCAAAGAGCTTTAAAGGCCTTGCTTTCTTGGCATTCACAGCAAGAACCCGCAGGGATGTGCGGAGCCCATGGCTGGTTGCTTCTCTCAATAGTTATAAAATTACTTACTCATTGTCTCTCCAGCTACAGCGTAAGACACAGGAGAGTAGAAACGTTGTCATTTTGTATGTCCAACACTTTATTTTTAAAAATATTTTATTTATTTGAGAGAAAGAATGAGCAGGAGTGAGGGGCAGAGGGAAATGAAGAAGTAAACTCCCCACTGAGCAGGGAACCAGACATGGGGCTCAGTCCCAGGACTCTGGGATCATGATCTGAGCTGAAAGCAGACACTCAGCCAACTAAGCCACCTACGTGCCCCTGTCTAGCACTTTAAAAAGTGCTTGGCCTGTGGTAGTTGCTTGGTAATTATTTGTTGAATGAATGGATTGATTTATATCCATTGATTAATTCTAAGCAGTGATTTCTTTAATCATCTCCTAGGGCAGACCCTACCCCCCACCTCGAGAATACAGATGAATCAGACATTATGTATCAATGCTGGGGTTGGGGAGCCAGGTCCTGATCACACAGAGACATACTCCCTGTCTTACCTTCTCACTGCAGACTAGACTATATCTTGCTTAGAAAGAGCTGGAAGTGACTTTGTGGAGTTCCTGCCCCAGCATAGATGGCCTTTGATTCTTCTGGCGTGGGATGTGGAGGGGACTCCCCAAAAGCCCGATGGTGATGAGTACTCTGAACATAAGGTAAGCCAAGCTGGGGGATAGAGAGGGACGGGAAGAAGCTATGTTAGGTGAGGGGAGGCCTCTGTCAGCAGGTGATGCTTGAACAGAGGCCTGAATTCAGCGGGAGAGGAGCCAGTTAAGTATATTGAAGAGGATTCGGGCAGAAGGAGCAGCAAATGTCAAGACCCTAAGGGGGGAGCATCCCTGGCACTTCTGAGGAACAGCAAGAAGGTCAGTGGCTGAAGCAGATGGAGTGAAGAGAAAGTGGGAGAAAGGAGGCTACAGAGATGACCGAGGCCCTTGGAGTGGCCTGGAGAGGCTCTGGCCCTGTCAGTACTTTCTGAGACCTTCAATGAACACATGCTGAGTGCCTGCTTTGGGCCAGGCCTGGTGCTGAGCACTGGTGACCCAGGCACCAGAGGTGTCATCCTGGCTTCAACGGCAGTTGGCCAGATGACAAGAACCAATGCAGCACATTTGGTGAGAGCCACCCCAGGAAGCAGCAGGAGCCCAGAAGCATGAAGGGTCCCTGGGGAGCCATCGCTACACTTGGCTGGGGATGTGACTATTGGCTGAGGTGTTAAAATGACTTGGTGCTTGTCACATGAGCAGTGGAATAGAAAAGAGCTGTGTGTAGGATACCGTGATGAAGGGTAGGGATGGGCAGGAAGGCCAGACCCAGGCCTGGAGGTTCTTATATCAAGAACATTTGGAGCTGGCAGGGTCATCAGACACCCTGTGGGATAGTGTTTTTCTTTTTCTTTCTTTCTTTATTTTTCTTAAAGATTTTATATAAGTATTTAAGAGAGAGAGAGCACAAGTAGGGGGAGAAGCAGGCTCCCCACTGAGCAGGGAGCCCATTGTGGGGCTCAGTCCCAGAACCCTGAGATCATGACCTGAGCTGAAGGCAAGACACTTAACTGAGCCACCCAGGTGCCCCTGAGATAGTGTTTTTCAAACTGACTTCTATAGAGCCCTGGGGAGATGCGTCGGGGATGTACTGTAGGGATAAGGGGAAGCTGTGTAGGTAGGGTCCAGAAACTGCACCCCATTATTTAACAGAAGCAGCTCAGGCTTTATCTCTACTTTATATTGAACTTCCCATATGTTTGTGTATGAATAAAGAATTATATGGCTAAAAGTATTTAAAGCTGTTAATCATATTTTTACAGCTTTATCAAAGTATGATTGATACATGAGAAGCTACACATATTTTTTAATATTTTATTTTTTAAATTTACTTTTAAAGATTTTATTTTTTTATTTAAGAGACAAGGAGGGAGAGAGCATGAGCAGATGGAAGGGGCAGAGGGAGAGGGAGAAGCGGACTCCCCACTGAGCAGGGAGCCTGACGCAGCTTGATCCCAGGACCCTGAACTGAAAGCAGACACTTAGCCAACTGAACCACCCAGGCGCCCCAAGGTGCACATATTTAAAATATACAGTTTGATAAATTTGAGCTATGTGTCCACCTAGGAAGCCACCACACAATCAATGTAATGCACATGTCCATTATCCCCCGAAAGTTTCTCTGCATTCCTTTGTCATCCCTCCCCCAACTCCTCTCTGTCCTCCCACTCCAGACTGTTGAGAAGCACTATGGAAGCTTTTCTCACAATAGTCTCATACTGGACTGGAAACAAGCCAAATGTCCTTCAGGGGTCAACACATAAACTGGTTGTGGTGTACTGATCAGTGTAGCCACATCAGTGAGTAGCAAAAACACTGTGCTGAGCAACAGAAGCCAGACACAAAAGAGTCCATATTGTTTGAGTCCATTTGCATCAAATAAAATAGAGGAAAACCTAACTTATGGTGATAGAAATCAGTGGGTACCTTTGGGAAGTATGTATTGACTGGCAAGAGGCAGGAGGGAATAGTCTGGGGAGATGGAAATCTAGAAATTGATCACAGCTGTATACAAAGATAAACATTCATCACTTAAGATCTGTATTTTACTATATGTACTTGGCCTCATTACAAATCCCTCTATGAACTCAAATTCACTCCCCATACCGCATATATGCTGGAGAGGACCCACCACACTTGCAGGGGTCCAGATGGTCCCAGAGCAGGCAGGGTATCTGTGGCATGGGGAACCCAGGGTCCTGAAGGCATCTCTCCCCACGGCCTCTCCCATCTGCCTGTCCTCAGGTTTCTGGGAATGGACTCCCTGGGGAAGTGGTTCCTTGAAGCCTCTTTCCCGCCCCATAGGCCTCCAGAGCTGCTCTGTCCTCCTGAGACAACAATCACTGATATTTTCGGAATGCACACTAGGTGCCTGACACTTTGCTGACTCTCTGTCCATAGCACAGGAGGCTTGGGAGGTGGACCCCTTACCCCACCTTTACTCCCCGGCTTTGTCACTGAGAAGCTGGGTGACCTAGAGGAAGGAGAAGGTAAGTGGTGTCACTTCTCTGAGCTGTAGCTGCCTCGTCCCAGATCAGCTCTCAACACCAATCCAGCTGGAGGATGGAATGAAGTGGTGTGTGGGGCCATGCCTGGGATGTAAGTGTTCTCAGTGCCCGGGAGTCACAACCATCAGAGGCCGTGTCCCAGCCAAGGGGACTGTGGGGCTGGTGAAGCAGAGTCTGGAGAGGCAGCCCCTGTGGGGGCCTGAAGGTCAGGCTAGGGCTCTGACTCTGGCATTGTTACTTTCTTGCTGCGTGACCTTGGATGACGGATAAATGGATTAATATAAATAAAGCGCTGAGCGCAGGGTCTACATCAGACTGATGTGTCCAGAGTCTCAGTCTCAGTCTTGGTTCTTTCCTTTACAACATACAACTCTTGTTGGTTCTACTAGTCGCTACTTCTCTGTCCCCACCTGCCTGCTGGGGACCCTCATCTCTCCCTACCCAGAAACAGCAAGCCTCTAAGACCATTTATCTCAGCTGCAGTCCCCTCCAGGCTCAGCAGCCAGGGAAACCAGCAGCCTGCTGGGTGGTTCCCATCCCTCCCCGAATTCTCCCAACCCTGCCCCGACTGTCATTTCTGTACCACGTGCACAGTGCAAGGGATCCAGAAGAGGAGGCTGGTTGCCAGGGCAACGGAGCATAAAGCCTTTGCTCTGCCAGTGTGCTGATTGGCTGCAACACGTCCCGCCTCCTGCCATCCTGAGGGTGGGGGGTAGGGGGAAGGGTCTCGGATGGGCAGGGAGAGGTGCCAGTGTGCCTTGCCAGCCCGGGACTGCCCCGTCCTGGCCCAGTCAGAGCCCCGGGGCCCAAGAAGCTCAGTCTCCCACGGGGGGCACTGGCCTCGCCCTTTCTCTGCCTCCAGCACCCAGGGCGGTTGCAGATGGCAGTGTCTCTGGAGACAGCAGCTGTGTCTGAGTCTGCAGGCCGACGCTGAGCTGCTCAGGCTGAGGTGGTGTGCTCAGCACGGAGCCCCCAGAACAGGCATCTGCATGTGAGGTGGGTCTGCGGGCATGTGGCGGGGAGGGGGCACCGAGTGCTGCCAGTGGCTTGGGAGGCAGGCAGCGGGGCTCTCCAACCCTCACACTGTCCTGGATGTGACTGGCTAGAACGGGGCTGCAAAATTCCTGGTGACCCCCTCTCCCAACTTGTCACCGTGCATGGGGAACCCTGAAGACCAGAGAGGGTGAGGTGTGGCTCAAGGTCACATCGGAGGCCAGTGAGTGATCTGTTGTTTCAGGGAAGCTAGTCACCTGAGAATCCAGGAGGAGGTCTAGGGGTCCTCAGTCTGCATGAAATGCCTGGGGTTTTGTTCACAAGGCTGGAGAGGTTGGGAGAATCTAAATTGTGCTCCCTAGACCCACACCACGGCAGCCCAAGTGGCTTCAGCTCTGCCCAAGATGCTCATTCTCATGTTTATGCTGCAAGGGCCCTGGAGTCCTGCCTGTGGCCAGGGGTGGGGCATGAATCATTTGGCATCAGATTAATTTGGAGCAGCCTTTCTGCCTGAGGTCCTCTTTTCCTGACTTCCCCTCAACCCAGCAGCACCAAACGATTCTGAACTCTCTTTGGCTGTCCAGAAAGGCAGATAGTTAGGAGGGCATGGCTAAGCACACTTCGTTTTACTTCTCCATGAGTAGGGCACCTTGAGACATTGTCTGTGCTTCAGAACAGCCAGTGGGAACCCTGGGTGGGTGGCAGGCACCGGATGGATGCGGGACCAGGAAGCAGCATCTCTCTCTCCTCCTGGGGTCATGGCCCACCTTGGAGACCACCTGGAAATAGTGGGACAAGAGGAGCTGGAGTTTAGAGACAGAAGTCTGAGAAGCAAGAGCTTCTCTTTAGCTTGCTCTAGAGGTTGTTCTGTCCATCACTTCTTCCCTCCCCAGAAGCCAACATGGGCCTCTGCTCATTTCATTCTGCTCAGGTGTCTTTACCCACCTCGGAGGACTCAACTCCCAGGACACCTCTAAGGGGGTTGGGGTCCAGCTCTTAGTTACCTTCCGATTGGGTAACCCAGGGCAAGTTAGCAGACCCATCTGGGTCTCAGTAAAATGCAGACAGTGACACCTACCCCATAGGCCTCATGCAAGGTTTGTGAGCCCATTCGAACAGTGCTTTCCCTGTCTTGCTGGCAGAGGTGGGGTTCCTCACCCTACCCCCTTCTTCCCCCTCAGGAAAGGTTTAAGGGGGAGTTAAATGGGTCTTGCTTTATCCCATTCCTGGAAGGGATAGTCTGCGATCTGGCTTTGAAGTGTGAGTAGGAGTCTGCCCCACAGTCCAAAAGACACTCCAGGGAAAATGAAAGTGTATGAAAGACACGCAGGTGCATGCAGGTGACTGACAAGCAGTCCTGGAGGATGGCATGGAGCCTGAGAGATGAGGCTGGGAGGTTGGCAGAGTGCAGCTGTGGGGACCTTTGGGCTATTCTAACGGGTCTGGGTATATGTAACATTTGTGAAGCACCTTATACCTGCTACCTACCTGCTATTTTCCTGCCTCTGGTTGGCAGAGGAAATAACAGTAGGTGAAGTAAAGCGAGGCTGACTCTGGACCATGCAGCATGGTGCTAAATGCTCGCCAGGCCGTATATTATCAAATATTCACAGTGACCTTAAGAAATGGATCCTGGAAAAAAAAATGGATCCTGCTTCTATCCCCATTTTACAGATAAGGAAACTGAGGCTCAGAGAGTCAGAACTATGTAGCAGGTGTTATGGGCCAGGCATTAATTCTGAGTATTTTATATAAATCAACCCATTTAATGGTCACAACAGCTGTGCGGTCTAGGCACTACCTTCATTCCCACTTTACAGATATGGAAACCCAAGGCCCAAGGTTTTTGGGCTGGTGCATGTGTCCACAGGCTTATAATTACGAACTTGGGCGTGGGCCTGAATTCGGGGAGCCTGTGCCCACCCTGTTGACACCAACCTGATCCCCTGGGGATGGGTGTTTGTTCAGCACACTTTCACCAGGCCACACCCAGCCAGGATGTGCGGGCGGCTGGGGACCCAGTCATCTGTGAGGGTCTGGCTAGGGGCAGCATCCGCAACTGCGCAGTCCAGCCCCAGGGGTTGGCTCCGAGGAGGCACAGCCCCAGCTGTCCTTTACTGAGTGCTCTGAGTCCCCCCTAGGCTCGGTTAGTGTCCCCTTCCACAGAGGCCAAGGATGCTGAGACCCAGAGAGCTTAGGGAACTTGGCTGGAGGGCACCTGTGCCCCAGAGGGGCTGAGCCAGGTGCGGCCCTCAGCCATAGCTGCCTTTTTAAAGGGTGAGTAGGGGCCAGGTGGGCGCCTGTGATGGGGGCAGCTCTGCTCCTGGTGGGGTTGGGGGCGGGCTGCCCGGTCATGCCCGCCGCCCTCCTGGGCGCTTCTCGTCTCTAAGGTGGTGCTGACGTCCTGGCCCCGGGCAGCCTGCGCGTCTCCCCCGGGCCGGCGGGCGGGACGAGGGGCAGCTCCGCCAGCCCTCGCCGCCCTTGTCTCGGCAGCTGAGCCGCCGCGATGCCGCACTTCCTGGACTGGTTCGTGCCCGTGTACCTGGTCATCTCCGTGCTCATCCTCGTGGGCTTCGGCGCCTGCATCTACTACTTCGAGCCTGGCCTGCAGGAGGCGCACAAGTGGCGCATGCAGCGCCCCCTGGTGGACCGTGACCTCCGCAAGACCCTGATGGTCCGCGACAACTTGGCCTTCGGAGGGCCCGAGGTCTGAGCTGACCCGTGCCGGTGGCCGGTCCCCACCCCCACCCCACCTCCGGGCGGGGACCGGGCGCCCTCCCCCTCCTCCACCACCCCCTCGCCCAACTGGAGACCCTGGGCCAGAGAGAGGACAACCCCTGGTCCTCCAGGCCATCCCTCTGGAGCCTGGATCCTCCTAGCAGAGGCTTCTGGGTGCTCAGGGTGGACCCTGGGTGCACCCAGTGAGATGGGGCACCTGGGTACCTTAAGGTGTCGCTGCCACTGGCCCAGGGCTTGCTTTCCACGTCGAGCCAGTTCACTCCACGCCTGCCCTCTAGGTTTATTCCCCATTGACCCCCAGTGCCTTTGTGCTGCCCAGCACTCTTGCCCCTCACCTGGCGTCAGGCACCGCTGTCCCTGCCTGTCCTAGCCTCTGGATTCCACCCCCCCACTGAATCCCTGGTGATGCTCAGTGGCCCACTCCACCCAAGGCACCCACCCTGCAGCTTCACAGGGCCCACTTCAAAGCTGACCCAAGGAAAGGGCCCTATCTGGAGGGGTGTCTGCTTGGTCCACCCCAGGCCCCTCCCCTGGACTCAGGCTTGGCACTGGTGAGAGTGTGAGATGGGGAGGCAGAGGGGGTAAGGCCATAGAGAAAGGAGGTGTGTGTGTGTGAGAGAGAGACAGAGAGACAGAGAGACAGAGTATCTTGGGGGCAGTGGAGAGGCATGTGGGGAAGGGGAGATGCAGGTCTGTCTGTGTGAGAGGGAGAGTGGGAGGTGGTGGGGATAGTGTGAGCTTGTGAGTAGCATGGAGGGGGGTGCCAGCAACAGTTCCCACCTCCCTCCCTCTGCCAGACTTCTCTATCTCTCCTTCCCCAAGGGCCCTGCCCCCCGCCCCGCCCTTCAGATCCTATACCCCCTGCCCAGCACCACCCTAGCCCCACAGAGAGCCCTCCTCCTGTGTGATTGGCAGCTGTCTCACTCTCCTTGTCTGTAGCTTCCCTCTTAGTTTCTTGCAATAATAAAGACTTTGTGACTATTTCTGCAGGACTGTCTCCTTTCCCGGAGGGAGGATCATATCTGTCATCTCACTGGATCTTCATAAAAAAAAAAAAAAAAGCCAAAAACATGGAAATGCAATATTCCTTTTTTTTTTTTTTTTTTAAGATTTTATTTATTGGGATCCCTGGGTGGCGCAGCAGTTTAGCGCCTGCCTTTGGCCCAGGGCGCGATCCTGGAGACCCGGGATTGAATCCCACGTTGGGCTCCCGGTGCATGGAGCCTGCTTCTCTCTCTGCCTATGTCTCTGCCTCTCTCTCTCTCTCTCTGTGTGACTATCATAAATAAAAATAAAAAAAAGATTTTATTTATTTGTTCATGAGAGATACAAAGAGAGAGAGAAGCAGAGACACAGGCAGAGGTAGAAGCAGGCTCCATGCAGGGAGCCTGATGTGGGACTAGATCCCGGGACTCCAGGATCATGCCCTGGGCTGAAGGTGGCGCCAAACCGCTGAGCCACCTGGGCTGCCCCTTGCCCCATTTTTTAAAGATTGATTGATTGATTCATTGATTCATGAGAGACACAGAGAAAGAGGCAGAGACACAAGCAGAGGGAGAAGCAGGGTCCCTGCAAGGAGCCCGATGCAGGACTCGATCCCAGGACCCTGGGATCACGCCCTGAGCCGAAGGCAGATGCTCAATTGCTAAGCCACCCAGGCATCCCTCTCACCCCATTTTTAATTCTTGCTTCTGTGCACCCACTTCATGAGCCACCCCTGGACCCCCTGATTATGGAAAATGTAGCAGCCACTTGCTGACCACTGCTCCAGCCACTGGGAAGTTAGTGACTGGTCCCTCTCTCTGGCCTCAAGCACCAGTATCCTATGGGAGGGATTCACTAGCTTATCCTAGGGCAGGTGCCTATTTTAAACCAATCATCCAAGGCTAGGGCAATGTCCTGTGTATGGTCCAGCTTGGGGGCAGCGTGCCTCTGGACCAGCATCATCTGGGCTGGGGTTATCTCAGAACAAGGCAGCTCTATGGGGATGTTGGCAATGGGACAGAATCCAGAAGAGATTATGTGAACCACCCTCCTACGGCTCAGTCCAAACACACCAAAAAGGCCCTGTTGGAGGTGGATTGGGCTGGACTGGCTGAGCCTGCGAGGGCCTCAGGCTAGATCTGGCCTGCAGCCTAGTTTGGTTTGTCCAACACAGCCGTTTGAACAAAATGCAAATTAATTGGCAACATTTATAAGTCAGCAGATTTCACATGAAAAATCTTTTTTCTCACCCCTCTTTAAAAATAAAACCTCAGGCCACGCTGGATTGGAAGTGTGAGTGTGTTCAAGGTTATTAACGCCTAACCTCAGCAGGATGGATGTTGGGCATGGCCCTACCTGAGGCTTGGGCAGTGGCCAGTCTTCCTCACGGGAGAGCTGCTTCTGCATAAGGGCAGCAGCAGGGCTTCCCCATCCCCCTGCCCCTGGGGGGCTGCTGAGGAGGAGCCTGGGCTCAGAGAGGGTGAACCAGTCTCACAAGCCTTCTGCTCTTAAACTTTCCCAGTTTCTAGGGCTTGCTTTCTTTTCTTTTCTTTCTTTCTTTCTTTCTTTCTTTCTTTCTTTCTTTCTTTCTTTCTTTCTTTCTTTCTTTCTTTCTTTCTTTCAGATTTTATTTATTTATTTATTTGGGAGAGAGCGAGCATGAGCAGGGGGAACGGCAGAAGGAGAGGGAGAGGCCCTGACGTGAGGCTTGATCCAAGACCCTGGGATCATGACCTGAGCTGAAGACAGAGGCTTAACCGATGGAGCCACCCAGGTGCCCCGCAGTTCCCAGGGCTTCTTACCTAAATGTTTAGTTACACCTGGTCTTCCCATAAATAAGGAAGAGGTTCAGGAAGGTTTCAGTTAAAGAAGCCACATACATGGGGGGGTGAGAGGAAATATTCTGACTCTGACTCCCATGGTGATACCATTACTTGTCCCTGAGCTTCCTGGTTGCCAGAGGGAAAGAGGAAACATGAAGAGATCATTTTACTCTTGTTATGCGATAGAAGGGAGAGAGATCGACTCTTTATGAAAGACAAATTTCTGGCTCTAGATACTAGAAAGAAATGCCTCCAACGGGATGTTGACACAACAGACTGCATCCTGAGGATTTTTTTTTTTTTTGACAAGGGGGAGGGGATAGACTCAGTCAGCAGGGCCCACAGAAACAGGCCAGTGCCCATGACACCAAACTTTTCCATCTGCCAGAGCGCGCCAGAGGACTGTATGGGGAGTAACTTGAGGTCAGAGCCTGACAATAGTAAATCCTATAAAACTGTTCATTTGCATTGCACATCCTGGGCAAAAGCTTCCTTAGCTCTCAGACATACATCTGAATTCATCAAGTGTTTCTGTGGGCCAGGCACTGAGAATCATAGGGACTGAGGCCCAGATTAATGTCTGCTGCCAGTGCCTGGCATTGTGCTCAGCTCAGGGCAAGTTTTCCATAGACAGCTGGTTGTTTCCATATCATTCCTGCCCCACCTGCCCTGCTGGGTTGTGGCAAATGTCGAAGGAGATAGTTGGGAAGTAAGTACTGTATGAATGCTGTGCCTCTTACAGCTATCCTCCCAAACCCCACAGAGCCATGCCATGTGCCTGCTCTACCCCAGCACGAGGCCTGGCACCAAGAATGCAATGACAAAAGACAGAGTCTCTGAATCAAGAGAGCTCACAAACTAGAGGGGCAGACAGATGTGTAAACAAATTACAAAGTGTCATTGCAGCAAGGAGAAGTATGTATGAGAAACTGAACACAGAACCGAAGACTCTTGGGGCAAGGATTTGTCAAGGAAAGCTTCCTGGAGGACAGAACTATGCAGCTGGGTTTTGAAGGCTGAGTAAGAGTTTCCCCTATAAGGGGAAGAGTGGTCAGCAAGCGCAGAGCCATGGAGGCTAGAGAACCCAGTGTTTTCTGAAGTGTGAGTGGTGTCATGTGATTGAAGCATAGAATATCAGCGAGTGGTGGGAGGGGAGAATGAATGACCAGGAGGTAGTTTTTCACATAAGACTTAGATCCAGGGAGAGAATCTGATGACATTCCAGCTGCTACCTCCTCCAGGAAGCCCTCCCTGACCCCACCAGCTGCTTTCCCCACTACAGCCCTAATCTTATGCTGTGATTTTGTTTATGTGTCTATGGAGAACAGCAATGGCATATCCTCATCTCAGCCCACAGCCTGCCTGGCACTGGCCAGGGGCTCCGTGAAAGCCTGCTTGTTGGATGAATGGGCTGATTTCTTTGGAAGTCTTGCCAGGGGTTTCCCATCTGTTTAGACACTAAGATTTTAAAAAGGCTTAGAGGCTTCCTGGGGGCCAGGGGGGAAAAAATCCCACAAAACTGTTGTGCAGGTTTTTAAATGCTTTGAGATGTTTTACAGAGTCCTGAGAGCTTTTCCTTTCCCACCATCTGGGAGCTGTCAGGATACAGTGGGTGTGTCTGGGCCAGGCCCAGAACAGGACAGGAGGCGGGAATGTGCAGGGTCCCTGCGTAGGAATGGTTGCAATGTTCAGACTCTGGCCCTGGAGGGGGTGGCACAGGCTTCTCATTGTTCCACCCCCTTGGCTCTCCACTGTGGAGGGGTTAGGAAAGGGCTTGGAGAGGCCAGAGACGGGCTTTGGGAGGAGGGCAGAGGCTTCAGGCTCCCTCAAAAGACCATCATACTGTCAATCAACACTCCTGCAGAGAACCTTGGGTGGGCACAGCCCCCTATCTTCTGTCCCATACAATAGGAGGGGCTCAGAATTTGGAGACCTGGATGTCCAGCCGCTGCTTCATTGTGTAAATCTCAGCAAGTCTACTTCCCTCTGTATCTGCAGCTGTAAACAGGTGGAACTGATGTGGAAGTCACAGGAAATCATGAGAGCAAATAAAAAAGGGAACCAGAATTATAAGGCAACAATTTTAATGGCTAGCATGGATTGAGTTCATTGCACTTCTCACTGTATTCATTCCTACAGTCGTGCAAGTGGGTCATCAGTCAAGTTCATCAAGTATTTCTGGCTCATCCCCTCTCTCACATAGTAGGGTTAATTTCCCCACCTCCTTGTGGGGGGGGCATGCAACTAATTCTTGCCAGTGAGTTGTGATCAGAAGTGAGTCTAGGCCAGGGATACCTGGGTGGCTCAATCAGTTAAGTGTTCAACTCTTGGTCTCAGCTCAGGTCTTGATCTTAGGTTCATGAGTTTGGGTTCTGAGTTGGGCTCCACGTTGGGCGTGGAGCCTACTTAAAAAGAAGGAGGAGGAGGGGGGGGGGAGGGAGTCCAAGCTAAAGTTTTTCATAGCTAGTGCACATTTCACCATTCCTTCCTTCCCTCTGCTTCAACGCAAGCAAGGCTCCAGAAAGTGGCTGCTCCATCAGTGTGGGTCCCAGAGTGGAGATGACGTAGAGCAGAGCTTCTGCGGATCCAAACCACAGTGGACGTGAGAAACGAATGAAAAGTAAATCTTTGTTGTTATGAGCCCCTGGGATTTTGGAATTGTTTGTTATTGCAGTATAATTTAACCCATCTGACTGATAACAATTCCCATTTTTACAGAAACTGGAGCTCAGAGAGCTTGTGACCTGTTCAAAATCACACAGCTGTAACAAACCCAAGGTGGAGATTCTAGAGCCTGCACCACTTGCCTGGGAAGCTACCACAATGATTTTTTTTTGCTTGGGTCAAAGTCTGTCCTCTGAGGCTACTTACTTCCAGGCCTGCAGATGGTTCCCTTGCTGGGGAAAGAAGAGCCAAGCAGACATGAGGTCATTGCCACTTTGGGCCACGAGAGGGCAGCTGAACCCAGGCTGTAATCACTGGGCAGGCTGTGTCCCCCAGGTGCGGTGCCCCCCCCCAACTTGAGGACAGAGCAGGGCAGATGAGTGAGAGGGATACAGACATGAACCAGATTCATGTCTGGCTCTTAAAAACCCCAACAGCTTGGCAGGGAGCCAGAGGGAGAAATTCTAGATCTTTAAGGCAGAAGAGACCAACCACATGAAGGCACCTGGGACCTATTTGCAAAGGCACCTGAGACCCAGAAGGGTAAGTGATTTGATAGAAGCTGTATAATGACTCATTTGCCAAAGTGGGGGAGAGAATCCAGGACTCCTGACTCCTGCTCAGGGCTTCCTCATCTCAGAGATAATGCAATCCAGTGGGGCTGACCAGTAAAGGGTCCCCCCACACTATCTGTCCAGGCAGACCTGTGCTGTCCTGTCCCCCAGTCACCTGTGTTCTTCCCCAAACTGGGCTGGTCCTCGGGCCTCAGAGCAAGAGAAAGGGGAAGAACTCCAGAGAGCTCCCCTCCCCCATGCACTGGGCTTCCAGAAGGTGTTGCCCTGGTAACCACAGCACAGCCAAGTTTGAAAACTTAAAGGTTGAAAAGGAAAAGAATGGATGAAGAGGGGAAGGTCTGAGGTCCACGTTGTCCCCATTCACTCAGTTGTTTCATTCATTCATTCATTCATTCATTCATTCTACAGAAACTTCCAAGGCGGATGCTCACCTAGGACCCAGAGAAAATAAAATCCAGGCCTTTCGGAACCGGAACCGTGCTGTTCAATACAACAACACAAATTAAAGTGGACTAAAATAAACAATTCAGTTCCTTGGTTACGGTAGCCACACTTTAAGTGCTCAATAGCCCCCTGTGGCGAGGGGCTGTCACACTGGATGGCATTGATATAGAACAGTTCCATTATCATAGAATGTTCTATTGGCCAGCGTGGCTCCAGAAGCTCACTCACTAAGGACAGAAATCCCCGGGGAAAATCGGCGGGACAGCACAACACTGTGTGGGCTGCAGTGAGCTCATCAGCGAAACGGAGGCGACAAGGCAAAGATTACCGGAGATGCCTGGAGGATGCTTAGCCTAGTTCCTGGCTGGGGGGGGGGGGGTGCTCGCCCGTGCCCTGTGTTGTCCCTGCTGTACAACCAACCGTAAGGACCTGTTTACGTACTCATCCTCCTGAGCAGGCCTCCAGCTCCTTCCCAGCCCCGCCACAGTGTCTGGCATATAGTAAGTGTTCAGTAAATGGCATCTATGATTAGCACGATCACTATTACTACGATTGCGATGACAAAGGCAGAAGAGGGCACTCAGCCCACAGGGTGGGTCTCCTAAGCCCAGGGCTGGCTCATCCTCAGGGTACAGCTGGAGTTAGCAGGAGGGGCTCAGGGAATAGGTGTGGAAGCAGACAGCCCCTGCTTTAGTTTCCAGAAACTCCAGCTTGCCCCGGAAAAGAACTCAGCTGGGTGGGCAAGGTGGCTTGAGGGTCACCGAACTACACAGGGTGTGGGGGTAAAGCAGAGGGAAATCAGAAGTGAGGATGCTGCCGGGACCACCAGAGCGTGGCTGCATTTGGAGTCTCCTTAATCTTTACTGGAGAGACTCTCAGGGGTCAGAGTCTGTAGGAGACAGAGTAGATTTGGGGAGGGCACGCAGCAGGGCACTGCCCCTCCCCAGGTGGCATTGAGTCCAGGGCAGCCCAGCCTGGCCATTAGGAGCCTTCTCTGGCCCTTCAGGATTCCAGACGCTCAGAGCAGCCATTCACTGACGCCCACTGCTGCGAAGCCAGCCCCTCCCTGCCCCAGAGCCCAGCCCAGCTGCGGATGTAGCTGCTGGGACAGGTCAGGAGAGGGCTGGGACCTCGGCCTGGGCCCTCGGCCTGGGAACTACGGCCTGGAGGCTGAGTGGAGGCCTGTGAGGGGATCAGAGGGAAGAGGCCCCTGAGCTGGTCACAGTGGCCATCTGGGTGCAGAGGAGGGCTTCTCAGGCTGAGGAGCACTGGATTTATCTTGTCTTCTGATCAAGGTAGGTGGGTATTTATGCGTGTGTGTGGAGGAGGGAGAGGGTGGGATAGGACCAAGGGCTACGTGATGGGAGTACAGGCTCATTGAAGGGCTGGGGACCTGGTAACATGGGAACAAATGGTAAATCATATCGAGTCCAGAGTGTGTACCAGCTGGCCATGTGGGGGCCTCAGAGCCCACCTCGGAGAGTGGCTTGTTGACACAGACCGCCAGCCAGAGTCCTTGGCCCCCACCTTTCCCCACCTCCAGCTGCTCTCTTTTACCCCGTGCTGACAGCCTTCTCTAGCTCCATACCCAACTGCAGAGTTTCAGCAGTGTCCCTGCCTCTCTCCTTGTCTCCACTTCTGACCTCCTCTGACCCCTCTGTCACACTGCATGGCAGTGGCTATCCCCACCAGCATATCTGACTGGGTCATCTTCCAGGGCCAAGCATCGCTGTGGCCTGGCCTGGGCCTTGCTGCACCTGTGGCCTTAGGCCGCACTGTCTCCCCCTTTCCCACACAGCATAGGAATCCCACGGTCCATTTTCAGGAAGATGCCACACCCTAACCTTCGGGCAGCCTCTGGTCCAGCCTTCCTCCTCCGAGGCCAAACCCTGAGCTAAGGCTTCCTCCAACACCCACCTCCGGCTTCATCCTGTCTGCTTTGCTGGGGATGGCAGGTTCCCCAGGGGCGGACTGTGGCTTGTTCACTTTACAAGCTTCCTCCTGCACGCACCTATTATTTCACCAGGGCCCCTCTTTGTCTCTAGCTAATTCTGGCTTCAGCAGCAAGCCAGCCTGAGGCTCTTTCCTGATTCTGGGCAGAAGCCACAGAGGCAGACCCTGTTCCCAAGCCAAACTGGTCATCCCTCAACCTCCCTCCTGGATGCCTGAACTCCTATTTTGGGTACTTTGGGTGGAAACCTAGAGCCTGCTGGCCCCACCTGGAAAAGACAGAGGCAGACAGGCTTCTGATAACAGCTGCCCTCCTGCAGGGTCTCAGAACAGACCCCCTCAGACCTGACAGTGCCTTTTTTTTTTAAGTAGGCTTCATCCTTAATGTGGGGCTCAAACTCACAATCCTGAAATCAAGAGTTGCATGCTCTACAGACTGAGCCAGCCAGGCGCCCCTGACTTCTAGGGATTTGTATTTTTGATAACTAGTAAAAAACTCAAGCCACTGAAGGTCCCATAATTTTCTATCTGATATATTACAAGTTTTCTTTTATATATATATATATATATATATATATATATATACACATATATACACATTTTAAAAATTTTATTTATTTATTTATGAGAGACACACAGAGAGAGGCAGAGACATAGGGAGAGGGAGAAGCAGGCTCCCTTCGAGGAGCCTGATGTGAGACTTGATCCTGGGACTCCGGGATCAAACCATGAGCCAAAAGCAGATGCTTAACCACTGAGATATCTAGGTGTCCCGCAAATATATTTCTTGTAATATATTTTCTCATTGTTAAAAAAATTGTATTTAGAAATTAAGCTTTATGTATATATATATGTAGCAATGTTTTCCATTTCAATTATAAAGTGAACAATTATTAAAACTATCTCATACCGTACTGCCTGTGTAATATTAAAATGATAAATCATGCTTTCAACAATTACTCCCTAACGTTTCATAGGATTTAAAAATTTTGCATTTTAAAATAATGTCTTATTTTATAAGACCCTGGCAAACGCTGACAACTAAAAATGAATTTGCTACTTAGCAAAGAAGTTTTCATGCTCTTTATTAACTAGGAATCAAAGAAATGTAAGCTGAGTGCCTCACCCCTGCTTGGCCCCTTCTCTCTGTTCATTGCCTCAGGGGAAGACGGAAGACCTGGATGGATCACAACTTTGAGATGCAGCAGCATGGAGCCCCCAGCCCTGGCACCTCTCTTTCCCACAGCCACCTGCTGGGGCGCCCTGCCCGCCCCTCAAAGCTCTCCGGAGGCATGTCTCCCCTCATCCCTGTCCTCAGGAAAACCATCTCTCTGGATACCTTTACTCAAAGCCATATCCCACAGGCTTCCAGCCGACCAGGCCTGGGAGCCAGGGCCCGGAGTGTGCCTCCGCAGGAGATGGTGCCCCGGAAGCTCAGCTCCATCTCCTTAACACTCCGTCAGAACAGTCAGGCATGGCCCCTGGGTCCCCTGCCTTCTCATTGGGAAGAACCGCCCACCGTGGGCAGGGAGGCTGCCACCCATGGGGGAGGGAGGCTGCCCACCCCAGGCTCACGACTAGGCTCAGGGGGCAGAGTCCACTCTGAGGGCCCAGGGAACCCAGGTCTGGCCAAACCCAGCAGGATGCCCATAGTGGAGAAGCCACTGGTGAGTTCCTACCTGGCCCTACCATTTCAATCCCGGTTAGCCCAGAAATCACCAGGCCCCGCAGGGCCAGGCTCAGTAGGTCAGAAGCATCCTGTCCCAGTGACTGCCCACGTGACTACCAGAGCTTCTCCAGGAAGAGGCAAGCCCCGAGCTAGGGGTATCCCGAGACCCCGGCTGCATCTCCAAAGGGCCACCTCTACCATGGGTCCCGCGATGGCCATGGATTTGGCTACTCTGGACACAACCAGGTTAGGCACAGCCAGATGTTTAACCACAGTGGTCACCAACAGACCTGACTTGACTATCAATCCGGCTACCCCAAGCACATCCAGACTGGATACAAGCACAGAATTCCCTGCTCTGGATCCCAAGCCCGGCATGGCCGTGGACCTTGCTGCAGCAGGTCCAGCCAAGCTGGGCATGGTCATGGACTTGGTAGACTCAGACAAGGTGGTTAAAGTCATAGCTACGGCAGGTGCAGCCAAGTCAGATACAACCACAGGGGGTATGGCCATGGATTTGGTGGTACCAGCCCCAGCCAAGCTGGACACAGCCAGGACAGACACAGCCATGGCTTTGGCTAGAGCAAATACAGCCAGGCTGGACATAACTGCAGATTCTTTTGCTTTGGACACAAGCAAGCTGGGCACAGTGATGGGGGAGACCACGCTGGACAGAGTCATTAACCTGACTGTATCAGCCACCTACCCACTGATGCCAAACAGAAGCACAAACCCAGCCCTGGACCATGCTACTGCAGATGCTGCCACAGACCGGCCTACAAAGCCCGTCATGCTGAACCTAGCCAGAGAAAGCAAAGGTAAATGTGAAGAGCTTGGCTGGGGATGTACTGGGCTGCTGTGGGGGATGGGGAGTTGGCGTGTATTGGCCTGGAGATAAATAGGTCAGGAAAAGGAGATAGGACTGTAAGGTCAGAGTTGAATGTGCCAGGTGGGGAGGTGGGGAATGAGACACAGGGGCAGAACACAGGGTATCCACCCTGAGCTGGGTCCCAACCTGCCAGCCAGAGGTGAGGTTGAGGGAAGTCACCAGGACAGTTTACAGGGGTGACTTGTGGAGGAGCAATTATGCTGAGTCCTTCCTTTAGCATCTTCCCTGGGTGGTTCTTTGATCCCTGAAGAGCTGGAGTAATCAGGTGATCTACAGGTGAGTCTAGGTTTAAAGAGCAAACCACCTGCATGAAACAGACGGGCCCATCAATAAGTGGTGATTTGTCCAACAGCCATCACTACAGTGCCCTCTAGATAGGTGTAGTGACCTCACCTGAGACCTTGTAAATGATGCACATTCAGCCTTCCAGGAAAGTATCTATTGCTTGAAAGGTGCCTAACTTGCTCTTCCTTAGTTCCCTACCCCCAGCCCTTTAGTCCTGAAAAGTGAGTCGGAGAGTTGTATGTATGGAAGACTGACACAGAATACTGACTTATAAATAGGTCAATATAAGGGTTAGAAGTTCCTTTGGTCTCTAAGGGGATGTGGCATGCCTAAAGTCACATAGCTGGTTGGTGGCAGCAAGCTAATGCAAATCCAGATCTTGGAATTTGGCTTTGGGCAGTCTCCTTCCCAACGTTGCAAAGGCTCAGATTCTGGAGCCGGCAGATGCTTGGAAAGCATCCCGTCTGTCCAATCAATGCTCTCACCTGGTCTTTGGGTGGCCAGGCCCTTCTCATGGTATCCTGAACACTCAGTCTGGGGGAGCTCACTCAGACTCTGGTCTATACTCCTCCTTCTGGAAACTCAGCTCTCCCTCCATCCTCAGCCCTGCCTGCTCTCCTGAAATGCAGATGAGGACAGTCAGTGGCCTGCTGGACCCCTCTACTCTTTCCTTCCTGAAAGGGCTCTGCCCTCTTTGATGGTGCTCTCTCGGCTTGTAGGCATGGCCACAAGAAACCTGGGTTTCTTCCTTTTCTCCATCTTTTGCTCTCTTTCATCCCCAACTATTTTCAACTTTTTTGATCTATGTTCTCAGTACTTGGCTGTCTGTTTCCTCCTCTCCCACCCTCTGCCCCTGCATGCCACAGTCCCTGCCCCCTCTCCCGAGGTGGGGGGGGGCTCTCTGTCTTCCATGCAGCTGCCGCAGGGACTCACATACTTGATGGTGACACTTTCTGCTAATGGCCATTAGTGACTCACCACCGACATCCCTCAAAGTACAGCTCCTTAGCCTGGCTTTCAAGGCTTTGATTTTCTCCAGCCTCTAGCTCTGTATTTCTATCTGCATTTTTCTCAGCTGCGGCTGAGTACCCTATGCACACCCCAGCCTCCTGCATTAGGACAGTCCAGCTGTCCCCCCCACCAGGCCTACAGTGGTCATCCTCATTCCCGTGCCCCCCTGGGCCTGGCAAAGCCCATTAATGTCGACTGAATGCACGAACGTTTTGTCTGATGGGTAAATCGAGGCTGGGGCAAATTCCTGACCCGCTCAAGGTCATAGAGCTCATCATCCAGAAGTGGGGCCCAGAATCCGGGCCCCTGACTCAGGGCTCCGCGTACGCCCGCGCCTGGGCAGAAGCGCGCCGGGCCCGCGCAACATCCCCGCCACCGCGTGACTCGCGCGCGCACCGCCGCTCGCTGCTGCCACGGGTCCCCGGCGCCCCGGCGCCGACCCAGCCTGGAGGGTAAGAGGCCGGCAGCGGGATGGAGACTGGGGTGCGGGCACCTCCCCCGGCCCGGCATCCCAAGCTGCAGGCACAGCGCCCCCGCGCGCCTCCCGGGCCGCCTGCAGCCGGGACCCGGTTCCCGCTCCCGCGTGCGGGCGGGCGGGGAGCGGGTGCGGGCGCGGGCGCCGTGGGAGGGGGAGGGGCTCTCGGCGGGGCCGGCAGGCGCGCGGGTCACGTGGTGCCGGTGGCAGCGGCGGCGGCGGCGGCATCTGTGCGCACGGGCAGGGGCAGCGGCGCCGAGAGAGCCGAGGCGAGGTCCCGGGCGGGCGCGGCGGCGCGGGGCGCAGGGGCGGCGCGGCCGGGCCGCGGGCCGGGCGGGTGGGCGGAGAGCGCGGAGGGGCGAGGCCCGGCTGCAGGGGCCGCTCTGCCCAGGGGGAGCCCGCGCCCCGCTCAGCCGTGCAGCCCCGCGCCCTGAGCATCTCCCGGGAGGAACGGAGACAAAGGAGGATTCATGTCCAAAGGTAGGGCGGCTGGTCGGGCCATGGGCGCCCGCTGGGAGGAGGCTGCGGCCCCGAAAAGCCCGGCTGGAGGTGGTAGCGGAGGGAGGGTTGCCGCGCCGAGGAGCCCACGCGCGGTGACATGCACGGACACACGCACACACGGTGGCACACACCCCAAGGTGTACCTGCCCCGAGAAATGCACGCACGGGATCGCGGGGAGTTCCGGAGGCCCACGGACGTACAAGCAGGGACCCAGATGCGCACAGAAAGCCCCACGCCAGAGCACACCAAGACACGCACACACATGCACACCACGCACAGGTATCAGGGCCACCTACAGCCAGATGAGAGACCTGTGCGCTGACACATAGGCCCCTTCCCCCACACACAGGCGCTCCCAGAGACAGGCACCAGCTGGTGGTCTCCAAGGGAACTCACTGGCCTCCAGAGAACTGGGATGGGGGAAGGGGTGTCCCAGGGCCTTTGCAGCTGTGAACGGGAAAGGACCAAGGTATCTTCTGTGATTCTGTTTTCTGAGAGGGGGCAGGGGGGCGGGGGTTGCTGGAGCTGCGGTGGTCTGGAATTGCCTCTGCCGGTGGGGGGTGGGGTCTTGAAGGCTGCTAGGGCTGAAAGCAGGGGAAGATCTCCAGCTCTGGAAGGGAGGAAGACACCCCTCTCGCCCCCACCCCCCACTGGACCAAGGAGGCAGGTGCTTTTCTGGAAAGATCCCCTCCCCCTGCTGCCACCTTCCCAACAGGGGTGGGGTCCCTGGGCCAGACAAAGACAAAGCCATTTATTTGCCTGTAAAAGAAAGCATCAGGGTCCTTGCTTGGCATGGGGAGGAGGGTGCTGTTTCTGTGGGGGACTCAGCCAGAGCTGAGTCAGGTGGACAGTGCTTCTCCCTGGAGCATTGATGGGGCAGGTGGCCCCTGGCAGGGGGTGCTGCTGACAGATTCCCCCTCCTTTCCAGAAACCCTGGGAGAGCTAGGAGCTTGGGAGGACCCCAAGGACCATCTAGGAAGGATGGCACTTGAACTATATCCTGCTGTGACCTTCATCCTTAGCTCTTTCCACCCTTGGGGAACCCCCTCTCATTCCCTGTTGCAGGGGCGGGAGAAGGTGTCTCTTAACAGAGTCTACTCTCTTGACTGTGGCCTACACAGGAGCCATTTGCTGGCTGGGGGTCAGCTGCTCTGAAAAGGGAGCAGCCTGTGAAGGAGAAAAAGGTGGTGGTTCTAAAGTGACATCTGCCTCCCTGCGAGGCATCCATCCATTCATCCATCCATCCATTCATTGCTGAGTGCCTGTGTTCTGCTAGAGATCAATGAGACGTGGCCCCTTCCCTGAAGAAGGGTGGGCATATGGTCAGTGCCAGGTGGTTTTATGTCCATTCTTTTGTATAACCTTCACGGCAACCCAGCAAGGTAGGTACTGTGCCCATTTTCTTTAGGAGAAAACTGAGGCTTACAAGGGTCTTCCAGCTGGGAGTTAATCCTGGGCCAGCTGCCCATCTAGGGGTGGCATGGTAGGACCAGGGACGCTGTCTGGGCAGGGGATGGAGCTACAGAATTCCACTCCAGAGTAGCATTGTCCTGTGCCCTGGGTACTGTGAACTTGCCAGGGATCTTCACACAGTGGACCCTTGGGGGCAAGGACTTTGTTTGGGTCCAGAAGTATCTTTGGCATTAAGTCTAGGGTTGGCTGGAGTAGGCTCCCATTTGGCAGCATATTAAATATTCTGGAAGGAATGGAGTGAAGGAATGAACATGATGAGTACAAGGTACTCGGGGGGCCCAGGAAGCACAGAAGAGGGGCACTCATATCAAGTAGGGAAACAGAGGCTTTTCTAGAGGTAGTCCTTGAGTTGAATGGTGAAGAAGGAGTAGGTGTCCAGGGGTGGGATGGGCAAGGGTTGTCCAGCCGAGGTTGTGACATAGTGACCCTCTGCACATTTGCAGTACTTGTGGCTGATGAGTGGTAGTTGTTAGCATGTGGCTGGCATGTAATTGGCATATGGCTGGGAGCAGTAACTTGCCAGCAGGTGCTCCATGCAGTGTGGGCATGGGTGCTAGTAGGTGCTTGCCGGTCCTAAAAGTTACCCAGGGAATCTGGTAGGCAGTCCCCTTCTCGCAACCAGGGTCTGTTTTTTGGGAATGTTCTTTTAGGAGGCTGCCATTGACGGGCTAGAGCTGAGCAGGCCATAGTGAGAGCACACACTTTACAAGGATACCAACAAAATCTCCCGAAAATAAGATTCACTTTCCAAGTCTGTAAGATAGGATAAGACACCCCCCCACCATGGATCTATCTCACAACACAGATTAGTGAGAACAGGTGGGCTTGGCTGCAGAGGCATGAGGGAAGTGGCCTGGTCCAGCCCCAGCTGTGGCAGCAGCTGGGCAAGGAAAATGGGGCACGGCCCCCAGTGCAGGTGTGCTGAGTGGGGCTTGGATGCCACGTGCAGAGAGTGGAGGAGCAGGTCAGGCTGTGTGTGTCAGCTGCTCCAGGGCTGAGCCAATCTTGCTGCCGCCTGGAGCCGCCTGGCTGGCAACAGCTTCCTGGGAAGCAGGAGGGAGCCACGCCAGGCCCTGGGGAGGTCCTGAGGCTTTGTCAGATTTGGCTGTGCCTGGGAGTGACAAGGAAAGAACAGTTTCCCATTGGGAGAGAGAGTCTTGCCAGGACTGGTGGCAGGACCAGGTGGTGGGGGGGACAAGAACAGACTCCTGGCTGAGTCTGGGGGTGGGGGAGGGAGGCACTCCTGTCCCCTCCCCCTCTTGCCCATCTGCTGCTCCATCAGTTCTCCCTGTGAGCCTGAGACTCTGCAGGAACCACAGGATTCCAGAATGGCAGCGCTGGAAGGGGTGCTCAAGAGAGCATGGGGTCCAATAACTATGCTGTGTGATTAGCCTTGCTTTCACACGGCCCACTTTATTTCCCCTCCTGATGAGCTGGTGAGCTTGAAATGGGCACAGGGCAAGAGGGCCTGGAAGTGTGAGGGGTAGCTGGGTGTTTCTAGGCATCATAGCTCATGTGATGCTTACCACAGCCTTGATTGTGATCCTCTCCAGTTTATGAAGAAGCAGGCTTGTAGGAGGGAGATGATTTGCCCAACCCCACACATCTGGCAAGTAGCAGGGCCATGCCCCTTCTACTTCACATACACCCATTTTATGGATGGGAAAATAGAGTTGCTCTTCTACATTGAAACCTGCTCTGGAGGACCTTGGCCCCATGAGAAATTTCTCTTGTATGTGAACATACCTGTGATCTGCTAGACCCAGACGGATGTTGGCCTTTCCCTACTAGAAAGGGCTCTGTCCTCAGCCTCCCCTTTCTTTTGCCACCCACCATCCCAAGAACACACTATGTCATCTTTGACAAGTGGCTGCCCCAACCTGGCTGCGTCTCATCCCCTTCCCACTGATCAAAAGGAGAGACTTATTCCTCCTACAGATTTAGAACTATGGCTAGGATGGTGTCTAGGGATCCTCAGGGCATAGACACTCCTACTTTGCAGTGGTGCTCATGGAACAGAGGGGACACTGAGGCTTGGGGCAGGAGTGAGGCTCCCGCCGTGTGAGGGGATAGCTCTATTTGCTTCTAAAAGACAAAGCAACTGAGGTCAGTGACAGTCAATAGATGTTAGGTCCAGTATCCTAAAGGTCTTAACCCTTTATTTGAGGAGGCAGGACTCAGGTTAGATTAACTCCTGATAACTCTTAGACCAGTGGTTCTCCACTAGCATTATACTGCCCCCAGGGGACATTTGGCATGGTCTAGAGGTATTTTTGGTTGTCACAACTGGCCTCTAGTAGAGGTCAGGAGTGCTACTGAACATCCTATAGTGCACAGGACACCCCCTCCTCCAGTAATTATCCAGACCCAAATGTCAACAGGGCCAATGTGGAGAAGTCCCTGGATTAGACAAACAGACATGCTTTGGAGCAGCAAGTGCACCAGAAAGTGCTCCAGCAGCTGGAGAGGCTGGATCCTGATCCTGATCTGGCATCTGACTTGCTCTGTGTCTTGGGGAAGCCCTTCCACCTCCAGGCCTCAATCTTTCCATCGGTAAAATGAGGGACCCATACTGGATTGACACCTGAGGTCCCTTCCAGTCCCAACTCTCTGTGATTCTGTGTCAAGAGCATAACATGGTGGCTTCCATGTGACTTCAGTTTTCCCTCCAGCCCACCTCCCCACCTTGGCTTTGCAGGGCTCCCAGAGGCCAGGACGGACGCAGCCATGTCAGAGCTGGTGCCTGAGCCCAGGCCTAAGCCGGCAGTGCCCATGAAACCCGTCAGCATCAACTCAAACCTGCTGGGCTACATTGGCATCGACACCATCATCGAGCAGATGCGCAAGAAGACCATGAAGACTGGTTTCGACTTCAACATCATGGTGGTCGGTATGGAAGGCCATGGAGTCCCTGGAGGCCATGGTGGCAGGCAGCCCTGAGGATCCTGTTTCTTTTCCTAGGATGGGTCTCAGCCCTGGTTTCCCTAGGATGAGCTCTTTCCAAAAGGAAAGATTTTGCTATGTGGTTCACAAAAGCCTGACTCTCTTTTCCCTTTAAGAAGAGCTGCTCCAGCGGTGGGAGCTTTGGGTGGATGGGCAGCCTGGCCCCATCCCCAGTGGGTGGACACACACAGCCTCTTAGCTGTGCTCAGCCAGGTTCCAGGTGTGTGGCGTAGGGAAATCATCAGTGTTCTTCCCCATCAGTATCAGATGGAGGCTGGTCTTACATCTGATCTTCTGTATGCTTTAAAGCTTAACGAGAATTTGCAGGACATGGATCTGTCACTAAGTAGTGTCACCAGGTCAAAGGAAAGGAAGGGACCTTTGCTTGATATTACTGAGATATTCACTTAGTTGCTGAAACGGAGACCTGGGTGTCATCTTTCTTTCTCCCTTATCCCTTAATCCAATCAACCATCAAGACCTGTCCGTTTTCCCTTGTAAATCTCTCTTAAATCTATCCCCTTCTTTCCATCTCTACTGTGACCACTCTCAGCTGAGCTAGGTCCCCCACCTGGATTGCCATAGCCACCTGACTCAGTGCTGTTCAAAGAGAAGGAGCTGGCTGGCATTTATATCATCTAGAAAGTCTTGCTATAAAAAACATCAGCTGAACTAAACAGTGTATTTAGTGTTATGGTCAATGTACTCCCTGGTGCAAATTTCTTAGGAACGGGTAGCAAATGGTTCATGGACCGTGGATGGCCCTGGGCCACACTTTGAGTGGCATTGATCCTCCTGGTCCTCCGTCTTCTTTCTGCTTCAAACCATTGTTTACCAGCCACTGAATAATTTTTCCAACCTGCAGAACTCATCAGGTCATCCATCCCACTTACAATCCTTCAATAGGTTTAAGGGCTTAACCCTGAGCCTGGCCTGGTGCTATCTCTCCACTCACCTCTCACCACTAACCATGTAGCATTACCTCGGTGGTAAGGAACAGTTCTTCTGGACTCTGTGCTCTTTCCTGCCTCTTGAGCCTTCCTAGAAGTCCTCCTTGATTCCAGAGAGACTGGATTATGTTCCCTTCAGTTTGCTGCCATGATACCCTGTGGTTGGCAACATATTGTATGTAACTCTACCTGCTTGTGTTTGGTCTTCCTCACACTAAATGGCTTCTTGAGAGTAAATAGGATGTCTTGTTTACCTCTCCACCTCCAATTCTAGCACAGCGCTTGGCACTCAAGAGTGCTTAGTGAGCAAAGGACCTTAGAAAATATCCAGATAAGGAATGGCAAGTATAAGGCACCTGGGCTACTTCTCTCCCCAGCAGGGCCATGGGGACAGATGTTGCTGATCGGTCATGGCTCACACTCAGAACTGAGCCCACTGGTGGCCTTTTTAACCTATTGGTCTAGGTGACTACTACTGATAGATCAGTTGGCATGAGAAATGCACCTTACTGGCTCTCCCTGGTCTCATCCAGTTCCCTCCCTTGCTGCCATGTTGTCAGTAAAGAAACTAGAGTAGCAAACATGGCTTGTCCAAGGTGTTCAGGGAAACAGCACAGTTGGGTTTGGAACCTTAGGCTTTTGTACTGCATTCTGCCTCCAGCTGGGTCCTTTTCCTAATATACCACAGGAACATTCTAGACCGGCACTTCTGACTTTACTGTGCATGTGATTCATCTGCAAGTCCTGTGAAAGTGCAGATTCTGACTCATAGGGCTGAGGCGGGGCCTGGGAGCTTGCATTTCCTACAAGGGTCTGGGTGATGCTGGTGCAATTGAGGAATCGTAGGGCCTGCTTGTGTGATCCTTGTGGCTGTAAAAATTTGAGAGGCACTGTTTGGACTGGTAATTTATTTTCTTTCTTTCTTTCTTTCTTTCTTTCTTTCTTTCTTTCTTTCTTTCTTTCTTATTTAAAAAATATATTTTATTTATTTATTTATTTATTTATTTATTTATTTATTTATTTGAGAGAGTGAGCCAGAGAGAGAGCATGAGTGGAGGGGGGGGCAGGGGCAGAAGTAGACTCCCCACTAAGCAGGGAACCCAATGCAGGGCTCGATCCCAGGAATGGTGACCTGAGCTGAAGGTTGATGTCTAAACAACTGAGCCACCCAGGTACCCCTGGACTGGTGGTTTTCTTTCTTTCTTTTTTTTCCATTGAGGCATTTTATTTGCATGTATGAATTACATCCCTAGAAAAAGAATCCCAGGATTTTCCCTCCTGTGTGTTTTTGTCTTCTTCGTGGTCCATAAGGCCCTCTGAGGTGGTCAGTACAGTGAAACCAAACTGGCGTGATGGGAGCAGGTTATTTTGCCATTTTTCTAGATCTTTCAGTTGTACATCAAATCTGGGGCTGATTGCTCTACACTTGTTTAACCTGCCTATGAGGTTCACAACAATTTTCCCAGCTCTGTGATCACTGATGATTTCAAATTCACCAATGTAACCATGCTTCATCATCACAGTGAGAAATCGGACGATGACTTTGGAGCATGGCCTAATAAGAACCTGGCGTTTGCCTCTCTTTTCAGCATTGTTAATGCTCTTGAGAGCATCTGCCAGGACGTTCATGCTCACCATTGTGGCGGCTCAGAGAGATGGTGGAAAGAGGATGGGAGGGGCGAGTGCATGGAGTTATGGACTGGTGGCTTTCAAACACCTTTTAGTTGTAGAACTCCTCCTTGGAATGAAATCTGTAGATTCTGTAGACCTGTGTAAAGCAGGTCAAAATGGGGCACCTGGCTGGCTCAGTTGGTAGACCATGCAACTCTTGATCTCCAGGTCCTGAGTTCAAGCCCCATGTTGGACATGGAGCCTACTTATAAAATAAATAAAATAAAATAAAATAAAATAAAATAAAATAAAATAATAAAATAAATAAAATAAAATAAAATAAGGCAGCCCTGGTGGCTCAGTGGTTTAGCGTCACCTTCAGCCCAGGGTGTGATCCTGGAGATCCCGGATCGAGTCCCACGTTGGGCTCCCTGCATGGAGCCTGCTTCTCCTTCTGCTTGTGCCTCTGCCTCTCTCTCTCTCTGTGCCTTTCATGATTAAATAAATAAAATCTTAAAAAAATAAAAATACAGTGTGGTACAAAAAAAAAAAAAAGGCAAGTGCAAAGGGAGCCCTCGTGAGGGAAGTGGAGGTGAGGGACTGGCCCTGCCTACTTGGTTGTCTCCTCCTCTCTCAGTGCCCTCTCAGGCATTTATCTGCATAAGGTACTAACTGCTACATTAGAATAAAGAGTGGATACTGAGCCAGGGGGTTCCTTGGGTTCAAGTCCCTGGTCTTGAATTTATTAGTTCTGTGACCTTGTGTATATTTTCTGTTCAGTAGCGGTTAATCTCTCTAGGACCACTTCAGCTGGAGATCAAGAGAGCTCTGCTCTGGGATTCCCAGGGCTGTGGGATTCAAAGGCAAATTTGGCTCCCAGATGTGAAAGGAGGTATGCAGTATTGGAGGGCAAAGTAATTCTGTCATTAGATTTAGCATTATTAAAGACTCAAAGCAGGGTGCCTGGGTGGCTCAGTGGTTGAGAGTCTGCCTTTGGCTCCGGTTGTGATCCTGGAGTCCTGAGATCGAGTTCCGCATCACGCTCCCCGCAGGGGGCCTGCTCCTCCCTCTGCCTGTGTCTCTGCCTCTCTCTGTCTCTTGTGAATACATAGATATATTAAAAAAAATAAAGATTCAAAGCTTAAGTCCAGCAGAAACAAAAGAAAAAATCGCTACACTAGACAAATGCAGAGAACATGGAACCCAGCTGACATTTCCCCAAGCCCCTCCCTGGACCAGGGAACCATGACCACCTGCCTGCTTTCCCACTCAGTCCTCAGCACCCATGAGTGGTGAGGTGGGGGTGTGGCCTGGATCCAGGATCTAGAATTCTGTAAGCATGTGGGAGAGATGGCAGGCCCAGGAGGTGGACACGGGTCTTCCCCACCGTGTCATCCTCCTCCTGTCTTGCGGCAGGTCAGAGTGGACTGGGCAAGTCAACGCTGGTCAACACACTCTTCAAATCCCAGGTGAGCCGCAAGGCCTCCAGCTGGAACCGGGAGGAGAAGATTCCCAAGACTGTTGAGATCAAGGCTATTGGGCACGGTGAGGACCGGGCAGGGACCCCTGTGGCCACTGCTCAGAAGGCTCTCTGCCAGAAAGGGAGAGATGGGGGCACCTGGGTGGCTCAGTGGTCCTGGGATCAAGTCTCATATCAGGCTCCCCACAGGGAGCCTGCTTCTCCCTTTGCCTGTGTTCCTGCCTCTCTCTCCGTGTCTCTCATGAGTAAATAAGTAAAAATCTTAAAAAAGAGAGAGAAGGAGAGATGGGCCTCCTGGGGAATGAGACAAATGAAAAGCGATCTCGATCTCAAGATCAAGGAGAATGGGGGCCTAAAGTGTGTAGAGCAACGCCTTGGTCTAGAAGAGAGAGGCAGGGGGTTAGAAACAGGGCTTGAGCTGGGTGATAGAGCAAGGGCGGGACTCAGGCAGAAAGAAGCAGGGAAGGCACACCAGGTGCGGGGAACAGCATGAACAGAGATGCTGAGGTGGGAAGGCCCCAAACTCCACGTTTCCAATAACTGGTCCTGAGGAAGGAAGGAGCCTGGGGCTCCCTGGCTGGTAGGCAGCAGAGTAGCCGGCCTCACCTGGACGAGTGACCTCCCCATGTCTTTTCTGTTCACCCCCTCATCCCCCACAGTGATAGAGGAAGGTGGAGTCAAAATGAAGCTGACCGTCATTGACACCCCGGGCTTCGGAGACCAGATCAACAATGAAAACTGGTATATGTCTGCCTGTGACATTTCTGCCGTGAAGACGCTGAACACAGTGCAGATTCATTCATGTTGAGAACCATCTGTGCCCTTCATGCTGAGGGTTTAAGTGGAAAGGCTTGAACTAAAAGATGAGAGATGGAGGCCTTGTAGGGAGGCCAGGGAAGAGGGCTGGTACAGAGAGAATTTTGGCTGTGGGAGTGCCTGGAGGTGGCAGCAGGGCAGGGTGGACAGAACGAGGGGAGCTGTGGCATGAATCCCAGCTGACCTGAAGGCTGTGGCTGAGCGTGGCCCGTGGGCAGTGTCATAAGCCTGGATGAAGAGAGAATGGAGGGGAATTGCCACGAGGAGAGAGCCTCTGGGAATTCACAGAGCAAAGAGCCAGTCAGCATCCCTCCAAGGATGTAGATGGAAAGTTCCAGGCAGAGGTTTGCTCCCAGATAGGGATGCAACACAGGATGTTCCTGTGTGAGGGAGCTGGGGTCTGCCACACAGAGGCAGGGCTGCCAAACAACACACCTTAGAACAATCTTAGAAAAGTGATTGGTTGTCCTCCCCTCTGGTTACGTGCACACTCCTTAAAGGAGAAAGGTGATGATGGCATCGACAACAGTCATGATAATGAGTTGTTGCCAAATTGAATGCTTTCTCTATGCCATTACTATGTTAAGAACTGTACATCTGTTCTTTGTAACCCTTACGGGAATCCCTCTAGGCACCCCTTGGTTCTCCCATTTTAAAGTCCTCAGAGAGGAGCAAAGACTTCCTCAGAGCATCCTAGCTAATAAGGAATGGAGGTGGGGAAAGAATGTGCTGCTTTCTGGAATGGGGCGGGGTTCCACAGGTTCGTCTGGCCCAGAGGACTAGGTCCCCATGGGAGTTCTGGCCTTGCTAACAAGGAAAGCCACCTATGGGGGCCTGAGAGAGAATGGTCAACAGGCCTTTCTCTCTAGGACATCCATCTGCTTGCTTCCCACCCCGCAGCTGGGAGCCCATTGAGAAGTACATCAATGAACAGTATGAGAAGTTCCTGAAGGAGGAGGTCAACATTGCCAGGAAGAAACGCATCCCTGACACTCGTGTCCACTGCTGCCTCTACTTCATCTCCCCCACGGGACACTCGTATGTACCAGTCCCATCCCCCATGGCTGCACCTCCCTCTGGTTTGTGTCCTCTGTGTCCATTCTGTAGTGGATGACCAATCCCTGGATTCAGCTGGGGCCCCAGATGGGCCCCGATGTGGTCAGGGCCCTGTGATCCCCCAGACCTTCTCCAAAAAAGTCTGACTCTCTTACCAGGAGAGTAAAGCTGAACAGCACCAGCCCCCATGCTGCTTGCTGGTGTTCTAGCACAACTGTGCCAGCAGAGAGGAGTCGATGTGTGAGCACAGAGGGTTCCTCGTCTATTCAGGAGATAACTGCTTTGCACTGCTGGGGTGGGGGGTGGGCAGCGCAGCATGTCTGGAGATGAAGCCTGGCAATAAGCAGGGTGTGCTGGGAAGTCCAGTTGTGAGTGGCAACGGGGCTGCATGATAGGGAGTGCCAGCATGGGATAGGAGATCCAGGTGGGCAAGCAGGCAACCTTCCATAACTTACTGCTAAGCCTAACTGTTGGACCAGAGTTCAGTCCTTGAAAGGATGGCATGATGTGAAAGGCAGGCCCCCGATTTTGGAGGAACCAGATACTCAGCAAGTATTCAAGGGTGGGGTCCAGGAACTCAATAAAAATATTAGCTGTATTCCTCCCTAGAATGTGGACCCAAGGTCAGAGCAAGTCAGCAGATAGCCTGACTTAACAAATCGGACTGTGAACTAGAGCCGGATTGGGGTCCCAGAGCCTTGGGGGAGCTGGCCAAGTCCCCTAGCTAGGCCCCTCTAGGACTAAGTGTGGGTTTGGAGAAGTCCCATCAAAAAGCGCTGTCCTGGGGCATCTGGCTGGCTCAGTCCATGGACCATGTGACTCTTGACCAGGGGGTCATGAGTTCAAGTCCCACATTGGACATGGAGATGACTTTTTAAAAAAAAAAGTGCTGTGCCATCGGGAGAATAAGATACATGAGTAACCATGACAGAGGACATAAAGGAACATAAAGGCAGAGACGACAGTCCACAGTTTTCCCCAGGAGAAAAAGATCACCATGTCAGGAACGCTATCCTGAAGGAGCAGTTAGATCAGGGCTGCAGGAGAGAGGATCTGGAGGGAAGGGGAGATGGTGGTCTGAATTGGGGCAGAGAATCAGAGCCTGTTCTGAAGGCGGAGAGTGTCGGAGAGGAGAGGGAGCAGCCTCTTGGCCTCAGCCAGCCTCCTCTGCCCTGTTCTCCTGTCCTAAGTGTGGCCCTGGAAGTGATGGCAGTGGCTGAGTTGGGAGGAGGGCAAGGTGGCTCTGACACCCCACCTTCTCTGGGCCCCAGCTTGCGACCTCTCGATCTGGAGTTCATGAAGCACCTCAGCAAAGTTGTGAACATCATCCCTGTCATTGCTAAGGCTGACACCATGACCCTGGAGGAAAAGTCTGAATTCAAGCAAAGGGTGAGAAGGCCCCTCCTCCTTTTCCTGTCCCCACCCTTCCCTTCCCCTCCGCTGGTTCAAGCCACGTCCTATCCTGGATTATTACATAATAATAATTTATTTTATTTCCCTTTCCCACCCAGCTCCTACTTAACCATTAAAGAGGCTGGGCTGGTGGTGTCTGGACCAAAGGTGAAGAGAGGTTAGCAGCCTCAGGCTGCCTTCTTCTCACCTTCCAAACCTACTGGTGGAGACCACTGAATACATAAATCACCATGCACATGAGAAAGGCGCTCCTTGATGTTAGCTTGTTTGCTGGGCTAGACTAATAAATCATTTGCCCACTAGTTTTTATTAGTGTTTGCTATAAGCTCCACCCTGTGCTGAATGCCTGGGGATAGAAGTGGGGGCATGTGAGTGAAGTATAAAGACATTTGCTGCCTTCCAGAAACTTACAATCAGGTAGACCACTGGGGAGTTCCTGGATGGCTTCCTGGAGGAGGTGAGACTTAGGTCGAGCTTTGAGAGAGCCCAGACTGATGGGCTTGGGGTTGGGAGCCTCACCTCTTTTCCTTGCACACAGGAATACTATACATAGCAGCATGAGCACTGAACCATGTGGAATCCAAACTCAGCTGTGCTGCTGGTCTAAATTCTAATCTTCTGGACCCTGAGATGAGCAAGCTGCAGCGCCAAACAATTCCTCGTCTCAGGCAGTGCTGTAGTAGTGACCAGGACTTACATTTATTAGGATCATCCTGCTGGTCAGAGCCTCGGAGTTCAGAGATGATTGGATTCTCAAAGGCTGCATTCCTCCCTCTGACTTCAGCACCACCCATCCATCCATTATCCTGACGCTTGGCTACCTTGCTTCTCTTCCTCACCCCTAGGTTCGAAAGGAGCTTGAAGTAAATGGCATTGAGTTCTACCCCCAGAAGGAATTTGATGAGGATTTGGAGGACAAGACGGAGAATGACAAAATCCGGGTGGGTGCTGGGGCTCTGTTTATCGCACAAAGGCCCCCCTTGGGAGCAGTGGGATATGGATCGTGCATTCCTTCTATCTTGCCACCTGCTATTTCCCTTTTGAACTCTCTGCCCACCCCTTGCCTGACCCAGATCAGAAGTGACATGGGAGAGCATGAGGAGTAGGACCCTGGCCAGGACTGTGACCCTGCACCCAGAAAGCCAAAGCCATCCCCAGACCACTCAAAAGCCTCTTCTTCCCCCACAGGGCCTGGAAAAACCAGGGTATGGTTGATGGAAGGGCATGGGCAGGAAGAGCATCGGGCTGGGGTCCAAGGTGTCTATGCTCTAGTCAGAGCTCTGCTTCAGTTTCCCCTCTATAAAGTGCAGAGATCAGGCTAGGTGAGTGGCTTATAGGCTTTCTCTGCCCCCCCCCCCACCCTGTGCTCTGAGGAACCCTTTAAAAAATTAAACGTTAGACAGAACTCTTATATATAAAACATAAAAACAGAGCTGCTCTGGCTCAGTGACACTGTCTTCTCAGCTGTCCCTGGGGTGTCTCCGGGGAATCTTAAGGCTTCGTGTGATTCCCAACTTCTACAATTCTAGAGTTTTACATCAGGATCCTGAGTTCCAGCCTGGAACCACTAGTGACCACTGCAACCTGGGACAAATCATTTACTTCTTTTGGTCTTGGGGTCTCCTCCTCTGTCGAGGGTGGATAATCTATCAGAAGCCCCTTATTTGATGCATTTGAGACAGGTAGTCGGTCAGTTAATTGAAAAAAAAATCCATTGCACTGATGATGTTTAAAAAAATGAGGCATACAAATCTTCAATGTTTTTAAGGAAATATTTCACTAAATTATTAAGTTAAAACACATACATCACATTCATTAAGCATTCTTTTCATATAGAGACAAGGCCTCCTCTTTGAGGATAAGTCTGGTCTTAAGGCAAGAACAACTCACTTTTCTCAAGTCTTTCTGAAACACTCAACTTGATTTTCAGAGAAACAATTGTGTATGGTCATACATCCTCAGCTTAAATAATAATTTATTCAATAATGAGTACATGTCAGGCAGATAGATTTGGGAACAAACAGCTGGCTCTTGGTGAACATAGAACCCATCTGGGGGAGCAGAGGTGCCTCTGCACATCAAAAGGTGTCCTCCGACCTCTGAGAAGTCAGTGGATGTGGGTATCTGCCTGTAGGTTTAATGGGAGGAACGTAAAGCATCTGTTATTTGGCTGTCACCTGGGTGAGTATCACTGAAGAGCACTCTTTCTATCCCAGCTAGCTCACAGAGTTGTTCCAAATCAAACCGAATGTGTTAAAGCACTGTAGAAAGTATGAAGTGTTTCCCTGTTGAAGGAATGCTGACTTACTGAGGTTAAGCAGCCAGGCAGGGGTGCGATCAGGGCTGGACCCAGGATGTCAGACTCTTTTTTAAGAGACAAGAGCTTTGGCCTTGACATCAGTGGGATCACTGAATGAGCTTCAGAAGTGTGCGGTTCAAGGCTAGAGGCCCAGGACCGTTTTTTCATCATCCTGTCCTTGGGGACCCAGATGGTAGGGGGCTGATGGGCACCTGTGTGTGGTTTGTCAGCAGGAGAGCATGCCTTTCGCCGTGGTGGGAAGTGACAAGGAGTACCAAGTGAATGGCAAGCGGGTCCTTGGCAGAAAAACTCCCTGGGGGATCATCGAAGGTAATTCAGTGCATCTTCTTGAAGAACTGGCTGCTGCTGGTCGATTATGCTTACTTACTAAGCATCTATAATTCAGGGCACTGTCCTGGCACGTCAGATACAGGACAAATGCCAGGCAGATCCTGCTGTCAGGGCCTTACAGTCTGAGAGTCTCAGAGGCAGGAAGCAGTGAAAGGCCCCTGACTGGCAGGCACCGACTCCTATGTCAAAGGAGGGGAGAAAACATGGGAAAAACTAGAGAAAAGTTTCTTATGCAAAAGGGGATATAATCTGACAACCCACTGCAGGGTGGTTCAGATGTGGCCGTTTTTTTCCATTCTGTTATGGAGGGGTGTGACCTTGAGAAGGTCAATGATGATGCTGAAAAGGTTTCAGAGATTTGCTTAAGTGATCTCTTTCAAAATGATAACCCTCCGCAGGGAAGCAGGGTCGGCGTGGCTGTCCTCAGAACATTAGCCCCTAACAGCCTTGGGTCTCAGACGGGTGAAAGGTCTTGCCCAAGATCCCATGACTTGTTAGTGGTTGAAACGGGGATTTCAGAACCAGATTTCAGTCCCACAGCTGAATTGATTTCAATTCCCAAACCAAGTCCATCCTGTTGTATGACATTATCTCTCATTTGCCTATGACCCTGTGTTGAGACTTTTTTAAATGGCATTTTCTCATCTGCCTTGAATTGGAATCATTTATGAGTATAACTGTCCTGTCTATTAGATTGTGGGACTACAGCGTTCATGTCTTAATCCCCTTCTGCTCCCACAACGCTTGGCAAGTGATTTGCAGATAGTAGGTACTCAATCTGTATTGAATTTAATCACGTAGGGCATGATCTTTTTGAGATGGCTTGATTGTCACATTTTTGTGTGTTACTATCTCCCAATCAGATTATAAACTCCTCAAGGATAGGAATCGTGTCTTAGGCTTTGGGACAGTTTTTAGACTCCCTGTGTATTATTAGTTTTCTTTCCTATAAAATGGGAAATACAGTCGTCCCTATTAGCCATTATTTCAGAGTCTAGAATAATATTGTGCCATGCACAGAAGTGCCAAGATGAGCAAACCTCTGGAAGGCTTACAATAAATAACCTGTGGCTCTCTCCTCATTGCCTCCATGATCTGAACAGAAGTGCACCTGCTGGGTGTTGCTACATTAGTGAAATGACCACCTGTTTTGTTTTGTTTTGTTCACAGTGGAAAACCTCAACCACTGTGAGTTTGCCTTGCTTCGAGACTTTGTCATCAGGTGAGATGCACCCCTTCCTTCAGATGGCAGGTTTATTTATTTAGGGTCTGGAGGCCCTCTGTTCAGATCTACTTCCTCCATCTCCAGGTTTCTCTGACAGAGTTCTCCAGGTTCCATCATGAAGCAAAAGGGGGCTGATGAAGTATTCTTGGCTGTCTGGCATGGGTCCCAGTTGTTGGGTCCAGGGCATGGGAGTGCTGTTTTACGCTCAGATGTGAGTCAGCCTCTTCCTCCTTCTACTTCTAATCATATCGCTCTCTCTTCTCACCCTTTGCCCTCAGGACTCACCTCCAGGACCTCAAGGAAGTGACACACAACATCCACTATGAGACCTACAGGGCCAAGAGGCTCAATGACAATGGAGGCCTCCCTCCGGTGAGCGTGGACACAGAGGAAAGCCACGACAGTAACCCCTGATGATCCTTTCTCTGTATCATCACACATACCCACTTTTCCACACACACATCCCAATACCACCACCTTCTATCTCTCTACTCTGTCCCACAGACCTGTCTGCTGTTTATGGAGTTTGTCTACAGTGTGTGTGTGTGTGTATGCATGTGTGTCGAGAGGGAGAGAGTTTGTATGTGTGTACGCACGCGTGCGTGTGTGTGTGTGTGTGTGTATGTATGTACCTGCGCAGGGGTGAGGTATTTTCACTGCCCTCCCTGGAAGGTCCCTTGTAAGTTTGGTTCCTCCATGGCTGTCCATTATGTGTCTCCTTTCCTTGTGTCCCAGAACAAAGCCATGTGCCTCACTCAAGAGGTCTAGGGGAGGTTTCATTGAAAAATGATGGGGAGCAGGTGAGCCACAGGTAACTCTTTCTTATCTCTGAACTGCCCACAAACGGGGACTGCAGAGACTCTGAGGGCAGCTTTGGAGCTTGGACCTGGTCAAGGGGTGGGATGGGGTGTGGCCTCCCAGAGTAAGGCTAGGACTTCCCTGGGAGAGAGGAAAGGTCAAGGGAGAGCAGAGTAGGCCGGAGCTGGGCTCCTGCTGAAAGAATTAGTGCCCAGAAGTGGAGAAGAGAGCTCCACCCTTCAGTGTGTGCGTTGGCACCACTGTCCAAAACCCACCACCTGTCACCATCTGTCCTGGTTGCCGACTGCTGCTTTTCTTCAGATGCCTCGCCTCACTCACCTCTGCTCCTTCTCCCCCCTTCCCTCATTCCTGCATTCCTGCCCCCTCTCTGACTTCTTTCATTTGCTTTGAGTCTAATCCACTTTAGCTACATTTCTATACTTAGGATTTATGCCCAGGCTACTTTCAAACAGGACTGCAGGCCACCTTAAAATAAAATCACAGCCAAAGCACATGACAGTATGAATTGGGATTACGAAAGAAATTAGACCCACAGATAGCGAGAAAGAAAGTTTCCATGGTGGACCAGTGTAGGCCCAGGCAAAGGAGGAAACAGAATGAGTTACTCAGTTCCCAGTATCTGGTTCCAGGAGCACACATGCTGCTCAAGTAAGACCACCTTTCTTTGGCCATTAAGTTCTAGAAGAATGAAGTCTAAAGAAGTATCAAGAGCAATACACAATCTTTTCCTTTCTCAGTGATTTGGCTTCAGAGGCACATTTTAGACAACACCTCACTTTTCTCTGTTGGGATTCTTTCTCCTGAACAATCTGGCTTCTCTACTGCTTGCTTCTCTACTGCTTGACCCCCTCTGGACTTCTCTTTGCTTTCACTGTGCATGTGTCTGTCTGTCTGTCAGTCTTTCTCTGCTTTTCCCCGACTCTCCCTCCTGACTCTTGTAGACATTCTTAACAATACCCACAATCATACCGTCAGCCTCTTCTTGCCATTCCCTTCTGCCCTGTATTTATTAATGCACATATTTCCCCCGTTGGTTTTATAAACAAGTTATTCTTTCTCCTTTAGTCTGTAAGGTGGCTGAAATTTGGGGCTAGGGAAATAATTTAGCCTTAGGTAAGGGAAAACACCAACTGCTACAGTTTACAAAAACCTCCTACAACCTCCTGTTCCATCTCCTGGTCCAGCCTGCCATGTATTACTGGTCCACTACATATCCCAGCATTTATAGTCTCTTATCACTCAGGTGCTAGGAAAACACATAGACTTCAGACCAAGAGTTGGTGGACCAGAAGAAAGAGGTGGGTGACCCCAAAACCTATGGTCTCAGTCTTTCTTGGAGGCTCTTTACCAATCCGATATATTTTCTCCCTCATGCACAAAGTTCTTCCTCAGTAAGCACTTGTCAGGATAGAACAGCAGCAGGGTGAAAGCCCAGAGGTTGCTACATTTCAGCAGAAGAGGGATCCCTGGTGTATACAGTGGGCAGTCATGTATGCAGATGTGGGACCAATCACCTAGGACTAGCAGGGAGGTCTGGCAGGGGTGGTGGGCAGTGGAAAGGTAGAGTAGACAATGATGCTTGGCACCCTTAAACCTTGATGTCAGCCTCCCTGGAGAAGCTGTTTTATGTGTCTGCTGCCAGCTGCTGGTCTCCACACCCTCAACCGTTCTCAACCCCCTCCTGCAGGGAGAAGGCCTCCTGGGCACTGTCCTTCCACCTGTGCCAGCTACCCCCTGCCCCACTGCTGAATGAAGGCCATTTCAAGCGCTGCTTCTCCCTCCTTCCCTCCCAGCTGTTATTGCTGCAGGGCCATGCCCTTTTTAGAGCTGTGCTATTCCAGCCCCCCTCAGCTCTCAGCAGGTTGGAGGGGCCAGCTGCCTCTTTAGAACAGTTGCCTCCTCCATTTTTCCAAACCACCCCCCTCCTCCCAGTGGAATGGAGTTCTCGCCAGCACTGCCCTCCTCCATCGTCTGTGTCAGCCGGCCCCGGCCCATCCGTAGGGTGAAAGAACTCATCAGGAGCTCCTTCTGCCCTTGCAAACCCATACCAGCTACTTGTAACCATCTCCAAGGGGAAAGGCATTGCTCCCTGTCCATTCATCTGCATGAGCTACTCTTGGCTTCCTTCAAGGGTCAAGAAAGCAACTTTTCTGCTTGTCAGATTTGTTGATGTCAGCTGTGTGAGCCCCAGTGTGGGACAAGGGTGTCTCCTACATTGCTTAAAGCTTATTTATAATGATGGGTCACTACAGATGTTGGGGAGCAAGGGAGCAAGGTCACTTAAAAAAATCACCACTTGTGGCTGGCCCAGAGTGCAGTTTAACACCCTCTCCTCCCCATAATGCAGCCACTTAGAAAGAGTGGTTTTCCTGAAGAGACATTTCTGGAATTGACTTTCTTGTCCTCAATATTCAAAAAACAACTAAACACAGATAAAAACTCCAGATCCCCATGGGGTGTGAACTCTAGGAAGAAATTAAGCACCCTTCTGCCCACTTAGCAATAAGAGGGATTTCTTCCCACCTACCCTAATCCTACCCCCACCTCCACCCTGTTAATGTGAGTAATGAATTAGCCTGGCCACAGTTGGTCACTGTAGGCTAGTGGAAAATATCCAGTGGAGGGCAAAGCCCCCCATCAGATGCATGAATGTTTGCGAATGTTGGCTGCCACTGCCCCACATACTGTGTCTTTATGGGATCCCCCCACCCACCCACGCCGCCATCCACCTGGACACTACTTTCTCAAAGGCTGGTGACTTGTGGGCCATTCATCTACAACAAAGTCCTGATGGAGCAAGAGGCCCAAGCCTAGGGGATGCAAGAACGACCCATTTCTTAAATGTTACCAGTCCCAGCCAACCTTTGGGTAACATTATGGTTAAATTTCCCAATTGAAAACAAGCCAACAGACACTCAAATTGGTTGTGTAAATGTTGCTAGACTTTATGTGTTGTACAACTAAACATTGCTGTTTGAACAATAACTGCCTGGCCCGTGTCTCATTTGTGCTCCTCACTCCTTGGCCAAATTAGCCATTACATCATGGGTGGGGGGTGAGACAGGGACCATCTTGGTAAGAAGTAGCCACAGAAATTATAGATGGAAAACATTTTGTGAGATATTTGTTTTCAGTTGGCTTGAGGTTGGACTTCAGTCATTATTCCATGGGGTTTGTATTCAGAATGAGTGATGGAGCTATCATGCTAGACATTGAGGGATGCTATGCTCTGCACGGCCTGTCTCCTTCAATGAAAACAAGGTTTATTTTCATTTAATTTCCTAGCTTTTCCCTCCTTTCTCCAGAAGGCATAAAACCCAACTCTGTGGATGGAGTGGGCCTATTTTGCCTAGAGACTTGCCTATGGCATAGTGAATACTTTAAGAGTTAAGAATTTAAATTTGGGATCCCTGGGTGGCGCAGCGGTTTGGCGCCTGCCTTTGGCCCAGGGCGCGATCCTGGAGACCCCGGATGGAATCCCATGTCGGGCTCCCGGTGCATGGAGCCTGCTTCTCCCTCTGCCTATGTCTCTGCCTCTCTCTCTCTCTGTGTGTGTGTGACTATCATAAATAAATAAAAATTAAAAAAAGAATTTAAATTTAAAGCACTAGCTTGTCTCTTGTCTTTTTCAAACTTAAACTTCTGCTCTTTGAGGTTCCTAATCTCTTCTGTAGCCAGCAAATAACACCACTTTCTCTCTTTCTGAATTTGAATGTAATGACCATAAGCAGTTGTGTTTGGGACCTCAGTTTTCAGTAGGGTGAATGCAAGGTATTGAAGAATGGTGAGGGGATCCCTGGGTGGCTCAGCGGTTTGGCGCCTGCCTTTGGCCCAGGGCGCGATCTTGGAGTCCCGGGATCGAGTCCCACGTTGGGCTCCCGGCATGGAGCCTGCTTCTCCCTCCTCCTGTGTCTCTGCCTCTCTCTCTGTGTCTATGGTAAATAAATAAATAAATCTTAAAAAAAAAAAAAACAATGGTGAAGAGTCACTCAGGTAAAATGATGTGGACCAGAGCCAGAGTGGCAATGCCACACCAAGATAGAGGGATGTGGGAATATTTAAGCGATAGAGTAGTTTTGCAAACTTAAAATATCACAGCTAAGAGAAAACAGTTTTTTAGTCCTATTCTTTCATATAGATGTGGAAACTGAAGTCCAGAGAGTATAGTTAGTTGTCTTGCCCAAAGTTGCACACTTAGTTTACCAGTGCAAGACGAGGACTCTATCTCAATGCTTGCTCTACTGCTTCACATCATTCCTATTGTGTTTCATTTGTTCCAATAGTCTTGTGTGAAAAAAAAAACCAGCTTGAGGCGTCGGGCTGGGTCAGTTGGTAGAGCATGAGACTCTTGATTCCTAGGTCATGAGTTCAAGCCCCATGTTGGGTGTACAGATTATTTTTTAAAACATCAGCTTATAACTGATGAAATGTCTTTATTTGGCAACTTTTCTTTTTATTAGTGGTACATTTAAAAATGATGTATCTCACAACTGATAGCATCTTAAACTGGATGAAATACGGTAATCCAGAAGACGTTACCATCCCTCTGCTTGAAGCCCTTTGGCGCTCTTTTGTGAAGTCTAAATGAAACAAGAATATGTACAGCATTTTAGTTTTCAAAGCAATTCCAGTATAATGTAACCCATCGGACCCTCACAATCACCGTTTGGCGGAGGCAGGGCAGGTAGGATGGTTGACATAGGCTCTATCTTGGAGCTGCTCCCCCTGACCCAGGTCATGCACCCTTTCCTGAATGCTGCTTCACAAGAAACCAGCTCAGATTCCAGGCTTTTTCTGGTGGGGAAAGGTTCTGCTCGCCCTAGGAGAAGCGAGAAATCTTTTTGGGCCCTTTCTCCAAAGGGCATTAGCCTCCTGACCCGACTCAGCGGGGGGATGCAGGAAAATCCTCCTTCTAAGTCCACTCCAGTGGGCAGCCGAGCAACCATGTCTGGGCTACGACGCAGGTGTCAACCCAGGAGGCCACTCACCGGCCACTCACCCCTCCGCGCTCCGGGGACGGGGCCAATTCCCGGGGCCCGCTCCCTGCCCCCGCAGCGGGCACTTCCACGCGGACACTGCCTGGTTCTCTGGCCGCTGCCCCTCCCGTGACCAGCCCCTTGGCCTCCTCACCCGCACCCTCGTCCTTGCGCCATAATCTCCGCCCTCCCCTTCAAAGCCCCGCCCCCTGGCCTAGCGCAGGCCCCGCCCCTTCCCATCTGAGGGGCGGCAGGAGGGGGCCTGGAGAAAGATGGCGGTGAATCAGAGTCACACCGAGAATCGCCACGGGGCCATCATCCCTTTTGGCGAAAGGTGCCTGCAGGGGAGCCGGGGGCGGGGAGGGGTGCGGTCAGACCCGGGTGGGGGAGGCCGGCGGGGGGGGGGCTGGCGGCTTGCAAACTCTCAGCCAATCAGGGCCTTTCCCGCCTCTCCCGGGCGTCGCAGGCGGAGCCCCGCCCCCGCCATCGGGGCGCGCGAGGCCGGGCCGCGGGTTAGCGGCTCAGAGGTGGCGGAGGCTCAGGTAAAAGGGCGGGCGCTCACTGGCAGGAGTGGGGTGTCGCGCCGCCCTGCCGGGTCGCGTGCGGCTGGCTGGCTGCCGTTGGGGTGACGGCCGGCGGCCGGGGAGGGGTGAGGGAGGTGGGCGGTGGGTGCGCCCTCCCCTGCTCCCGGGGACGCCGAGGCGGAAAAGGCGGGAGTGCGGCGCAGTCGGAAGGTCCCGCGCTGTGGGGGCGTCGCCTCGCCCTCAGAACCCCCAGGAGCCCCGTTTCTCTTTGCCCCTAAGGGGAGAGGGGAGTGACTGCTCCTACTTTTAAGGTAAAGATGGGGAGCAGACGCCCCAGGGAGGAGGGCGCTCGGGGTGCGCGGGCTCCGCGGGGGCCGCCGCTTGCTCCCCGTGCCGCGTCACACCTCGCCTCCCCGCCGCTCCTCCGCGCCCCCCCGCTCCCGCCCCAGCAGGTCCTACGTGGGCTTCCGTCTGCTCCGCGTGGCCCTCGGTTTCCTTTGCTGTGGGGTCGCTCGCTGGCTGTTTGGCTCCGACACCCGGTGCTCTGTGCCCCGGGGAGACTGCGCGTTCGTCGGGAGGATCCGCCCAGACAGTACCGAGTGCTGATGTCCAGATCTGTTTCCTTTGCTTCCTCCCCCAGAACATGTTCTTGACAGATTCCGGCGGGCGGCGGAGGCTGTACGTCTTCCCTTGTAGTAGGAGAGGATTGTCCTCCGCTCTGAGCGCGGCTCCCTGGCCTGGAGCGCTGTGACCTGTGTGCAGGTGGCTCTGGGCCCTGAAGCCACTTCTGATTTGGTGTTTGGGCATCTTCTCGCTCAGCCTCGGGTCTGTGTGTGTGTGTGTGTGTGTGTGTGTGTGTGTGTTGGAGGCAGGGCATGGAGCATGTTTTTAAAAATTATGACAGAAACACTAATTTTATGGTCCTTTGAGTTGCTTGGTTTTTGTTTTTGTTTTTTTAAGATTTTATTTCATTTATTCATGAGAGACACACACAGAGACAGAGGCGGAGACATAGACAGGGAGACGCAGGCTCCTCGTGGGAAGCCCGATATGGGACTCGATACTAGGACCGGGCGGGATCACCACCTGAGCCGAAGGCAGACGCTCCCCCGCCGAGCCACCCAGGAGCCCTGGTCCTTTGAGTTATCTTGATGGGGTCCATTCTGTGCTCTTGAATGTGTAATCATCGCCAAACACCTTTGCCAGAGCTGTATACACATCACTGCTCTATCTACAATGAGGATCTAGTATTTCCCTTATTTCTCAGGTGGGAAACTGAAACACAGAGAAGCAGGTGGCTTAAAAATCATATGGCTAGTGCATGTGGGAGAGATTTGGTTGGGGATTGGACTTCTCATCAGAGAAGACCTGCCTTGTCAGTGCTCTTTCTTGTATAGAAACTACAATAATGGGACGGCTGGGTGCCTCAGTGGTTGAGCGTCTGCCTTCGGCTCAGGGCGTGATCCCCGACTTTCAGGATCCAGTCCCACATCAGGCTCCCTGAGAGGAGCCTGCTTCTCCCTCTGCCTGTGTCTTTGCCTCTCTCTCTGTGACTCTCATGAATAAATGAATAAAATCTTAAAAAACTATAATTATTTATTATTTTATTGATTTTTTTGCTTAAGCGTTATTGATACAATTATTACATTGGTTTCAGGCGTACAACATAGTGATTGGACGGCTAAGTTATGCTGTGCTCACCATAAGTGTAGGCCCCATCTGTCTACAATTACAGTAGTATTGACTGTGTTCCCTAGGCTGTGCTTTTTGTTCCTGTGACTTATTGAGTCGCAAACTGGAAGCTTGTATCTCCCACTTCCCTTCCCCCATTTTACCCAAGCTCCCAACCCTTCCCTCTGGCAACCATCAGTTTGTTCTCTGTGTTTATTCTGCTCTTGGTGTGTTTATTTGTTTTGTTTTTTTAGATGCCTTGTATGACTGAAATTATATGGAATTCGTCTTTCTCAGTTTGATTTATTCCATTCAGTGTAATACTTTCTGGGTCTATCCGTGTTGTTGCAAATAGCAAGATCCCATCCTTTTTATGGCTGCATAGTATTCCTGTGGGTTTCAGTGTGTGTGTGTGTGTGTGTGTGTGTGTGTGTGTGTGTGTATCACATCTTCCTTATCTAATTTTCTATCATGGCTATTGTAAATAATGCTGCAGTAAGCATAGGGGTGCATATATACTTTCAAATCCGTGTTTTCATTTTTTTTAGGTAAGTATCCAGTAGTTGAATCACTGGATCATATGGTACTTCTATTTTTAATATTTTGAGAAAACTCCATACTATTTTCCACAGTGTCGGCACCAATTTACATTCCCATAAACAGTGTGCAAGGACTCTTTTTTCTCTACATTCTCTCCAACACTTACTTCTTATCTTTTTTATTTTAGCCATTCTGACAGGTGTGAGGTGATATCTCATTGCAGTTTTGATTTGCATTTTGCTGATGATGAGTGATGTTGAGCATTTTTCATGTGTCTGTTGGCCATCTGTATGTCTTTTTTGTAAAAATGTCTATTCCATTCCTCTGCCCATTTTTTGATGGGATTGTTTGGGGTTCTATGGTGTTGATAGAAACAACTTTGAAGAAATAGGTTGAGAAGGAGAAGCTTGGTTGTATTTTGATCTCTCTTGCCTACTCAGGATACACATTTAAGAAATTTGTAACATTGTTACAAATCACATTGTTCTGTGGAGGGTTTTTTTTTTTTAATCCCAGCTGAGAAGTCATAATTGTACAGATAGGACTCTACTGGTAAATAGGGAAGACACTTGAGTTTTCTTTTTTTGACCAATATTCTAAAATTGTGCAGATAGTACCATATGTTTGTTATAGAAAAATTAGAAAAAAAATTTAAATTACCCCAGATTCCAACACCCAGTGCTTTTTTTACATTTTGGTATGTATCTCTCTGCACTTTCCTCCATGGATATATAGGCAACATCCCCCAACCCGAGATTGCTTTGTAATTTGTTTTCCTCACTTACCAATGTATTGGGAATGCTCTCCAGTATCAATATCTACATCATTATTAATCAATGACTTGTATTCCAGTGTGCATGAATGTTTGTTCAAGCCCTTGTCTGAGATGTTCAGGGTATAATTTGTCATTGCTATAAATATTGCTTCAGTGAACACTTTTGAAAACTTATCTTTGCCTACCTGTCGAAATGTTTCTTGGGGATATGTTCCTGAAAGTGTAATTGTGGGATCAGAGGACATAGACTTTTTAATTTATTTTTATTTTTATTTTTTTAAATATACATAGACCTTTTTAAAGATTAAAATGTATTTTTAAAAAATATAAAAATTATGTCAAAATATTTTATATTCTACAAATGCATATAGAAATATATATTAAAAAAAGAAATATATTTTTGCGAAATCACCCTATAGAATTATATTGTTGTGTTCTCAATACTCACAGTGCCAATTTCATTACACCCTTGACAACACCTGGTGTTAAACGTCGCTATCTCTGCCAGTCTGAATAATTGAATCTTTAAAAAAATATATTTTTTTCCTAAGGTTGTTGGGTATTTGTCTTTGATAAATTTGCTTTGTAAATTGTCCCTATTTTTACTAAGTTGTTAATGATATTGTGTTTGTATGTGGTAAAAGAAACACAAAGGAAATTTACCATATTAATTTTTTAAAAAATAGAAATTATATATATATTTAAAGTGTACAACATGATGATGTGATATACATATAGGTAGTGAAATGATTTCTATAACCAAACTAATTAACATATCATCTCCTCACATAGTTAACCATTTTTTAGTGTGATGCATGTGCCTGAAATCTACTCTCTTGGCATATCTCCAGTGTTCAATACACTCATTTTTTTTCCAATACACTCATTAAGTGTAGTCATCATGCCTATAGTATATTGGATCTCTAAACTTATTCATTCTACATGACTACAAGTTTGTACCCTATGACCAACATCTCCCCATTTCCCCCATTCCCTGAGCCCCTAGTAATCACCATTCTACTTTTTGCTTCTATGCATTTGACTTTTTTTTCCTTAAGGTTCTACATATATACCTAAATGAGATCACACAGTATTTACCTTTCTCCGGATTTATTTCATTTAGCACAATATTCTCAAGGTTCATTCATGTTTTAGCATGTGACAGGATTTCCTTCTTTCTCATGATTGAATGATACGTATATAAATACCACATCTTTATCCATTCATTCATTGACCGACACGTAGTTTATGTCTATATCTTGGGTATTGTGAGTAATGCTGCAGTGAACATAGGAGTGCTGGTATCTCTTTGATATCCTATTTTAATTTCCTTTGGATATACACCTAGAAGTGAGATTGCTGGATCATATGGTGGTTCTGTTTTTATTACATTGATTGATATTCATATGTTGAACCATCATATGTTCCAGGAATAAATACCACTTGGTCATGTGTATAATCCTTTTAATATACTATTCAGTTTGCTAGCATTTTTTTAATTAAGATTTTATTTATTTATTCATGGGAGACAGAGAGAGGCAGAAACATAGGCAAAGGGAGAAGCAGGCTCCATGCAGGGAGCCACCCGACGTGGGACTTGATCCCGGGTCTCCAGGATCACGCCCGGGGTGGAAGGCAGACGCTCAACTGCTGCCAGTTTGCTAGCATTTTGTTGAGGATTTTTGCATCAGTGTTTTTCAGAGATGTTAGTCTGTAGTTTTCTTGTGTTCTAGCTTTGACATCAGGGTAATGCTGGCCTCAGAGAATGACCTTGGAAGTGTTCCCTCTTCTGTTTTGGGGCAGATTTTTGAGAGGATTAGTGCTAAGTGTTCTTTCAGTATTTGGTGATTTGTCCAGTGAAGCCCTCTGGTCCTGGGCTTTTCTTAGCTGGGAAGTTCTTGGTTACTGATCCAATCTTTTTCTTACTATTGGTTTGTTTAGATTTTCTTTTTATTCATGAATTAGCTCCTAGGAATTTATCCATTTCTTCTAGATTATCCAATATGCTGGCATACAATTATTCATGTGTATTAGTATTATCTTGTAATTCTTTTTATTTCTGTGGCATCCATTGTAACGTCCTTCCCTTTCATTTCTGATTTTGGTAATTTGAGTCATCTCTCTTTTCTCAATTAGTTAACCTAGCCAAAGGTTTGTCCGTTTCACTGATCTTAAAAACAAACAAACAAACAAACAAAAAAAACACTTAGTTTCACAGGTTGTTTTTTTTTCCCTATTACTTTTGTATTTTCTCTTTTGTTTTGTGTCAGCTCTAATCTTTATTTCCTTCTAGCCTTGGGTTCAGTTTGTTCTTTAGTTTCTGGAGGTGTAAAGTCAGGTTAACTTGAGATCATAAATCTCTTTTATGAATGCAGGTACAGATAGAAACTTTTAACACTGCTTTGTTGAATCCCATAGTTTTGGCATTTGTATCTTCATTTTTATTTGTTTCAAGGTATTTTCCAATTTCCCTTGAGACTTTTTCTTTGACCCATTGGTTATATAAAAATGTGTTGTTTCATTTACACGTTTGTGGATTTTCCAGTTTTCCTTGTGCTATTGATTTCTAGTTTCTTTTTTTTTTTTTTTAAACATCGGAGCCGCGTCTCAGACAGCATTTCCTTTTATTTATTTATTTATTTATTTATTTATTTATTTATTTATTTATTTATGATAGTCACAGAGAGAGAGAGAGAGAGAGAGAGAGAGAGAGGCAGAGAGGCAGAGATACAGGCAGAGGGAGAAGCAGGCTCCATGCACCGGGAGCCCGACGTGGGATTCGATCCCGGGTTTCCAGAATCGTGCCCTGGGCCAAAGGCAGGCGCCAAACCGCTGCGCCACCCAGGGATCCCTGATTTCTAGTTTCATTTCACTGTGATCAGAAAAAGTACTTCAGATGATTTTAATTTTCTTAAAATTAAATTTGTTAAGACTCGTTTTGTGACCTTACATGTAAACCTATCATGGAGAATGTTCCATGTACACCTAAGAGCATTGTTGAATCCCATACTGCACACTTGAAACTAATACAACCCTGCATGTTAATTATACAATTATACTCAATAAAAATAATAAAAGAAATAAAATGAGTCTCTTATAGATAGCAGATAGTTAGATCCTAAATTGTTCATCCTTTGGAAGGTTCATATGTCAGAACCATTTCTCTTTAGCTAGGAACCTACTTACAAATTACAGATAAAAAGTATGTAAAATCTTTGCATATTTAGTATCTGGCAGTTACAGCTCAATGCATTATAAGGACAATAACTCAAATTCAGATGATTAACTATTGGAGCTTGAACTTTTGCTGAGGTTCTAGTTAGTGCTGGAGACAATAGTTTTGATATCCTTAGCTAAATGGTGCTGTGATATTTCATTTGCAGTTTTCACCTCTTTTTTAGAAATTTGTTGTCGCATTATAACATCTACCAGCATGGTGAAAATTCATTCTTTATTTCACTGTACTATACTTTAACTGAAATTTTGAAGTCAATATGCCATCCTTGTAGGACAGTGGTTCTCAGTCTGGGATGATTTTGCCTCCAGGAGACATTTTTGCTTTTCACAATTTGGATGGGGGAGGGGGTGGGCTACAACTGGTATTTGGTGGGGAGAGAGGCAAGGGGTGCTTCCAAACAATCTACAAAGCACATACCACCACAACAAATAATTATCTAACCCAAACAGTCAAGGTTGAGAAACTTCATGTATTAGATGCCAACCTAAGGATATGACAGAATGAAATTGCAAACAGTACTACCACCTCCTGAATATTTCAACGTGTCTAGAGCCAAATTTATGTCCATACTTCCCAATAAACTTATTTTTCTGACTTCTCTATTTCTTTGGAGGCAAAGATGACCTTTGATTTCTCATGACTTTTTTGTTTCCCAGATCTAATGAATTACCAAGCTCAGGGGCTTCTTTCTTCACGGTCTTTTAAATTTAATTAATTGATTTATTGAGGTTTTACACTTAATATATAACCCCCCCCCTTTTTTTTACTGAGGTAGAATTCACATAACATGATATTTTCCATTTTAACCATTTTAAAATGTACAATTCAGGGATCCCTGGGTGGCGCAGCGGTTTAGTGCCTGCCTTTGGCCAGGGTGCGATCCTGGAGACCCGGGATCAAATCCCACGTCGGGCTCCCAGTGCATGGAGCCTGCTTCTCCCTCTGCCTGTGTCTCTGCCTCTCTCTCTCATTCTGTGTGGCTATCATAAATAAATAAAAATTAAAAAAAAAACAAACAAAAAACAAATAATGTCTTTGTCTAGTTAACCCAATGTATAGGCTTCCTCAGGGCAGTTACTGCTTATTTCATTTCTTCTGTTCACAGAAGAACATATGGGTCATACTTACTTGTTTTTTTGCATTCCTCATATTTTTTATTGTAATTGAAAACTGGACATTCTGAATGTTATAATGTGGCAACTCTGGAAATCAGATTTTCTCTCTTCCTCAGGGTACATTGTTGCTGCTTGTTGTAGTTATTTGTTTGTTGGTTTAGTTTAGTGGCTTTTCTGAATTGTAAAGTTTGTTCTCTGTCATGTGTGGCCACTGAAGTCTCTTTTATGTTAACTTAGTAGCCAATTAGTGATTTGACTATTTCTTTATATATCTGAACCAAAAAAAACCCCCCACAAATCTCTCAGCCTTTGCAGATGGAGTCTGCCTGTGTGTTTGGAATGGGTTTTTATCACCCAGCCAGGCAGTTTACAACTCTGTCTTAGCTTTCACTTCCTGCTTGAGCAGAGCCTCATTATCAACCAGAAGTAAAAGTTTTGGGCCTTCTCAGTTTTCTTCTTCTTCTTTTTTTTTTCTTCTCAGTTTTCTTCTGAGCATGAACCCAGCCCTGGGCCGATATGCATGTGGCTTTCTAGATTCCCATGAATATATCAGAGCTTTTCAAATTCTTTATTCCCCAAAACATCTCATTCCCCAGGCTTTCCTCCCTAACTTTTCAGTTTTGCTTGTTTGCACTAAAGGTCATCCTTTGCCCCGGACAGCAGCAACTAATACTCTTTTTGTCAAATGTACTCTAGGTAGTCACCTCAGTCCTGGGAGAGTTCTGAATTAGGCACACAACTTTTGAGCCAGTGTTTCAGGGAGCCACCAGACAAGTTAAAACAACCACAATTCTTTGAGAAAAGATGTGTTCTGCTCCCTTTGGTGTTTGGCACTTATATTAGGAATGTGGGTTATTTTTAAGGCTTTTGTCAAGTCAGGGATTGGAGGATGGTACCAGAGTAAGTGAAAGTGTCACAAAGCTCTCTTACTGAAACTCAATTTTTCTTGATTAAACATTCTCTTAGTTACTATAAGATTTTGATTAGATTCCAGAGTTCTGGACTTAGTTTTAGAGTTCCCTAAGTTTTTTTAAAAAAATTATTTATTTATGAGAAGGAGAGAGAGAGAGAGAGAGATTGAAGGCATAGAGGGAGAGGGAGAAAGTATCCTAAGAAGATTCCTCACTGAGTTTGGAGCCTGATCCCACAACCCTGAGACCACAACCTGAGCTAAAACCAAGAGTCCCAGCTCATTTGACTGTGTCACCTAAGTGCCCTTGGAGTTCCCTGTTTTTCCTGACATTTTTGTGGGCATCCTGTATTTTCATTGTGTTTTTAAAAGCCCTTTTTATCAACACACCATCACCCCAGTTCCAGTTCTTATCACTGCAGGTAGGGCTATTTTAGGGATTTTTTAAAAAGAAATCTCCACACCCAATATAGGGCTTAAACTCAGAACCCCCAAATCAAGACCTCCATGCTCTACTGACTGAGCCAGTACAGCACCCCTTAGGGATTCTTAAAGTGATACCTCTGATATACCACCATCTCCTTGATCATGTGACTAGCGTGCTGAGACAGCTGCAGCTCATAGTTTCTCCATGCCTGTTTTTTTTCTTTTTTTCTCTTTTTTTTCTCCATGCCTATTAAATGGTTTTTCCAATTCTAGTTTCACAATGGCTTTCCATCTGTATCTCACTATTTTTCCACCTTCACTTCCATCTGTTTTGATGAATGCACACAAATAGGCTGCTCCCAAGTGTACAATTTGCTTTCCACTGTGTACCTCCATTAATGCTGCTCTTGCACCTCATTCATGCTGTTTGCTCCCCATCTGGATTGTCCTCTACCTTTACCTCTGCCTACTGAAACACTATTCATATCCTAAGAATCGACTCACACTACAACTTTTCTATAAAGTCATTTTTGATCACTTCAACCAAACCTAATCTCTCATTCCACTAAATTCCTATGATATTTTTGTGCCATTAATGTTATACATGTCATGTTACTGCTTGCATTATTATCTGTATTCATGTTTTCATCACCCATTGCCCCCATTGCCACCCAGGTACCCCAATACTTATTCATTCTTTCCATAAATATTTATTAGTACCCTCTATTTGCTAGGGCTAGTGGAAAGACATTGTCCTTAATGATCATTAGTTAGAACATTGAACAAATAAGCACATATATATTATAATAATTACTAAGAAAGAAAATAAACCCAGTAGGATTCTGTGAGCGGGAAGAGGATGAGTTCAAGCTTCTCAGGTTAAGAGTGAAGGGGGAACATGGCAGGTAGAGGGAACAGCATGCCAGCGGAATCTGGAGTACTCTGTGTTCCTTACTGTCTCTATCAGAGTCAGAGAAACATTTCCATTACCACAGTGTTTTACACTTACTGCACATGAAGAATAAGAATTAATGAGTAAATATTAAGAAGAAGGTAAGTCTGATAAGAAAAAAACAACCCCAGGGCGTCTGGGTGGCTCAGTTAAACCTCCAACTCTTGGTTTCAGCTCAGGTCATGATTTCAGGGTCCTAAGGTCAAGCCCCAGATTAGGCTCCCCACTCAGCAGAGAGTCTGCTTCTCCTGCTCTCCCTCTGCCCCTCCCCCTGCTCGTGCACTCTGTCTCTAAAATAAATAAGTAAATCTTTAAAAAAAGAACCCAATGAGCAGCCTGGGTGGCTCAGCAGTTTAGCGCTGCCTTCAGCCCAGGGCATGATCCTGGAGACCTGGGCTGAGTCCCACGTCTCCCTGTATGGAGCCTGCTTCTCCCTCTACCTGTGTCTCTGCCTCTCTCTTGTTTCTATCTCTGTGACTCTCATGAATAAAATAAATAAAATCTTAAAAACAACAACAACAACAAACAAACCCAATGATAAAAAGGGAGAATAAGTATGAATAGTCAGGGAGTAAGATCATTTAAATTTCTTTCTATTTCGATAAAATAATGGTAGTAGCAGCAGCAGCTAACATTTATTGAGTTCTTGCTATGGGCTGGGAACCGTGCTAAAAGCTTTATGTGTGTCATTTTCTATAACTTCTAAATGGTGTCGTTAATCTGCTTTCTTTTCTGCAGTGTCTTGACGCAGTGTCAGGATGTGGACCTCTCCTTCCCACGGCAACCAGAGGGATGCAGTCTCTTCAATGGTACAAAAAGGGGAACACTGTTTCTCACTTCATACCGGGTAATTCTACTTCTACTTTGATCTGATTAACCACACATTTGTTTTTCCTAAATTGGAGTGAGGTTAAACATTGATTTTCTTTTTTTTTTTCTTTTCTTTTCTTTCTTTCTTTTTTTAAACATTGATTTTCAAAGTGTTTTAAAATATCCACACTTTAGGGCAGCCCGGGTGGCTCAGCGGTTTAGCACTGCCTTCAGCCTAGGGCCTGATCCTGGAGACCTGGGATCGAGTCCCCGTGTCAGGCTCCCTGCATGGAGCCTGCTTCTCCCCTGCCTGTGTCTCTGCCTCTCTCTCTCTTTCCCTCCTGTGTCTCTCATGAATAAATAAATAAAATATTTAAAAAACAAACATTCACACTTTACAGTTTTCCATATTGAGGAATATAAAAGAAAACAGGTAATGGTTCTTCATTAGGGCAGGACGTCAAAGCAATCTTGACCTTAGAATTGCTCTCCTGTGTCTCAATCCATGGACAACCTGCATTCTTCCTCCAAAATTTCTTTCCTCTCCTAGGTGATCTTCGTGACTTCACATGCAGTCAACGACCCGATGTTTTCTTTTATGATGCCATTTGAGCTGATGAGTAACTGTACCATTGAACAGCCAGTTTTTGCTGCCAACTTCATTAAAGGAATCATTCAGGCAGCTCCAGATGGTAAGTGATCCCCCTCAAAAGTGTACTTTTTTTCTCAAAAACTTCCAGAGGTTTAAGATTCAGACCTGGCTCATGCTGGAATTCAAAGAAAGCTGCCCTGCTCCTTTGGGTAGTGCTTCTCTCTTTGTCCGGGGCAGTCCTTCTCTGACAAATGGTGCCAGCATCTTAGTGAGTATGTGCCGTTTCTTTTCCCAGGTGGCTGGGAAGGACAGGCTACTTTTAAATTATCCTTCAGAAAAGGAGGTGCCATCGAATTTGCCCAGTTGATGATGAAAGCTGCTTCTGCTGGTGAGCAATGCTAATAAAGATATTAACCCTTGGGGTTTTGAGGCCTGTGGAATTGGAAGTAGGACTGTCACTCAGTTGAGACTTTGGCCTCTGTGGTCAGGCAGTTGGTAACTGCACATGTATTCAGCAGGCATTCCCTGAGCCTCCCTACTATGGGATGGGTACCATACCACATGCTGGGAACAAGATTATTCAGTCCTTCCTTGTCTTTTTTTTTTTTTAAAGATTTTATTTATTCATGAGAGACACAAAGAGGCAGAGACATAGGCAGAAGGAGAAGTAGGCTCCCTGTGGGAAGCCCTTTGCAGGACTCGATCCCAAGACTTCGAGATCACAACCTGAACCAAAGACAGATGCTCAACCCCTGAGCCACCCAGGTGTCCCAATCCCTCCTTGTCTTAAAGGAGTTTACACTCTACTGGGAGCTATACTCAGACACCTAAATAAATAAGTTTACCTGATAATCTTTTGTCTATTTAAATGCTAGTCTCATATATCATTAAGTAGTCTCATTTTCAGATCAGGGAGGCCCAGTTTCCTGAGCTCTTTTTCCTCTGTAATGCCTTTTTGTCTTTTCTCCTCTCTGGGTTTGCCTTTACTTCACTTAGGTTTAGTTCCCTCTTCCATGAGAAAAGGGAAGAGGTATTGTCAAGCCATACAGCACTGATCTAGTGTATGTACCAAAGAACTCTTTCAGACTTTGAATACAAATTTTATGGGGGACCTGGCTGGCTCAATTGATAGAGCAAGTGACTCCTGATTTAGGGGTTGTGAGTTCATGTCTCATGTTGCATGTAGACACTACTGAAAAAAAAATCCTTTTATGATATATTTTTATTTAATCTAGCCTTATTTCATGCCCCTATTGTCTCACCTTTTGTACTACAATCTGACTGGACTGCTCTCTGCCTTTTCTCTCATCTCTGAGCCTTCATGCTATTTGTTCTATCTGGGTAAATGTATTTATTTATTTAATTTTTTTAAAAAAGATTTTATTTATTTATCCATGAGAGACACAGAGAGAGAGAAGCAGAGACACAGGCAGAGGGAGAAGCAGGCTCCACGCAGGGACCCCCATGTGGGACTTGATCCTGGGTCTCCAGGATCATGCCCTGGACTGGACCGAAGGTGGCGCTAAACCACTGAGCCACCCAGGCTGTCCTATTTATTTAAAATTTTTATATATATATATATATATATATATATATATATATATTTTTTTTTTTTTTTTTAATTTACTCATGAGAAACACAGAGAGCGAGAGAGAGGCAGAGGCACAGGCAGAGGGAGAAGCAGGCTCCATGCAGGGAGCCTGACATGGGACTCCATCCTGGGTCTGCAGGATCAGGCCCTGGGCTGAAAGCAGCGCTAAACCGCTGAGCCACCCGGGCTGCCCTGTTTATTTAATTTTTTAAGTAAACTCCCCAACATGAGTCTCAAACTCATGACCCCAAGATCAAGAGTCATATGCTCGGGGATCCCTGGGTGGCGCAGCGGTTTGGCCCCTGCCTTTGGCCCAGGGCGCGATCCTGGAGACCCAGGATCGAATCCCACATCGGGCTCCCGGTGCATGGAGCCTGCTTCTCCCTCTGCCTATGTCTCTGCGCCTCTCTCTCTCTCTCTGTGACTATCATAAATAAATAAAAATTAAAAAAAAAAAAGAGTCATATGCTCTACTGACTGAGCCTGCCAGGTGCCCTGAAATTCTTCTATTTGGAATGTTCTTTCTCCTTCTCCCTTGCCTCTACCCCCAACTCCAATCTAGTTGAGATGAACATAACCTAGTTGAGACAGACATATTCAAATATGCCATAATAGAGGCATTGACAAAGTTCTGGGGACACACAGAAGGATGGAATGCATTTTTCTAGCTCAGGAGACTGACTTGGATCATGATACTATAAGCAAGGTTTAGAATATAAGAGACAGTCTAAATTAGAGAGGAAATGAGTTCAATTTTAGATACAATAGTACTGACATTTATTAAATGGTTACCATATAGCGGGCAGTGTTCCAAGCCCTTTACATGGGTCAATTTATGTAATTTCACAAAAACTTGTGATGTAATCATTATCCCCAGCTGATAACAGGGGAAACTGAATCAGTGATAGTTATACAGTTTCCCAAGGCTATACAGGTAGACAGTGGGAGCTAGAATCAGAACCCTACACCTGGGCAGCCCTGGTGGTGCAACGGTTTGTCGCCACCTGCAGCCTGGGGTGTGATCCTGGGGACCCGGGATGGAGTCCCACATCGGGCTCCCTGCATGGAGCCTGCTTCTCCCTCTGCCTGTGTCTCTGCCTCTCTCTCTCAGAGTCTATGAATAAATAGATAAAATATTTAAAAAAAAAAAAAGAACCCTACACCTGCTCTTTCTCTTTTTTAAGACTTTTTATTTTGAAAAAAAATCATATCTATGGAAAAGTTGCAAGAATATTACAACGAACTCTCATGGACACTTTGTCTAGATTCACTCATTATTAACACTTTCCCACATTTACCTCATCTTATTCTTTCTTTGCTTTGTGAGTAAGTCACAAAGATCACTTGCATTCCTAAGTATTTGAATGTAAATCTCCTAGGAGCAAGGGTATTCCCTTATCCACCCCCAGTCTACTTATCAAATTCAGAAACTTTAACATTGAAACAATGCTATTGTTTAATATACAAATTCAAATGGTTAACCTATTAGGTTCCTGATTCTAATAGCATACCTTTTTTTCCAATCAGGATCTAATTCCTACACATCTAATTTACACAATTAGATTACACATTGGCTCTAATTACACGTAGAATTTAGTTGTCCTATTTCTTTGGTTTCCTTTAATCTGGACTCAATCTTTCTTTGTCTTTCTTGGCATTAAAATTGTATTTATTTATTTATTTATTCATTCATTCATTCATTCATTCATTCATGAGAGACAGAGAGAGAGAGAGAGAGAGGCAGAGACACAGGCAGAGGGAGAAGTAGGCCCCATGCAGGGAGCCCGAAGTGGGACTTGATCCCTGGACTCCAGGATCACACCTTGGGCTGAAGGCGGTGCTAAACCACTGAGCCACCTGGGCTGCCTGACATTAACATTTTAAAGAGAATACAGGTTTATTGTTTTATAGAATGTCCCTTAATTTGGGTTTGTCTGTTTCCTCATGCCCAGATGCAGGTCATGCATTTTGGCAGGAATACTAACTATATAAGTGACGTTGTATTCTTTGGATACTCTTAATCCCTGCATCATATTAAATGTGAGGTACATCGGAATGGTAGAGGCCAGTGGATGTGCAGCTCAAAACTCCAAAGATGAGCTCTATCTAGAGACTGATTTGGATGGAAATCTTCAGTGCACAGGTCATCTCTGGAGCCATGTGAGTGATTGGCTCATTTGATGACTGAAGGATGGTATTCCAAGGGTTCTCAACGTATCAGGGATGGGTAGGGAGAGGTGACCATAATGAAGATTGCAAAGGAGCTGAGGAAAGTAGGAGGAGAATTGAGTGAGTTTATTATCCCAGAAATTAAGGAAGGAAAGTTTCAAGCATTACTGAGTGGTCATCTGTCAGCTGCAGAGATGTTTGATTAAATGAAGACTGAAAAATGTGCATTGCATGTGGAAATTTGAATTTGTTGGTGGTCTTAAGAGAGAAATGCTAATGAAGACAGGTGGCAGAAAAGCCATATGTAGGAAATTGAGAAGCAAAAAAATTTTTACTGTTACCTTTAACTGCAAAGATATGAAAGCCAAGGAGTTCACATGATGTACCCAGCCAGCAGCTCTTTGTTGTCCAAAGGGCGGACAGCATCTAGAAGCATGACACTGGATAACAAGGTGTCCTGGCAGCCAGAGCTTAGTTATGTGGAACCCAGAGTCAGGGGACACTTGAAGTCCAGTTCCTCTTTGCTACAGATGTCTGCAGAACTCAGAATAATTGCATACTGGGTCTTGAATTTGCTCTTATGTTTGGCCTTAGGTGTGAGAGTCTTCCCCCCGCCCCCCGCAAGAGTCAGGGCTTGTGAGATGGGCTTCCTTGAGGCCTTTAGAATTAACTGCCCATCATGCTTCATGATCTGATTCTTTGGCCCTTTGCAGAAGTCTCTTCCCCTCTGCAGAGCTGACTTGTTGGAGCTCTTTGATTAGTGTTTTTACTAAATATATATGGAGTACCTATTGTGTGCCAAACACTATACGAGATGAGTGAAAGCACAACAGTGAACAAGGCATACATAGTCCCTTCCTTTGTTAAACTTACAGTCTAGTAAGAGTCATGTAAGAAATAAGCAAACAGGGACACCTGAATGGCTCAGTGTTTGAGTGTCTGCCTTTGGCTCAGGTCATGATCCTGGGGTTCTGGGATCAAGTCCCGCATCAGACTCCCTGTGCGGGCCTGCTTCTCCCTCTGCCTCTCTCTGTGTCTCTCATGAATAAATAAATAAAATCTTAAAAAAAAAAAGAAAGAAAGAAAGAAAGAAAGAAAGAAAGAAAGAAAGAAAGAAAGAAACATATAAGTTAATAGAATAATTTAAATGGGAAGGATACCAATAGGATATTAAAAAGGAGGATAACAGGGATAAAGAGGACTTTAGAATTACAGTGAATTAGATAAGATAATGCTAGTTATTGAAGCAGATAACCCCCCAATTATCAGTAGCTTAAGACAATAGATAGTACTGCTTATATAAAGGACAATCAGCAGGGGTGAAAGGGGTCTCTGTTCCATATAGTCCTTCAGGGACCCAGGGTGATTGGGTCTCTGCCATCTTTAACCCATGGCTTCCACACCCTCTCTGAATAGCCAGCAAAGAGGGAAAGAGTAAAGATTTCACCTGGGAAGCTTGCATGGGCCAGACCTGGCTGGAAGCAGCGTACATTACTTCTGGTCATATGCCATAGGCCAAAAATTAGTGTGATAGGCTGATAATGGCTCCCAAAGATATATCCATGTCCTAATGCTCAGAATCTGTGAATGTTCCCTGGTTTTGTAATTAATTTAAGGATTTTAAGATGAGGAGATTACCCTGGATTACCCAGATGTGCCCCAAATGCCATCACAAGGGTCCTTATAAGAGAGATGCAGAGGAAGATAAACAAGAAGTGCTTTCTTTCTTCTGTATCACATTGCCATTATGTTGGTCTTTAATGGATGTACCATGCCAACTTGATAGAATCTTCACTTGGAAATGTTTTCTGAATATTTATTTTGGTAAGTGCTATGCTGGGCCGTGAGTAAGCACAGGCTAATAAGACACAATCTCTGCCCTCAAGAAGCATACAGATCAGGACAAGGAAGGTGTATATTTTTTATCTTGTATCCTGGGAGCATTGTTGGACACACATGTAAGATGATGGTTAATACTCTATTAATTATTTGGTTGATAGCTGCTGTACATCTGACTTAAAAGAATTTAAAAATCCCTATTTTGCCAAACTTGTCTTCTCAGCCGCCAGAGGAGTTCCACTTGGAAGTGTAAATTACTGGTTCAGCACTCCAGGACTGTATGTAATTACTGGGCAGGGGGGTGTGATGTGCACCCCACAGATGCCTTGTCCAGGTAAGGATGCCAGGGAAGTTCTTCTTGGGAGGTAGAAAAGTATGCCAGGGGCTCAGAGATGCATTCATTGCTGGTTTGCCTCCAACTCTGTTGCAGGAGAAACAGGAGAGGTTTTGGGGAATTGGAAAGTGGTTGAGTCCATGTCTTCTTTCTAGACTGAAGCCCAGTGGCAGGGCAGCAAGGGACTGGGATTCAATTTCAGGCATACTTTTAACTGGAAGGTATACATATGGAGCGTACCTGGGAAACTCCTGTTAGTGGGAACAATGACTTCCTGCTTATAGCTTGAGCAGAAAAAGTGTGCTCTTGCCCACCTCCCCCTTCCCATGTCACACAGGCATAGCCATCATGCTTGAGCCATGCCCTTCAATCTCACTGAGGACTCCAGCTTTATGTACCCTTTAACAGTTGTGCCTGTCTGCAGTGATTCTCAAACGTGGTCCATAGCCTATTGGTGGGCTACAAAGGGTCTCCTAAAAGGCTGTCAGCAGGTCCCCAAATGCAGCCCTTTCTTGGGGTCTCCTTGGAACATGACATATGTGTCTATCAGCTTTTTGTTTTGTATACAACAGATGTCACAAAATTACATCTTTATAGTTGTGTGCCTAAAAACATTATCTAATAATTCTTTTAAATGCACACTTGTCTTTTTTTGAGCTTTTATATTTGAGTTTATTCTTCACTTAACTTTTAAAACACTACTATAGTTGAATATTAAAACAAAAACAATAGCAAGTAGTGAGCTATGATTATAGTCCTTCACTCATCCACTACTGCATATAAAATGCCAGCAGCAGTGTTATTCACCGGCCCCATTAAGAAGTCTGACACTGAACACCACCCCTAGGATGATGTTCATCATCCTCATATGCTTCCCCATTGTAATGGCACCGTCTCTCCTGATTGGGATCAAAGTCCACAAGTTCTACCTGGTCCATTTCATCAGTCTCTTCTACTTCCTTCCTCTCAGGTAGGAGTTTTTCCAGCAAAGAAAGTTTTTTTTTTTTTTAATGGAAAGTTTTGTTTTTTTTTTTTAAATTTATGATAGTCACAGAGAGAGAGAGAGAGAGGTGCAGAGACACAGGCAGAGGGAGAAGCAGGCTCCATGCACCGGGAACCCGATGTGGGATTCGATCTTGGGTCTCCAGGATCGCGCCCTGGGCCAAAGGCAGGCGCCAAACCGCTGCGCCACCCAGGGATCCCCGCAAAGAAAGTTTATCAGGAGAGAGAAAGCCGTTCTCGGGGAAGTTTACCTTAAATTCGATGATTAGGCGACCCTTCTCATATGGTCTACGATAAATTGGCATGCTTTCATTTAGCACACACTTAATATCCCCATGCTTGACAATCTGACCTGGATGAGAGGTGATGACGATGGTTCGGTTGTCAAGAGTAGATATTGGCTTTTGAAAGCCACACAGGGCTTCAACCAGCTGTATATCCATACACATGAAAAGATCTTCTCCTCGTCGAGTGAAAACAGCATGGTCCTTCTGATCTAAAACAATGATAATGTCTCCTGGTTCCAGTCCTGGTTCTTGGTCTCCCTCACCATGGAATGTTATCTTCTGGCCATCTTTCATGCCTTTGTCAATATGCACTTCTAGAGTCTTCTTCTCTTGAACTATCTTCCTTCCATTGCAGCTTTTACATCTCTCTTTAGGACTGATCCGTTCCCCATGGCCCTGGCACTCCATGCACACAGACTGAATTTGCTGAACCATTCCAGGTCCTATCTGATGAATTCTTATTTGCATTCCAGTACCTCGGCAACTGGGACAACATTCGACTGCTCCTTTCTTACCACCTCGGCCTTCACATTTATCGCAAATCACATTCTTCTGCAGAGGTAGTTTTCTCGTTGCGCCATTATATAGATCTTCTAAGGTTACTGAGAGCTGATGTACATTTTTACCTCTCCGTTCTCTCTGCATCCTGCCTCCTCCTCCAAAAAACGTATCAAAGATGTCCATGGGGGAGCCAAAACCACCACCAGCTCCACTTTCTTTAATTGTCTGTTCTCCTCTGTCATATAATTCCCTTTTCTTTGCATCAGAGAGCACTTCATAAGCTTGAGAAATCTGTTTAAACTTCTCTCCTTCATTTGGATTCTTATCAGGGTGGTACTTCAAGGCCAGTTTTCTGTAAGCCTTTTTCAATTCCTCCTGGGTGGCATTGGGTTTGACCCCCAAAACATCATAGTAAGTGGTTTCTTTCACCATTTTCTACAGCCGGTGAGAGGGCTGAAGCCGGTGTGGGGGAGCGGGAAGGAGCGCGTTGCTGGGCATAGCTCGGGCAGCCGCCGCTCCTCCGTGTCTCACCGAGCATTCTGGAAAGTTCCCTGCACACTTGTCTCTTAGAGATACCTGGGTGACTCAGTTGATTAAGCCTCTGACTCTTGGTTTCAGCTCAAGTTGTGATCTCTGAGCTAAGATCGTGCCGTGTAGGGCTCTGTTCTCAGCTCAGTCTTTTTTTTTTTTAAGATTTTATTTATTCATTCATGAGAGACACAGGGAGAGAAAGAGAGAGAGAGGCAGAGACACAGGGGAGAAGCAGGCTCCATGCAGGGAGCCCAACGTGGGACTCATTCCCGGGACTCTAGGATCACACCCTGGGCCGAAGGCAGGTGCCAAACCGCTGAGCCACCCAGGGATCCCCTCAGCTCAGAGTCTTCTTCAGATTCTTTCCTCCTCCTTCCCTTTCCCCTTCTGCTCCTTCCCCCACTTGCACATTCTCTCTAATCAATAAATAAAATCTTTAAAATAAATAAATGCATTAGTCTCTTAAACTATGTAGAAAACAAAAAAATGGAATTACAAGCCATTGTTAGAATAATATTAGCTTTCATAATTGTCCAGTGATTTACCTTTACTGAGATCTTTATTTCTTTACATGACTGCACATTAACTGTCTGGTGTCCTTTCACTTCACCCTGCAGGATTTCCTTAAGTATTTCTTGCCCTGCAAAAATGAACTCCTTCAGCTTTTGTTTATCTGGAAACATCTTGATTTCTCCCTCACTTTTGAAGGAATTTGGCCAAATGGAGGATTCTTGTTTGACAGTTTATTTCTGGCCTCTAAAGTTTCTGATGGGAAATCTGCTAATTATCTCATTGAGGATCCCTTGTATGTGATGATTCACTTCTCGCTGTTTTCAAGATTCTGTCTTTTGAAAATTTGATTAGAATGTACCTCAGTGTGTCTTTTTTTTTAATATTTATTTATTTATTTATTTATTTATTTATTTATTTATTTATTTATTCATGAGAGACACAGACAGAGAGAGAGGCAGAGACACAGGCAGAGGGGGAAGCAGGCTCCCCATAGGGAGCCCGATGCAGGACCAACCCCAGATCACGGGATCATGACCTGAGCCGAAGGCAGGCGCCCAACCGCTGAGCCACCCCGGCATCCCTCAGTGTGTGTTTCTTTTTTTTTTTTTGAATTATTTATTTATGATAGTCATACAGAGAGAGAGAGGCAGAGACAAGGCAGAGACATAGGCAGAGGGAGAAGCAGGCTCCATGCACCGGGAGCCCGACGTGGGATTTGATCCCGGGTCTCCAGGATCGCGCCCTGGGCCAAAGGCAGGCGCCAAACCGCTGCGCCACCCAGGGATCCCTCAGTGTGTGTTTCTTTAACTTCATCTTACTTGAAGTTCATTGAGCTTCCTGGATGTTTATATTTCTGTTTTTCATCAAATTTGGGAAGTTTACAGCCATTATTTCCTCAGATATTTGCTCTGTCCTTTTTTCTGCTCCTTCTAGGACTTCCACAGTGGTATGTCGGTCTGCTTGATGGTATTCCACAGGTCCCTCAAGTTCTGTTCACTTTTCTTCAGTGTTGTTTCTGCCTCTCTGTTCCTCAATCTCTACAGTTTCTGTTGTCCTATCTTTGAGTTGATGGATTCATTCTTCTGCCTACTCAAACCTAAATTTGAATCCCTCTAGTGAATTTTTAATTTCACTTACTGTACTATTCAGCTCCAGAATGTCTTTTTGGTTTCTTGTTATGTTTTCCACCTCTACTGAGACTTGTGTTTGGTGCACACATCATTTTCTTTACTTCCTCCGCATTTTCTTTTAGTTTTTTGAGAATCTTTAAGGCTATCCTTTTAAAGTTTTTTCTAATTAGCCCAAATATAAATATGGATTACCACAATATGGCTTGATAGTTGTCCATTCGTTGACTCAGTTAAACTACTTTGGGAATATAGCTAAGGAAATAAGTAAAGCCCGGGTTTGTTGTAATCTGAATTAGAAAGTTGGAAACAGGTGCCTCAGGGGCGCAGTTAAGTGTCAGACCCTTGGTTTAGGCTTAGGTGGTGATCTCAGGGTCCTAGGATAAAGCCTAGGATATAGCCCAGCTTCCACTCAAGACTTCCTCCCTCTCTCTCTGCCCCTGACCCCCTCCTGTGCTCAAGCTCTCGAGTGCTCTCACTGTCTCTCTCAAATAAATAAAATCTTTTTTTAAAAAAAAAGTTGGAAACAACATACTCTCCTATAGCAGGGGAATTAAGTAGCACCTATCCATATGATAAAATATTGTCTAGCTTTAGTGTATGAAATATGTTAATAATACAAAGAAATTTTTTATAATGTTAGATGAAAAGAGCCAGATAAAAAAATGCATGGGTGTTATGATCATGATTATATAAAAATATTAACAGATCCTACAAAGAAATACACAAAAATATGAAGTTTTTGTCTCTGAAAGTGGAATTATAGATGACTTTTAAAGTTCATCTTTTCTCTTTCCCAAATACATATTTCTCATATTACTTTCTTCATAAACAAATGTGTTAGGTAACATATATATTTGAGCACAAATATAAGTAATGTAGAGATATAACTGTAGGGTTATTTTTCTTTTAATTTGAACCCCTCTACAACAGGAAATGATAAAGCCTTCACCTGGTAGTGGCTGAAGGATCTGGTTTTAGCATTGTTCTGCCTGAATTCTATTCCTGTGTCAGTTTGCTTTTTCCTCCTTACCTATTCCTTGTCCACTCTAAAAAAGAATAACTGAATTTTTTTTCCTCCCAGCATACCCATTTGTTGTCTATGGACCTCCACAGGCAGGATATGGACCCCCAGAGGTGGGATATGGACCCTCACTGGCAGGATATGGACCTTCACAGGCAGGATACAGATCCCCACTGGTGGCATATGGACCCCCACAGGTGGGATATGGACCCCCACAGGGAGGATACGGACAACCACCTGGAGTATATGGAATCCTGCCTGCAGGATATGGAGCTCTACCAGCTGGGAATGAAGCTTCAGCATCTAGAAATGAAGTCCTACCAGCTGCAAATGAAGCCCCACCTCCAAGATATGAAGTTCCACTTGCTAGAAATAGAGTTGGGTCTGGCAAATATGTGGTACCTCAGCCTTCTCAGTATGACACTTCTCTTCCCCCTGCCTCATCTTCTGAGGCCCGTCCACCATCTTCTCTGATATAACCCTTGAAGACTCACCAAGCAAAATGGCACGCAACAATTGAATAAGGATAATAAAGCAGACTCAGGTATGTGAGTAAAAGTGTGTCTGAGGTAGTGTGGCACCCTGGGGAAGGGCAGTGTTAGGGGGAGGATGAAGCTTTACTTCCATTCCTAGACTTTGCAAGCGGAGTTAACTCTTGATTAGATGGGCCAAAGGAGAAGTAGAATTAGAGCTAATTCTCCCATAATTTGGTTGACATTGGGCTGCATTTTTCAATATATGTGAGCGTGGAAAAAGCTTCCTGCCTTTCTTTCTTCCTTCCCTCATTCAAGAAACATTAACACTCAAGTTGAACACTTAATTGTTTTTCATAGCATTGTTTATATTAGTAAAGTATGGACCAACCTAAATTTCCAATAGTGAGAATTTCATAAATCATGGTGCATCCATACACTGGAATATTATGTGGCCATTGAAAATGATATTTGGATGTGTAGGGTAAAGCTTCTTTAAAAAGGTAAAACAATGAAACAATAAAAGAAAGCAGTGATAAGTTTGAATATATCAAAATTTGAAACTTCTGTATGACCAAAATTAAAAGATAGGAGAAAGTTAATTTCCAACATATGTGTTAAATAATTTATAGTCAGAGTATATGAAGAACTCCTACCAGTCAATCAAAAAGAAAAAAATGAACAAAAGATGTGAATTCCCAGTTAACTGATGCAATAGAGTGGCTCAGAAGCTTTTGGAAAGATGTTTATTCAACTTGACTAGTGTTAGGAAAATGCAACTTAACATGAAAACAATTTTCCAAAGATTTACAAATATTGAAAAGATTGAAAAACTTAAGTGTTGGGAAGAAACGCATGTGGGGAAAAGGTTATTTTATACAATATAGGTGAGAGTGTAAGTTGGTATGCATTTTAGAAGGAAATTTGACAGTACCTTCTAAAAGTTAGAAGAAACCAACTCTTGATTTAGCAGTTTCACCTCTCAGTATCTATTCCTGAGAAATACTTGTACATGTGCACAAAGATGCCTTAGGAAGATGTTATTACATTGTTTCTAATATCACAACATTAGAAATAACCTGTGTACACTAATAATATTTGTAAAAACTATGGTACACAGGCTGCATAGGCAAAAATTTCTGTCTTAGTGTTCAATGAGAAAGGCAATCACTACAGTGATTTTTCAATCCCATCAGACTGAATGCGCCCATAACAAATACTTTGTAATGTCTCCTTTAGATCATTGGAATGAAATCTGTAGACAACTATGATTCCACACTATTTCAACCAAAATCAATATATAATATCATAAATGTGATGTAAAGAAATAATGGAAAACTAGTTGGTAATAAAATTTTAAGTATTTTAATATATAAATGCTCAAATTCCACCATACTAGAAGACAACAAAGCAATCAAGTGCTCACCTTCCTATACATAGATTTACCAAATTTGTAAACCCTAGGAATGCCAGCTGATTTGATATGGTGTATTAGTGACTTGAATACCGTGCTGGCAATGCCATTGGCAATGTCATTTTCCAAAATGATGAGCAATTCTTGACAAATCTCCAAATAAAAGTTTAGTTTTGGGGGCAGCCTGGGTGGCTCAGTGGTTTAGCACCGCCTTCAGCCCAGGGTGTGATCCTGGAGTCCAGGGATCGAGTCCCATGTCAGGCTCCCTGCATGAAGCCTGCTTTGCCCTCTGCCTGTGTCTCTGCCTCTCTCTCTCTCTCTCTCTCTCTCTCTCTCTCATGAATAAATAAAATCTTAAAAAAAAAGTTTAGTTTTCCCTTGATTTACACAGTGATTGAATTCCTGAAAAGTTCTGTATGTATTAAAATCATGTAAAACATGGTTAGGCTCTAGGCTTAAATGATTGTAAGCACATGTTTCACCTATATCAATGGCCAGAGATTCCTTTGAAAGTCATGAGGGGGGTGTAAGATAATTGTTCGGTGTGAGGAACTGCCCTGCACTTTTCAGGATGTCTAGTGTTCTTGACCCCTCACCTATCAAATACCAACAGTGGCCTCTAATTGTGATAATCAAAAATGCCCCACTTACTTCATAATTTCCCCCGGGGATCAATGCCTTCTCTGCTGAGAATTATCATTGTAGGCTATTCTACAATACTCCAAGGTTTTCAGCCTCTTAAGAGCTCACTGTTCCCCAACTTTACCAACTTCCTAATTTCATTGGCCTTTTCTTGCTTTCTTTCAGGCTCATCAAGCCACCTAAATGTAAGGCCTTAAAAATATTATATCAAGTGTTTTTAGATATTATATATCAGAAGAGCTTCAGGAGCTATAGTGCACAATATTACCAGACCCAGAAGACATATAAATAATATATTTTTTCTATGCATATTTTGCAGGTAGCTGAAAACATGTGGTACATACAGTGTCTCACCTGACACATTACATTTTCATAGGTTTTTTTTTAAAGATTTTATTTATTTATTAATGAGAGACACAAAGAGAGAGAGAGGCAGAGACACAGGCAGAGGAAGAAGTAGGCTCTCTGTCGGAAATCTGATGTGGGCCTCCATCCTGGGACTCCAGGATCAGGCCCTGAGCCAAAGGTAGATGCTCAACTGTTGAGGTACCCAGGAATCCCTCTCAGGGTGTTTGTTTTTTAACAGCATTGAGATGTAATTGATGCATTAAAAATTACATATATTTAATGTATAGTTTAATGAGTTTCACAGGCTTTTAAGAATTCTTCATAAATATTGTTAGTGGCTATATGATATTCTGACATGGTTGCATTATTACGTATTTTCTCAATCCCTATTTTTTTTAAGGTTTATTTATTTATTCAGAGAGAGAGAGAGAGGCAGAAACACAGGCAGAGAGAGAAGCAGGCTCCATGCAGGAAGCCTGACGTGGGTCTCCATCCCGGGGCCCCAGGATCACACCCTGGGCTGCAGGCGGCGCTAAACCGCTGCACCACCAGGGCTGCCCTCAATCCCTATTTTAATTGTTTCCAGGTTTTTGCTATTTCAAACAACATTGCAATTAACTTCTCATATATGAGTTTTTTTTTTCCAATCTTGGATTATTTCCTTAAAAGAAATTAGGGTTACTGATTGATGCTCATTGTAACAATTAGGAAACCAGATGCTCCTATGTTGCCAAGGAGAGCTTTCCCTAAGAAAGTGGTGAATGTTAATGGGTCTTAAGTGAAAAGGGGGGTTTATTGAGTCATATATATTTGAAAAAGCAGATGGACAGATTTCTTTACTTCATGACTTCTCAGCACCTTGAATATACTAAGGAACATAAATCTCCAAGAGGGAGATATTTTCAGAATATACATATTTTTTCAAAATTATTTGACTATTTTATTCACTAAACATTTTAGAAAAGGGCAGCCCCGGTGGCTCAGTGGTTTAGCGCTGCCTTCAGCCCAGGGTATGATCCTGGAGACCCGGGATCGAGTACCATGTCAGGCTTTCTGCATGGAGCTTGCTTCTCCCTCTGCCTGTGTCTCTGCCTCTCTCTCTTTCTCCTCTCTGTGTATTCTAATGAATAAATAAATAAAATCTTTAAAAATTTTTTAGAAAAACTATTGCTCAATGGAACAAACTTTGGGAAACACTTTCTGGAATGAGGGTATATTAAAGTATTATAAGTATCTGGAATATGCTAGCCCTTAAAACTCTTCCCAACATTAGACAAGTCAAGGACCATTCTTTCCCTTGTAAGAAAAAAAAAGTTTCATGTCCAGTTTGTAGAGAACAGGAGATCTTCTTGAATAAGGCATATAATAAAATAGAAAGTAGCTCTAGATTCCTCTTAGAAATTACTGGCAGAGAGTCATAGGTCTAGGAAGCTGGAATGTCAGTAGCAAAAGTGACTGACAATATGCCCAGACACCTGTCATGAAGGAAAGAAGTAAAAAGGAAAACGTAGGTATACTTCTCTAAAGGTTCCAAACCGAGAATTTAGACCATATGGATCTTAAATGTGGGGCACAGGTTCCAGATCTCTTTCTCTTAAAATTTTTTTAGGAAAGTGATAGGAATTTTTTTCTTTTTTTTCTTGTTTAAGATTTATTTATTTATGATAGAAAGAGAGAGAGGCAGAGACACAGCAGGAGGGAGAAGCAGGCTCCATGCCGGGAGCCCGACGTAGGACTCAATCCCAGGACTCCAGGTTCGCTCCCTGGGCCAAAGGCAGGCGCCAAACCGCTGAGCCACCCAGGGATCCCCTAAGAGTTTCTTATTGAAGCACCTGGGTGGCTCAGTCCGTAAAGCATCTGCCTTTAATTCAGGTCATGATGTCAGAGTCCTGGGATCAAGCCCCACATTGGGCTCCCTGCTCCTCAAGGAGCCTACTTCTCCCTCTGCCTCCTACTCCCCCTGCTGTGCTCTTTCTCTCTCTCAAATAAATAAATAAAATCTTAAAAAAAATAGTTTCTTGTTTTCTCACTTCTAAACCTCTCTATATGGGCAGAAGTGACAAGGAGAGGGAGAGATTCTCCAAACCAGAGCAGGAATAAAGTTCCCTTCATTCAGCTTTATGTATACTGGAAACTATATTTCCAGTTTCTGTTGGAATGTGATGTTGAGTTGGGAATAGAGTCAAGGGATGAGGCCTCTTTTATGCTGAAATAGTTCTCTAAATAACTGATGTCTAGTGGACATATTCTGGGATTAGAGTTCTAAAAGAGTAGCAACTAAACTTTGTCTTCTGCTCTTCATTCTAGTCATACCTGTATCAGATGGATTTTTTATTTTTTTAAAAGATTTATTTATTTATTTATTTATGATAGACATAGAGAGAAGAGAGAGAGAGAGAGAGAGAGGCAGAGACACAGGAGGAGGGAGAAGCAGGCTCCATGCCGAGAGCCCGACGCGGGACTTGATCCCGGGACTCCAGGATCGTGCCCTGGGCCAAAGGCAGATGCCAGACCACTGAGCCACCCAGGGATCCCCTCAGATGGATTTTTAAAAAAGATATATTTGTTAGAGAATGTGTGAGTAGGGAGAGGGGCAGAGGGG